CAGTGCTACATACTCGTACAAAAACCTGTCCTAAACTAAACAGAGGCCCAGAGTCACTATGCCTAAAACCTTAGAAACCCACAAACCCCAGAAAAGCTGTTTTTGTCTTGCTATCATATCATATTTTTCAAAATCCCAAAAAACCATTCATCACTCTCATCAGAAGCGTGTGAATGTAATTTGTCCATAATGTTAATATAGATAAAAAAAAATATTAAAAGACTTTTATTATTGGAATATTCTGCATGTTCAAAGTCATTTAGTACGGCCATTGAACAATGTGAATGAATACAAATACAAAAGGTATGTACAGTGGTTATTACAATCCCATTTTTCTTATTATGAATTATCAAAAATGATTCATTTTAAAAGTAGCCATTTTATTAGCCGTGTACTTCAGAGAAGGGGATGAGCTACAGTGGCACAGGTTTCTGCACAGTGGTGTTTCACTGTGTCTACGGGGGCAGCCACAGTGATTGACACAGTTACAAAAACCTCTGGCAAAGCTCCGTAAACTTTAGATGAAAGATATGCAAACAATTATAGGAAGCTGTGACTTGAAGAAAATAGAGTGAGTTTGAATACATTTCACAAACGTACTACTTAAGAATTAATAATATGCACATTGTTATAACATTTTATTGCATTACCCTGTCATTGCTGCTACATCTGCTTTTATTTATTTATTTATTCATTTGTGTCTATTTTCATTACTGCAGTGAGAGATGCCAAAGAAATGTCGTTAAACTTTGTATGATGACAACAAAGATATATTCTGTTCTATAAAAGACTGGGCAGTATTTTTAAATATGATAAACAGGATGATATACCTGTACCAAAATATAATGAGTATGAAAATATGTAATCTTCTGTCAGAGCCTATTTTCCATGTTTCATGCAATGTGTTTCTCATTCACATGTATACTTAGTTTGTATATGCATTTTCTTTTTATAACTGTATTAGTGAAACTCTGAAACTAAACAAAAGGAGACACTTGTACAGGTGATTCTGTTCTAGGATTAAATCGTAAAATCATCAACTAAAATGAAAGGGTTCAAAGCAAGTGTGTGTGTTGTGACAGCCAGTGTACTGGGTGGAGTTTTTGTATGGAGTCATATCACAGTGCAGAATACAGCAACCACAGTGATACATTGTGTGACAAAAACCCCTTTCCACTGGAGGACATGTGGTGCTAATAAGGAAACCAGGAGGTGAGATATGTGACCTACATAACCTCCTCATGAAAAGCACAGATGTATGATAATTGAAAATAATGTGATCAACTACATAGGATTTTGTTAGGCAACATTGGCTTATAAATTACCTTACAAAAAACAATTCAGAATTTGGTAAGGATGGTAAAAGGAATTTGCTTTGATGTTTAAAAAAGATACATAAATAACACCAAAAGAGAAAGTCAGTGAAAAATAAGAGCAGAAAAAAGGGAGAGAAATACAATGCACTGTATCAAGCAACGGTTTTTGTATGAGCGTGTGGCACTGTGGATGGGATGGCAGCCACAGTGATATTGGGCAATACAAAAACCTGAACTAGGGTTCACACACTTTTTCAACAATGATTTTCAATTACTTTTCCATGACCTTTACCTCATTTTCCATGACCAAAAATATTACTTTTTCTCAGCGGTACCACTGAAAATTGTTTATTTTAACATGGAACAGGAAAATAAGGTCTGCATATGAAACATGTTGTGCCTATCTAAAACAACAAATAGTAGGCTTACTAGCTTCTACGGGCTAAAGCAACTGTAGACTAGAGGGCGTGATTATAAAAATCTCACCAGCAACATACCTCAACAGTGAAATGCCATTTTACGTTTCATTACTATACGATACAGTGTTTATTATCATTATAGTATTAATATTTCGGCGATTAGATCAAATATAAATTATATTTTATGCAACTTTAGTTACATTTCCATGACTTTTCCAAAACTTTGGGAAAGATATTGTTTTCCATAACTTTTCCAGGACCTGGAATTTGCATTTTGAATTTCCATGACTTTTGCAGGTTTTTAAATGACCCTTACAAACCCTGTAACTAAAATACTCAATATCACTGTGCCTCAAGAAAGAGAAGATCCGGTAATCCCCCCAAATCCCTTGAATCTAAAGCAAGGTGATATTAAATGTACAAGTGGCAGTTTAAATTAAATATATGAGGAATTATGTTAAATATATGTTTTTGTTTGAACATGAGAAAACAGGAAACACCTCAGAAAAAAGCTTGACCTCCCAACATACAGTGTTAATAACACCTTTCTGCTGGGTTAACCCACACTTTGGACACCATGCCTGAATAAAATATCCCCAGTTTGAAATATGAATAATCCTGTCAGAGCCTTTTGATCTTACATGCTTGAGTAATTCTGCTTCTCATTTAATTTAGGAGGATATTACACACTTTTGTTAGCACCATTCCCATAATTTATAGCCATTTTTCAGGTGTATATGCAACACGACAGATGAAAAAATTAAATATTAGAAAACTATTGCACTGATGGTTCCTTTTACACGATTAGATTATAAGATTACAAACACAGAGCAACATGTGTGTGTTGTCATGTCAGTCAGTGTACTGGGTGGAGTTTTTGTATGGAGTTGTATCACAGTGCTCGATCTAGCAGCTCCCACAGTGATACATTGTGTGACAACAACCTATTTCCACTGGAGGACATGTGGTGCTAATAAGGAGACCAGGAGGTGAGATATGTGACCTATATAACTTCATCATGAAAAGCACAGATGTATGATAATTGAAAATAATGTGATCAATTACATAGGATTTTGGTAGGCAACATTGGCTTATAAATTACCTTACAAAAAACGATTCAGAATTTGGTAAGGATGGTAAAAGGAATTTGCTTTGATGTTTAAATGTACATAAATAACAGCAAAAGAGAAAGCAAAAAATAAAAGATAAAAGCAGATATTGGAAAAAAAGGGAGAGAAATACAATGCACTGTATCAAGCAAGGGTTTTTGTATGAGCATGTAGCACTGTGGATCGAATGGGCACCACAGTGATATTGGGCAATACAAAAACCTGAACTAAAATACTCAATATCACTGTGCGTCAAGAAAGAGAAGATCAGGTAATCCCCCCAAATCCCTTGAATCTAAAGCAAGGTGATATTAAATGTACAAATGGCAGTTTAAATTAAATATATGAGGAATTATGTTAAATATATTTTTTTGTTTGAACATGAGAAAACAGGAAACATCTCAGAAAAAAGCTTGACCTACCAACATACAGTGTTAATAACACCTTGTGATCTTATTACATGCTAGAGTAATTCTGCTTCTCATTTAATTTAGGAGGATATTACACACTTTTGTTTAATTGCACCATTCCCATAATGTAAAGCCATTGTTCAGGTGTATATGCAACACAACAGATAACAAAAGAAAATATTAGAAAACTATTGCACTGATGGTTCCTTTTACAAGATTAGATTATAAGATTACAAACACAGAGCAACATGTGTGTGTTGTCATGTCAGCCAGTGTACTGGGTGGAGTTTTTGTATGGAGTTGTATCACAGTGCTATATGGCAGCTCCCACAGTGATACATTGTGTGACAAAAACCCCTTTCCACTGGAGGACATGTGGTGCTAATAAGGAAACCAGGAGGTGAGATATGTGACCTACATAACCTCCTCATGAAAAGCACAGATGTATGATAATTGAAAATAATGTGATCAACTACATAGGATTTTGTTAGGCAACATTGGCTTAAAGATTACCTTACAAAAAACGATTCAGAATTTGGTAAGGATGGTAAAAGGAATTTGCTTTGATGTTTAAAAAAGATACATAAATAACACCAAAAGAGAAAGTCAGTGAAAAATAAGAGCAGAAAAAAGGGAGAGAAATACAATGCACTGTATCAAGCAACGGTTTTTGTATGAGCGTGTGGCACTGTGGATGGGATGGCAGCCACAGTGATATTGGGCAATACAAAAACCTGAACTACAGGGTTCACACACTTTTTCACCAATGATTTTCAATTACTTTTCCATGACCTTTACCTCACTTTCCATGACCAAAAATATTACTTTTTCTCAGCGGTACCACTGAAAATTGTTTATTTGAACATGGAACAGGAAAATAAGGTCTGCATATGAAACATGTTGTGCCTATCTAAAACAACAAATAGTAGGCTTACTAGCTTCTACGGGCTAAAGCAACTGTAGACTAGAGGGCGTGATTATAAAAATCTCACCAGCAACATACCTCGACAGTTAAATGCCATTTTACGTTTCATTACTATACGATACAGTGTTTATTATCATTATAGTATTACTATTTCGGCGATTAGATCAAATTCTAATTATATTTGATGCAACTTTAGTTAAATTTCCATGACTTTTCCAGGTTTTTAATGACCCTTACAAACCCTGTAACTAAAATACTCAATATCACTGTGCCTCAAGAAAGAGAAGATCAGGTAATCCCCCCAAATCCCTTGAATCTAAAGCAAGGTGATATTAAATGTACAAGTGGCAGTTTAAATTAAATATATGAGGAATTATGTTAAATATATGTTTTTGTTTGAACATGAGAAAACAGGAAACACCTCAGAAAAAAGCTTGACCTACCAACATACAGTGTTAATAACACCTTTCTGCTGGGTTAACCCACACTTTGGACACCATGCCTGAATAAAATATCCCAGTTTGAAATATGAATAATCCTGTCAGAGCCTTTTGATCTTACATGCTTGAGTAATTCTGCTTCTCATTTAATTTAGGAGGATATTACACACTTTTGTTAGCACCATTCCCATAATGTAAAGCCATTGTTCAGGTGTATATGCAACACGACAGATGAAGAAAAGAAAATATTAGAAAACTATTGCACTGATGGTTCCTTTTACAAGATTAGATTATAAGATTACAAACACAGAGCAACATGTGTGTGTTGTCATGTCAGTCAGTGTACTGGGTGGAGTTTTTGTATGGAGTTGTATCACAGTGCTCGATCTAGCAGCTCCCACAGTGATACATTGTGTGACAAAAACCTATTTCCACTGGAGGACATGTGGCGATAATAAGGAGACCAGGAGGTGAGATATTTGACCTACATAACCTCCTCATGAAAAGCACAGATGTATGATAATTGAAAATAATGTGATCAATTACATAGGATTTTGTTAGGCAACATTGGCTTATAAATTACCTTACAAAAAACGAGCCAGAATTTGGTAAGGATGATAAAAGGAATTTGCTTTGATGTTTAAATGTACATAAATAACAGCAAAAGAGAAAGCAAAAAAAAAAGATAAAAGCAGATATTGGAAAAAAAAGGGAGAGAAATACAATGCACTGTATCAAGCAAGGGTTTTTGTATGAGCATGTAGCACTGTGGATCGAATGGGCACCACAGTGATATTGGGCAATACAAAAACCTGAACTAAAATACTCAATATCACTGTGCGTCAAGAAAGAGAAGATCAGGTAATCCCCCCAAATCCCTTGAATCTAAAGCAAGGTGATATTAAAAAACTATTGCTCTGATGGTTCCTTTTACAAGATTAGATTATAAGATTACAAACACAGAGCAACATGTGTGTGTTGTCATGTCAGTCAGTGTACTGGGTGGAGTTTTTGTATGGAGTTGTATCACAGTGCTCTATATAGCAGCTCCCACAGTGATACATTGTGTGACAAAAACCTATTTCTACTGACTGAAGGGAATGCTGTGTATGATGCTGATGATACAAAAGACGGCTCAGAAGGTCGGAGTGCTTTCTGATGCCTGTATTTGTACAAAATAAACTCTTAAGATGAGTAAAGATGCTTAAGAAAAGATTAAGATAAGACACTATTTTGTGTTATCCAGAGGGAAATTGCTGTGCAGTAGTTGCTAATACAAACTAGGGCTGGGCGATATGACAAAAAACTCTCAGTATTTTTCCAAACTAGAACGGTATCACAGTGTATCATGGCATTTATTTATTTTTCAATGAGTGGAAATGTATTTACATTTATAAGTGTTGGCCACACACAAACACACCTGATCAGTGGTGGCCCTCATGAGTCTTATTTGGTGAAGGAATCAAAATGCATGAAACAGCTGCAAAATGTAAACCATTTTATTGTGCAAACTTTGCGTACCACATAACAACATAACTACTAACAAGAAAAGCACTGTTTGAAAATGTAAACAAATCCCCCCTTCCCTGAAACTGCACATTTGAATTATGATTGACCTTCAAACAGAGGTTCAAAATAAAAGAAGAAAGTGCAACGTAATAAACCTCGCTTCAAGCCAAGGTACACTACACAGACAATATTCAAGTATTTAAACAAATATAACTAGTGCAACTTGGCTGGCACTGCACTATTATCCCTCAATATAGAGACTTTAACACACTTTATTTAACAGTCAAAATGGCTACACTATGAACGTCATAAAGGCACCAAAGCTGAACATTATCTACAGACTAGTGAGGCGACATTAAGGCTTTGGTAAAGCTTGTTGAGAATTGAGACATCTCAGACATTACACATTTTGTAACACTGCAACGGTATTGCGGTATATGAAAAATTCACATCATACGGTATAAAGTTCACGGTATTAGGTATGAAACGGTATACCTCCCAGCACTAATACAAACCATACGAAAACAGAAAATATAAAAATATAAAATACAAATATATTCAATTGCAAAAGAAAGTTAAAAGTAAGGAATAGTCTAATCTACAAATATATTAGTAGTCATATGTTATATTGCACTTACGTCCCATTAATGCTCATTAAGTCTCAACATGATATAAGTTGTTGTGGTTGAGTTGTAATGATAAATAATTAAATACTGACAATAAAAATGGTGGTTTAAGAGCTTAAAACTGATAAAGTGACACCCAGAGGATTGTGGTAATAAAAAAGTTATTAGGTTTCCAAGTGTAAAATGACAAAAATAATATAAATATATTGTATGATTTCATAGTTAAAAAAAAGGAGTGCTGAAATATTGTGAATACTCCTGCCGAGTACAAAACATTGACCACACACACTGTCAGGTTTTTGTACGAGTATGTGGCACTGTGTGGAACGGGGGGGGCACAGTGCTATATGGCAATACAAAAACCTGTCCTAAACTGAACGGAGGCCCAGAGTCACTATGCCTAAAACCTTAGAAACCCACAAACCCCAGAAAAGCTGTTTTTGTCTTGCCATCATATCATATTTTTCAAAATCCCAAAACACCATTCATCACTCTCATCAGAAGCGTGTGAATGTAATTTGTCCATAATCTTAATATAGATCAATTACTATATGTCTTAGTGGTGTTTGGTTGCAGACAGAATATTAACCATGCAACAAATAATGCAAAGGTTTTTGTATATGCCACATATATGTGGCACTAGGTATGCAGCAACAGCAATAATGATATCAACAATTATATATTTCACATACTGAAAAACTAAAAGAGGAAAAAGGTGGGCCTACTTACAAATTACAGTTTAAAGTATGTTTTTAACTTGATGAATGGTCACAACGCAAGGATCTAACATGTATTTGATGAGAAAATGAACTGCTAACTGCTACCCATAACTTTAAATGTTCTATACAAACACACACATACACTCAAAACAGTTAGACTAAGTAACAGACACTATCAAAAGAGAAATGAAAATGTGGGTACTTTTTGGACTTCCTTGCTGGTTAATATTTATGTAACACAGAGGAAACATTTACCACAGCAGGTGTTTCCTCATCCAGTCAACAAACTGAACGTTTAGACTGAAAGCCAAGGGCTCAGAAACCAGCCCTGACAAGACATGATAATACTTAACGCAAAAGCATGCCAGAAAAATTGTGTGTTTTATGTTTTCAAGATTAAAATAATTATTGAATCAAGCAATTCCATTCTAATAGATAACATTTGTCTTAGCCAGTACCGTTGAAAAGTATTTACTTATTAGTATTCATTTACTTACTTAGTATTTAGACTTTGTGACTTTGTCTATCACAGAATAAACATTTAAAAACATTTGAATGGTTTTAGGATTTCATGCAATTTAGTCTAACTAGGTAAGATAAGGTTAGTACAGACCAGAGCAGCATCAAGGAATCAGCCCCTTTTTGTGGGAAGAAATGTCTCGGTGACGTTAGCTACAGGACTACTAGTGAGGACGCGTGTGAACTGCGAGCGCCGGAGCCTGTGGCGCGCTTACACTATTGCGCCACATAAGCGCATAAAGGTGCGCGCATTTGCGCTTCAGATGAGGCTCCCTCCGCAAGATTAGGGCCCCTCCGTGAGGCCCCCTCCACGAGGTGAGGCCCCCCTCCACGAGGTGAGGCCCCACGGCGGCCCTGTGTGTAACCATTAACCAATAACTAACCAAGGTAACCCCCCCCCCCACCTTATCACCTGAATCTCCTCCTAGAGCACCATTGTGTTCTTTTTAACCAAATATCTCTCTGAGGGGCGTGGGGAGTGGCTCCTTATTTTCATCTAAAGTAATAAACAGAGAATCAGCACTTTTGAAACAGGGCTGAAACAGAGGGGTTTATGGGATGCTACAATGATCTGTTGGGTGTTTGGAGCCAAACACTTCAGAGACATGTTGTGTATATATCTGAGACCTATAATATATTGATGAAAAACAGTATGATAGGGGACCTTTAATATAATATGGGATACACACTGTTAATGGCAACATTATTCTGGGGACACTGACAGAGTGCCAATGGGGACATCTATGGCTCAGAATGTAGATATTTGTCCGAGGGCATGGTACAGTATGTTTGCAAATATTTCGTCAAAAAAAGTAGAAAAAATAGGAACTTTGACCAGGTAGATGACATGTCGATCAACAAAAATCTTTACAATTCACCAGAGATCAAAAAGAATATATAAAGACAAAGCCACTCAAAACCATAATATCAATCGCACACTATATACAAAAAAGTATTAGGACACTCGTCTTAATCATTGAATTCTGTTTCATTCACTCCCATTGCCACAGGTGTATAAAATCAAGCACCTAGCCATGCAGTCTGCCTTTACAAACATTTGTAAAAGAATGGGTCGTTCTAAAGAGCTCACTGAATTCAAACATGGTTCTGTAATAGGATGCCACCGTTGCAACAAGTCAGTTCGTGAAATGTCTTCTCTCCTTGATATTCTACGATCAACTGTAAGAGGTATTTTTGTAAAGTGAAAACGTTTAGGAACCAAAGCAACGCAGCAACGAAGTGTAAGACCACGTAAAGTTACAGAGAGGGGTCGCCGAGTGCTGAGGCGCATACTGCGTAAAGTTCCAAACCAGCTCTGGCATTAATATCAGCACCAAAACTGTGCGCCGGGAGCTTCATGGCATGGGTTGTCATGGCCGAGCAACTGCATGCAAGCCTTACATCTCCAAGCACAAATCCAAGCGTTGGATGGATTGGTGTAAAGCACCACTGGACTCTGGAGCAGTGGAAACTGGCATGACTGTGCCCAAAGCAAGGTCCATTAAGGCAGTGGTTCCCAAAGTGGGGGGCGCAGAGGCATGACAGGGGGGGCGCGAGAGACCAGGAGGAAAAATGGTTATTAAAAAAAAAAAAAAAAAGATTTAAAAAAATAATATGATACAGTACTATTACGTCTGGGTCTCTGTGTTTCATTAAAGCTCGGCTCTGTGTGTGTGTGTGTAACGAGCCATTTTGTGTGCGTGCGCGCGCGAGAGAGAGAGAGCGCACCGGTACCGGAGATCGTTGTTGTTAGCTTCTGGTGCTAGCGAGCTACGCTAACGGATATAAGGAGTTTTTTCAACAACAAAGTGGAGGAGAGTCCTCTCCTGTCAGACTGAGAGACTCAGTGAGCTAAAGGACTCTCTCAGTGTTATCTCAGTGGGTCTCAAATGTTTTGGTCACCATTAATGTAAACAATTATTTCCGAGGCACACGTTTAGATCATTATAGTTATAAAAAAATAAGAGAATAAATGAAAAACAGGTATGAAATACTATATGACAGTAAAAAAAGAATAAAGTTTAAAAGGGTGATTTGTAAAATATCCATAAAGAAAAAGTTAATCTGTTTACAGTTCTGTTTCATATGGGTGTTGAGAGAGGTATCCATAGATCTCTTCATTTTGCTCTCAAAGTGCACCAGATTGATGCATATAACTTCAATATTTAAAAATAAATCTTCCACTTTACCCCTGCTTACATCTATATGCCGTGAGCTGATTATCGAGCTGATGTAACAGTCGCGGGCAGGGGCGGACTGGGACTACAAATCAGCCCGGGACTCTCGACCGGCCCACTTCAGTACCGCCGGCCCACCTCGGTAAATTATCAACGGGGGGGGGGGGGGGCTAGTGACTTATCCGAGCGGCCCACATCGTCCGACCGGCCCACTTCAGTACCGGCCCATCGGGATTCGTCCCGAACGTCCCGATGGCCAGTCCGCCCCTGGTCGCGGGTACACTGTGTATATGCGTGGGGAGTGTTGCAGTAGAAAATTCCACTGTAGCGACCGGTACATTAATGGGAAACCCTAAATGTTTGAGCACCCTCTATGAAACGTCAAGCTACCCCACAGCACCGCCAAAATAAATCTCTGGAGCCACCACTGAGCCTGACTTGTGTTGGGGGGCCCGACTTTTTATTTTCTCCAAAGGGGGGGCCTGACAGAAAAGGTTTGAGAACCACTGCATTAAGGCATGGTTGGATGAGTTTGGTGTGGAATAATTTGACTGACTCGCACAGAGCCCTGACCTCAACCCCATTAAACACCTTTGGGAAGAACTAGAACGGAGAGCCAGGTCCTCTCGTTCAACATCAGTGTCTGACTTCACAAATGCTCTTCTCGATGAATGGGCAAAAATTCCCACGGAGACAGTCCAAAATCTTGTAGAAAGCCTTCCCAGAAGAGTGGAAGCTGTTATAGCTGCAAAGGGGATTCCTAAGAATTTGGAATGGGATGTCATAAAGCTCCTGTAGGTGTAAAGTGCATGTGGCCCAATACTTTTGTCTATATAGTGTATGTCGAAGCTAGACTGTAGAAGAAAGGTTGGGGGAACACAAAATGAAGTAGGATTGATAGTCTTGGGACTGTGGATGTCAGGTCAAAAATCCATTCAATGACTGACAAGTTGTCAGGACAAAAAGTGGTGGACCAACGGAACAACAGACCATTATTGCCATCCATAGGACCACACCGCCACTGTGGCTTAGAACAAACACTAAATCAAAGATCTGCAACCCACCTCACAAGTTCCTGCATATGTAGGTCTGGGACAAAGTGTGGCCTAATGTTAAGTTTTCAAAAACTAAGCTTAACTCTCTTGAGGCTCTGTGTTTTGTTTTGATAAGTTCTAGAATACTTGTTTAAATTGGCTACTTGTGCACTATAGAACTACTCATTGCCTTTTGCGTAAAGCTGCATTCACATTTAATTTCTACAGTTACCTCCCGGGGTTCGCGCCGCTTAGCACAGCTGTCATCTGATTGGTTGCACATAAAAAGGTCAGTGAACAAAGTCAACATAATTTGACAATGTCGAGCACCACATTTCCCATAGAAACAAAACGGCAACGTCCGCGCCGAGACCTTTTGCCGCTTTTCATGTTAATGCAGCTTTAAGATGGGTGTGGCAATTTTAATGATAAAAGATTAGGTATTTAGTGCTTTAAGGTTTAAACGTTTAAAACTCTCATAAAGACCCAACTGTGTGTGTCAGTACAGATACATACACTACAACTTTTCTGTGTCTGTCGTCATACAACTGCAACTTTAGAAAAACGGAATTGAAAAGTGGAGGAACGACTATTTGTGGGGGAAACTTCTGTGTAGCAATGCAGGAGGAGTCACCGACTCAGGAAGGAGACACGGGGAGAGCTGGAGCTTTGATGTCAAACACTGATGGTTTATTTAGGAGCTTCGGCCGGAGAATTCACAAAACAAGTCAAAGGGTCAGAGGTTCTGACTTCACGGTAGAGTTGCCATGTCAATTCTGAAGAACTCTACCCCAGACCCATGTATTTAGCTAGTTCAGAGAGAATAATCAACATTGTGCATAACACCTCTATCAGCTGACGCCAACAGGCAGGAACAGGGAGACAAAACACTGAGAGCAAAGCAGCCAAGGTTACAGGTGCGTGTGCTCAGTCAGGACAGTATGAACTGATAAACTGGGTCAAAGTTATGGGCCTTGGAAAATATTTCCCCAACACTATTTACCTCTAGATTATTGCTTCAGATTGAACAACACATTGACATAAGTAAACATGAATGTCATATTAAAGCGTAACCATGAAGTAAACACCACCATTGGAATTGTATTATGAGATTGAATAAAATAACTTTTTACTCAAATAGTACACCAAGCATCCTGTGAACACAATGTTGGAACCCGCTTTTAACCTCCTAAACGCATTTTCTCAAATGACATCATACATTTCTCAGTTTAGCTGTAACCGTTTACATTAAGTGTGTATTTTTTTAATTCTTCACCTTCCAGCCAGTACACTATCAAAATTAGGAGTATGGACTTACAATTAAACATCTCTATTTTGCTTTGATCAAATTAAACCTGATAATAATGTGACTTGAAACGTTGAATGTTTCAGTGAAAATAAACACTCACTGCATGGAAGGTTAGAAATGCAATCCTTACATGTGTAAAATGTTAAACACTAACATGTACACAAGGCTTGTAAGCTAGTTATTGGACTAAAACACAAGATATCTTTAAGACGGACAGTAAGTCTGTGTTTATAATAGATCAAGTTACAACGAATACACATTTTTAAACTTCAATTGTGAAAATGTGGACAAGCTCTATAACCATTGCTTCAGGAGCTGGAGGGTCTGATAAAGAGGAAGTGTTCACTAACCGTTGGCAAAACACACATAATTTTATATAACCCAGACCACAGGAAATGCATATCTCAAGGGAAGTGGTTAATAAATAGTACAGTGGGCATTGCTTCATCAGTTGAGACTAACATGAATGCTTTTCTTGGTTTAATATCATTTGAAGTATTTGTATTAGAAGCAGATTGTAATATATCACTGTGACGGATACTTTGACTACTGGGGGAAAGGAACACAAGTCGCAGTGACTTCTGGTGAGTAATAATTTAATATATATCAAGTGAAGACAATTCAATTTCTTTCAGGTTTATTGTTGCATTTTTCTATATTCTAACTCTGCTCATAAATAACATTAATCTGTAGCAAAAACAATATCACGGTGAATGTTAGGTATAAAGTAATTTACTGAATAGGTACCGTCATTTATTAGATAATAGTAGCTATAAAATATTTTTGTACTAAGATCTATTGAAACATATCACTGTGACGACTACTTTGACTACTGGGGAAAAGGAACAATGGTGACCGTCACAACAGGTAACAAAAGCTTTTATGGTCTTTATATTGAAAATGTAATAATTACTCAATTGAATATATCATATTTAGATTCGGGGGCACCAAATGCATCTTTAAGGCGCTCATTTTTGTACGTTAGATGTGTTGACACATTACACTGTGCTACGGTGCTTTTGACTACTGGGGTAAAGGCACAATGGTTACAGTCACATCAGGTAAGGCACTCCTTATTTTTCTTTCTCTAATATATTTAAATCTCAACGTAAATAAATTGGTAGTTAAAAAAAAAAGGAATTTCTGACACCATGCAATTCATTCAATTCTGGGATACTGTAAGCCAAATGTGTTAAAATCAATAGACTCAATTCAAAATGTTGAAAATCATGTTTAGTTCTCTTTTCTGAGTCCTTGTTTGAAAAAGCCCAGGTAAACAGAGGGTAGATTGTCAGGGAACAGGTTTTTGTATGCAGTGGTTGATAACTTGTTGAACTGTGACTACGCTTTTGACTACTGGGGAAAAGGCACAATGGTCACCGTCAGCTCAGGTATGTCATTTTAATATTTCCAATTAGAGAATTCAATTCCTAATCATCTAACTAAAATATATATTGTCATTTTCATGTAGTCACAACTATTGGTCAGTTTTAAAACAGCCAAAAGTCCTTTGCAGCCTGATAGAGAATCTGAGAAAAGCTTTACATGATTTAGTTCAGTTGTAAAGCAAGTCTAGCAACAGGTGTATATTTGAGCTTGATTGTAACTGCCGTAACACACAAATTATGTGACATTAAGTAAGGGACATTAAAGTAATGAGTTTTTGTGAGAAGTGTCAGTTGACTCTCATGACTGTGACAACTGGGCTTTCGACTACTGGGGAAAAGGCACTATGGTAACAGTGTCCTCAGGTAAGAATTGTACCATTTAAAGTCTACAACAAGTTGTTTTTCAGACTGCACAATATCATGTAAAGTTATTTTTTAGCATGTGAAGTCTAACTTAAAAAATAAAGCTTTGAATACACAGTCAGTGATATTCTCAGTAGGACACAATGGTGGATATTTGCGGTAACTGTAGCTTGGGTTAGCAAGCGGATTTAATAATATAGTGTGATTAATAGAAAATGAAGTCAAATCTTTCCGCTCGCCATTAGATGTAGCCTTATAATACTAACAGCTAAGTAGATTCAGCACTGTGCTACTACGAAGCGTTTGATTACTGGGGAAAGGGTACAACGGTAACTGTTTCATCAGGTAAGAATACTTTCTTATTTCATACATAACCGCTAAATTTGAGATTAAGAAATGGATGTTTAGTGACTTTAAATGTTCATCCATTTAACTCAAAAAGTTATTTAATTGAGGTAGGTTAAACGTTGTCCAACAATCAAAATCTAGACGAATGACAGAGGGGAACATAAAGATCCGTGAATGGATAATTTAAAATATAACGCAATCAGGACGGTGCTTTGTTACATTTAATTAAAACTAAATTGTCTTATCACTGTTTTACCTAATGCCTGGTGAAAATGTCTGTTGTATACAATTTATTTGTAATTGTATTAACACGTATGTTATTTCTTTTTTCAGCCACTGCCACTGTCAGTGGACCAACTGTGTTTCCTCTGATGCAATGTGGCTCCGGGACCGGAGGCACAGTCACTCTCGGCTGCTTAGCCACCGGCTTCGCACCGTCTGCTCTGACCTACGGATGGAGCGAAAAGGGGGTAGGCTTGCCCTTGACAGACTTCATTCAGTACCCCCCCATACAGAAGAACAACCACTATCAGGGTGTCAGTCAAATCCAAGTGAGTAGAGCGGACTGGGATGCCAAGAAGGAATTCACATGTACCGTGACACATGAAGCGGGAACTGCGCAGGGTGACTTCAAAAAGCAAGGTAAGACCTTTGTTAAGTCAAATGTAAGTGTCTTAGTAGTTGATTAAAAATCTAGCAAATAAGTTTTCATGGTGGAACAACAATGTTAATTATTTGTTCTTATTAAATTAAATTCTAGTAGTGTGCTTATCATAAATGTTAATTATTTGTTCTTATTCAATTGAATTAAATTGTCGCAGTGTGGCAATAATAACTTATGAATATTGTCAGAATGAATAGGTTGGGAGTGTAGTGTCGAAGAAAGTTTTACACTTTATAGTGCACTGCTACAAGGCTACTTCTAGTCACTAATACTTAAGATACTGATAACATAACATAAAATCAGTTGGTCACCTTATGTAAGATAACTATTTAAATTCCAAAAATAACAAATTTAACAAATATTGAAACGAAAAATTGTGCTTCAAGGCGTTGTACACAAAAGCTATTAAACAAGAGAGTTTATTAAATATGGCAACTTAGTGTAAATCCTGCATATTGCAAATAAACAATTGAACAATTAACAACAAAAAGGAGGCAGCAAATAGCAGGAACACTTATGATAAGAACAATTCAACCTGTCAGTAAATACTCAAAACAAAGGAAGGGTGACTGTAAAATAAAGGCAATGTTGAATAAATGTGTTTTAAGTTAACGGGGAAAAAGTTTACAAAGCTGTAATAGCCCTCTAGTTTTGGTCCATTGTTAAATAAAACTGAGCTCAACCTTAACCTTTATAATAGTATACAGAGCTGCTCATTTTGTAATTCGTCAAATGAATGAATAGCGGTTTAATTGTTCAAAAAGACAGATATACTCCCATCTGTCATTTCAAAGGAACATTAACACAGGAGAGCATGCAAAACGAATTAATTGTTGCAAAATGATGTGTGTGAAATAGTGTATCCTTAAATATTTTTATAGTTTTATAATAAGTAGGGATAACGGCCAAATCTTACAGTGAGGTGGAACGAGAAGGCTAAAGCTCAGCTGTTAACTTACGTCTATTTTTTTCATTTCTAATTTACTGTACACCCTCTGCACCTGTTACAAAAACAGATAACTGCTATATGTCCTGCTTCTTTCCGTCGATCTGCATTTTACAAATGTCTGTCTGCTTCCCCTTTTATCGATGTTGATTATTAACTTTAACTGTGTGTTCGCTTGCCCGAGCATCTAATGTATATGCAGAAGCAAGCATTACTTGTTACATACAAGTCTTTTATTTAACTATTAACTTTATTTATTTTTCTGCAGTCTTTATTAACAAGCTACAGTAAGTGTTAAATGGAAGAGCATAATCACCATGTGAAATACGAACAAAGTTATACACTCAAATATAATATATGTTTAAAGTGAATATAATAAAAAAATAAGCATTGTAGCACATTGTTCACATTTGCTTCTGCATATATATATATGATTACCTGCTTCTGCAAACATATTTGTGTATATGTTTGTTTTTCAGAGGTGGAATATAGAGTTCCAACTCTTAAAGTGTTAGCCTCCACTTCCTCTGGAGACAATGAGACTTACCTCTCCTGCTTGGCCAGTGATTTTTCACCTGCCGAATATGAGATCAAATGGCTGACAATCAACAATCAAAACATCATAACCCAAATCCACGAGATGAAAACTCTTCCTGCGGAAAGAAAGGACGAGAATGGAACTTTACTGTACAGCGCAGCAAGTTTCCTCACGATGGATTCCAATGACCCGACTTTGAAGAACCCTGTCACATGTCTGTTTGAGGGGAAAGGGGAAAAAGGTCCAAGTACCGTGAATAGATCGCTCAACATAACGAAATGTTATGACAAACCGGGGGAGGGCCTTATCGGTAAATGACTACTTTATCTTTCAAAATTGTATACAAAGAGTTCAATTTTCATGTTTTTGCAGCCATCTCTGTTAAATAATTCTTCATTGTCTCCTCATTTAAAGAAGTCAGCACAGATTGTCCTATAGCAGATGCCGATGTACATATCATCGAACCCTCAATGGAGGACATGTTTTTACAAGACAAAGGAACGGTATATTGTCGAGTCAAGGTTAACAAAACACCTCTGGATAAGATTTCGTGGGAGACCGAGGCTGGAAATCCAATACCTGGTGCCATCCCAACTACCAAATTTAAGGGCGGTAAGGGAGTATTTGATGCTGAACTTACCATCACGTATGAAGAATGGATAAAGGGCACCAAGTTTGTCTGCAAGGTGGAACATAACGATTGGATGGAGCCACTTAAAACAACCTACCAAAGGATTAATGGTAAGAATCTATGGGGCAATTGTTCAAAACCTGTTTTCAATTCCTTTTGTCATGCCATCAAACATGAGTGTTATTTCTTTGTGTATTATGTAGCAGGGATTTTCTTCTTTAGGCCTTCTATCTGTGGCCAGAGCCCTAATTGTTCTCTAATGCTTGCAGGAGGAACGACTCAGCGTCCATCAGTGTTTATGCTACCTCCCCTAGAACATACTAAAAAAGAAACGGTGACCCTGACTTGCTTAGTGAAAGACTTCTACCCGAAGTATGTGTTTGTGGCTTGGCTTGTTGATGATCAGGAAACAGTCTTGCAATACAACACCACCACAAGCCCTATAGAAAACGAGGGATCCTATTCTGCTTATGGCCAGTTAACTCTCAGCCTTAAACAGTGGAACGACAATGACACTGTGTTTAGCTGTGTTGTTTACCATGAGTCTATGGTCAAAACAGGAACTAAAGCCATTGTCAGATCCATTGGGCACAGAACATTTGAAAGAACCAACCTGGTCAACCTCAACATGAACATCCCCGATACGTGCAATCCCCGCAATTAGATGTGATTCTGTGTCACTGTGTCTTCGGCTGTTTGTTGTTTAATGTTTGTGCTTGTTATATCACATTGTGTTTGTCGTTTTAATGCAGATTCAAAATAAAAAAAAGCTCTTTGCAACTCAGTTGTTGTATGTCGCATGTTGTTTATGTCTTTATTAGTTTAATATCTCCATGTTTATCATACTGTAAGTGTGGAGTCACAGTGCTCTCCTAATGCAACACACATTAGGTTAAGCCATCCGTGTGTTAAGCAGTGATTAAAATAGATCAAATTTAACATCATCACCTCAAAAGAAATCTAATGAAGAAAATCTATTTGTTTATCGTGTTTGGTATACATAGTATTACCATTGTTTGTGTGACTTGTCTTTGTGTATGTGTGTTTCTACTACTGGGTCTTGCAGCCCGACATAAGACAAATAGTTATTCACGGCCAAACTCCAGCTCTATGGTCGAATAATGAATTGACTGATTCACAAGCCAGGTCATGACACATAAAGGGGTCTTTCAAAAGCAATTCAAGATCATTGTAGGATGACTTTAATTATCATAATCAATTTTAGTGGGACCTTTAGCCCAGCCTTTTACACTTACAATAATGTATACAGTTACATTATTTTAATTTGTAGTTCAACTTGGATTGACTGACATTGATTAACTGTAGTTTCACACTGACCTGAGGTTATTAAGAGTGAGGGAGGGAAGTGATTATGATATGGTAATCATCTCATGAGCCACTGTTTTAAAGCTGGGTTTGTCTCAGGCATTAACTGAATAATTACTGTACATCCAGGCTCCTCCCAAAGGATCATTGACAAGGAGGTAGGAGATAACAAGGGAAGCACAGAGGTAGAAGAAGATGACATGAAAAGCACAGCCATCACCTTCATCTTTCTCTTCCTCATCACTCTGCTGTTCACCATTGGAACCACTGCTTTCAAGGTAATAATGAGTTAATTAGGTAATGATGTGGATTGAATTCAGCCAGAAAAAGACAACTGAGTAAGTAGTTGGATGTCTTCAAACAACACTAAGGGGTGGACCGAAAACTCCACTAATATGAGAAGTTACAAAGGGTGCATGTAGTGAATAGACGTTGTAAATGAAATGTCAGAATACGTGATAATATCTAATGTAATCATATCATAACTGCCTTAGTTAGTACATATTGTGAATTGGCTAGAATCAGGCAATAAGATAGGCAGCATGATACAGGGGTTATGATTCAATAAATTAACATAAGCAATACTATTTATTTTAATCTTATTTTATAAAAAACTTTTAAAGTGTAAAGAACAACCAGCCATATGCATAACATCTGAGTAAAACTAATTGTACGCGATCAGAACCGTGGAATCTGCATTTGCATTATTCACAGCTGCTTTAAACTTGATCTAAGTATTTTTTGCAATCCGAGCAAAGGAATTAACTTTTGCTTAAGAGTAATACAACCAGGATTCTTTAGGTAAACAAATTAAATAAAAACAAAGTTTAACCCTTGTGTTGTGTTCGAAAGCTGTTACCGTTCATGGTGTTAGCGGGTCAATTTTGACCCATGATTATCTAAGTCCAAAACACTCAAAAATAATGACTATCATCCAATATTGTTTTATCGACATCATAACTAACTTATTATGCATTCATAACCGTACAATCCTGTTGTAATTGTATTGTATGGCCCCAAAACACATTACACCACATATTTAAGTAAAAAATGTGATTAAATTCAATCATTATATTCCCTATAGTGGAGACAGTGGATCATTACGTTATCTGACTATAATAGACTAATATTAGAATACAATTTCCCCCCAAAACGTTTTTTAAACTTTATATTATTAACTACAGTAACCTCTGTGGTGTCTAAAGTCAAAGATGAATCTTGATTGGGCCAAATTTGACCCAGTGACCCACAAGAATGCTGCCCAGACCCGAACACCAAATGATACACTTATTTTTTTTAGAGACCTTAAGACTTGGCTAAAATTGTCAAAAATCAGTGTTGTAGTGTGTAGTGTTAATTTCGTTGACTAAAACTATGTCGAAATATGTTCGTCAACGACCTTTTTTTCCATGACGAAAACGAGACGATGACGAGACGACACCGACGGCAGTAAACAATAACTAACGAAATCATCATGCAATATCGTTGACGAAAAGTGACGAGACGAAAATGTAGTTTACTAAATAAAAACTATGCCAAAATCTCTCTTTACTTTCGTTGACGAAAAATGAGGAGACGAAATATTATTAAAGATAACGTTACATTTCTGAAAGTCAGTTTTTCTCCCAGCAGTTCCATTTCCGGTGCTGCGGCTTGGCAGCAGCTGTGTGTCTGTGCTGCGCGCGGCGGTACATTTGAATTACACCGGGCAGCGGCACAATATGAACTGTCAGGAAGACTCGGGTCTAACTACTCATGGTCTAACTAACCTTATTTAACAGAAAATAAAATGGCAACAACAGGGCTTGGGAGCAGTGGTCGCACTCGCGTTAACCGAATACCCCCCCCGTCAGCGCGAGTGAGTGATAAATGGTGCACTCGACGGGTAATAATGGATTATGACGGAAATGTTACGATCCTGTCCGTCAAAATGACTGACAACGAAAAAGTCTAACGCCACCACTGCTTGGGAGAAAGAAACGATGTGATATTTGGGCCCATTTTCGCTACAATGAGGCTGAGAAAAAAAGCGAATGCATTGTTTTATCAGAAGGGAAGCAATGTAGCCTTAACACAGCTGATAAAAACACCACAAACCTGACCAGATACTCTCTGCAAAGCTGCATTCTTAATCATTCAACCTGTGTTTTTCATCAAATAAGGACAAGATATAATCTTATTGTGAAATAAGTTTGACTAAAATGACAAATTATTGGTTTTGGCTAGACTAGTTTGACTGAAATGTTCTATATAATCTGATGACTAAAAAAGACTCAACAGTTTTCATTGACAAAAAGTAGACTAAAATAATTAGTTTTCTTTGACTAAAATAAGACTAAAATGCTCAGACTTTTAGTTGACTAAATCTTGACTAAATAAAAACAGGATGAAGGTGACTAAATATGACTAAAACTAAAAAGGAAATTTAACACAGGACTAAGACTAAAACTAAATTAAAAAATAGCTGACGAAATTAACACTACTAGTGTGTATAGCTGTTGTGGAGGATATCATGAAGCCTTGTTCCGATAAAAAAACCTAGAGCTTATTATTGTGTTTTTGTGTTTTTAGCACTTCTTAACACGTGACTTGTGTGGTCATTTATTATTTTATGATTCCTATGATGTTTTAATGTTTTGTCAAGCACTTGACTTTGCTGTGAAAAGCGCTTTATAAATAAATGTTACTTACTTACTTATTGTATAATTTTAACTTGAAACGTGTCACGGGAGACCCGAACACTTAAATGGACATTGAACTATAAATAAAACATGTGTAGTCTTTTTGAGAATTAATACAGTATCGCCAAAGATAACCTCACATTATTTATATTTTCTTTATAGTAAATATAGTAATGTTTTTAATAAAAGGTAGTAATACATTATTAAAGAGTTTTTAGAACAAGTCCCAATATCAATGATGTAGGCATGTTGAGGGGGCGGACACAGATCCTACAGTATACTTTAAAATAGAAAAAATCCCTTTTTACGTAAAGAGTTCTAAAGACTTTTCTACAGAGGTGTTAAGTCAACCCTATGGTAACCATCATACTTAAAGTTGTGTCTTATTGAGTGTTGAATATTATGTTTCACATAGATTAATGAATCTTAATGAATGAAATGAGAACAGCATACTACAACATAAGCCAGTTGTAACACTAAGTATTGATACCATTTAGTGATACAGTTATTATTAGTTATTTCTAATCCATTTTTTTTTGTCTTTTCAGGTTAAATGAAACGAGGTGAACTTTCTTTAAAAAAAAGAAAGAAAAGGGGGGGGGGGTTTCACATTTCTTTCTTATAAACTCATGGTACCATGTAAGTTATCACAACTGTCCTTTATCATTTTTCTTAAAAGAGCTTTGTGTGTTTTTGAAAAATAAATATTTCATTAAAGATAACCATTGCTCTCGACATTTTTTCGTAACCTCCCTAGCACCTGGAATCAACAGTCCACTCATTATGTAAATGTCTAAATGTAAATGTATTTGTTACAGTCAGTAAGTTCTCAAGTCTATTATTAATGGAATTGAGAACTAAAACCTTTATCAAAGTCATGAGAAGTCATGTAAAATCTATGTGAAAACTGATATGAGACATTTAAATGTGCACATCGTTTCTTCTACTGGCATAACCACACCTCACACCTGGTGTCTGTCATGCACCGTTGCTCTTGGCAGTGTTTCACTTCTGTATTTTGGTACTTTTTTGGGACCTGGGTGTTACTCAATGCTTCCGCTTGCTGCTTGCCCTGATCACTCTGCCCTGTCATTCTGCAACATCTGTGCAACAGACTTCAAGCCTCGTCTCCACCTGACTGTAAGACACCAGACCATGTAAAAGTACAACTCTGCCACCTAGCCTTATATGAATATAATACACTTAGATATGAGAAAACGCAGTTGGTAACTTGACTAAAAAGGTATGTATATCATAAAAGACTAAATCATCTTATATTTGAAAATTGTCCACAGCTAACTTTTAGAATGAGGCAAGTAATGGATATTTTCTCTATCTCAGAGCAGCGGATTGTCCCTCCAAATATCACACTACACCCTTTGTGGGAAGGTGAATGTGGGGCCTCACCAGTCAGACTCATCTGCACCCTAAGTGGCTACTTTCCTGACGGACTGAAAGTGGAGTGGAAGCAGGACAACGCACATCTAAGTAATGTGGGTACCCAGAAGGTGTTGCAGAGTGTGGAAGGAGTGAAGAAAACCTTCAGTTTAAGCAGCGAGATTGTGCCGAATATCAAAGAGTGGGCAGGTGGCTCAATTTATACATGCAAGTCCGTTCAAAACAATAAGGAATTTATAAAAACAACAAGTATTTGTCAACGTAAGTACATACTACTTCACAGCACAATGAAAAAAATAAGGAGTGTTAATGAGAACATGTATAGACAAATGTGTTTTTGGTTCCTGCAGTCCATGCAAGTGCCCCTCCCTCCATTCATGTGGAGATCCCCAGCTTCAAGACTGTAATGATGGCAGGATCCACGGTGAACGCTACCTGTTTGGTCCACACTATGTTTGAAGCCAATGTGACCTGGCTGATGGATGGTGAAGAGACAGAAAGTAGTTCAGTGCAGAGTAACACAACTCATATTCTCAGTGAAGTGACGCTGACCTCAAGTCAATGGAAACAACTTGTCTTTCTGACATGTAAAGCTGACCATAAGTGCTTCTCATCCACTGAGAAGACTGTGAATGTTGCAGGTATGATTACTATACTATATGAATAATAGATGTCTTTGACAACTAAATACATAAAACAATATAATCTGCTTTGTTTTCTTCTATATCATCCATGGCCTGCAGTTACAGCTCCATTGGTTGGAATCAGGAGATCTCTAAAGGATTTGCTGGAAGGAAATAGTGCTGTGCTGAAGTGTGACGTCACAAAGCTCTCATCACATGACCTGTACGTCACTTTTCAGACCAACGGTGTTGACATTCCTGGCCAACAGTATGTCAATCTTCCTCAAGCCCCAGGCCTCCATTCAATCAGTACAAGTTTCTCTGTCCCTAAAAGTTCCTGGAATCAAAATGCAAGTTTCACCTGCAAAGTGAACCAAGGCTTCTCCAACAGCTCTGAATCAAACTCCACTGGCAATATTTTTGGTGAGAGAAGTAATACTTTCTTCCTTGATGACAGTTGACATGTTTTAAACCTAAAATATTCACTTATTGTTTAATTGGTGCATTGATACATCTCATTTTTCAGTGGAGCCATCAGTGGAACTTCTTCTGGCCCCCAGTGAAGAATCAGGACCCCAGAGACTCTTGTGCTCTGGATCGGGCTTCGACCCACAAATCAAATGGTCTTCTGAGTCTCAGCAAAGATCTCCATCAACTAATGAAATCAGCATGGATGCAGATGGACGTGTGGCGGTAACCAGTCAACTTCATATCCCTCAATCAGAGTGGAGCACAGGGAAGGTCTTCACTTGTGAAGTTTATGACAAGTCTCTGAACAAATCTCAGAGAAAGGACATCAGTGTCTGCTCAGGTAAAACTAAGTGGAGACTCACAACTCCAGCTATCTACTACGAACCATTTGACCAATCAAAAAGTGTTTCAAAAACCTTTGTTTAAGTATTGTGTCAGTATAGTCTTAGAATATAAAAAAGTATTTACAACGGTATCATTGTATAGCATTTTGGTGTTGCATCATAATGTTTTTTCCTTGTTTCCTATCAGCTTGTTCAAGTGCCCCTCCCTCCATCCATGTGGAGATCCCCAGCTTCAAGACTGTAATGATGGCAGGATCCACGGTGAATGCTACATGTTTGGTCCACACTATGTTTAAAGCCAATGTGACCTGGCTGATGGATGGTGAAGTGACAGAAAGTAGTTCAGTGCAGAGTAACACAACTCATATTCTCAGTGAAGTGACGCTGACCTCAAGTCGATGGAAACAACTTGTCTTTCTGACATGTAAAGCTGACCATAAGTGCTTCTCATCCACTGAGAAGACTGTGAATGTTGCAGGTATGATTACTATACTATATGAATAATAGATGTCTTTGACAACTAAATACATAAAACAATATAACCTGCTTTGTTTTCTTCTATATCATCCAGGGCCTGCAGTTACAGCTCCATTGGTTGGAATCAGGAGATCTCTAAAGGATTTGCTGGAAGGAAATAGTGCTGTGCTGAAGTGTGACGTCACAAAGCTCTCATCACATGACCTGTACGTCACTTTTCAGACCAACGGTGTTGACATTCCTGGCCAACAGTATGTCGATCTTCCTCAAGCCCCAGGCCTCCATTCAATCAGTACAAGTTTCTCTGTCCCTAAAAGTTCCTGGAATCAAAATGCAAGTTTCACCTGCAAAGTGAACCAAGGCTTCTCCAACAGCTCTGAATCAAACTCCACTGGCAATATTTTTGGTGAGAGAAGTAATACTTTCTTCCTTGATGACAGTTGACATGTTTTAAACCTAAAATATTCACTTATTGTTTAATTGGTGCATTGATACATCTCATTTTTCAGTGGAGCCATCAGTGGAACTTCTTCTGGCCCCCAGTGAAGAATCAGGACCCAAGAGACTCTTGTGCTCTGGATCGGGCTTCGACCCACAAATCAAATGGTCTTCTGAGTCTCAGCAAAGATTTCCATCAACTAATGAAATCAGCATGGATGCAGATGGACGTGTGGCGGTAACCAGTCAGCTTCATATCCCTCAATCAGAGTGGAGCACAGGGAAGGTCTTCACTTGTGAAATTTATGACAAGTCTGTGGAAAAAACTGTGAGACAGAACATCAGCATCTGCTCAGGTAAAATGAAAATCAGTAATCATACCCATGCAGTAAGTGTACATTAAACATATTAATTCTTTTTTTGAATTATCCGTTAGGCATTGAATCCTTTATCCCACAATTATTACTTGATTGGTGTTGCATGTTCTCCCCCTTTAAATGTCTTGTTCCCTTTTTACAGTAACTCCAGCATCATCTACGACAGTTGGTGTGTATGTTCAGGGACCACCACTCCAGGAGCTTATGAATAAGAGACGGGTGAATATCACCTGTCTTCTGGTCGGCCCGTCTCTTAGTGATTTCTCTGTCAAATGGAAAGTAGGTGACAATAATTCCCTGAATGCCCTTAAGGAGCCACCAGTGAGTCACAGCAATGGGACAGAGACTTTGTGGAGCTCCCTGATTGTGTCGGTGGAGGATTGGCATGCATATAAACATGTGTCTTGTGAGGCAAAGCACCGATGTTCCAACAAGGGCTACGTGGATCATATAAGCAAAAGCAGAGGTAGTGTTATGCATAAAAAGCATATGATTCGTTGTGATTGCTTATAGCTGTTTCTAAACATAATTTGAGAATGCATCAGAACCCTCCATAAAAAAATCCTACAAGATTTGTTATGATAAATGGTCATAATATAATTCTCCATTTGCTCTTGCCTTCTATTTCTGTTTCTAAAGACATGTACCAACCATCAGTGAAGATAATACAACCGACTACCTCTGAACTGTCTACATCAGACGTCAACACACTAATTTGCGAAGTTTCTGGATTTTTCCCGGCCAACATCATAGTGAACTGGAAAGAGAATGGCCAGGAACTCCCCTCTACTCGTTACGCCAACAGTCCTGCATGGAAGTACTCCGGGAGCAGCACTTATTCAATGAGCAGCAGACTAAACCTTTCAAAAACTGACGACAATGAGTCTGCGTATTCTTGTGTTGTTACGCACGAGTCATCTGAAAAGCCTTTTGAAAGCACTATGAAGGATGTTTTCGGTGAGCCGTGTATAACTTTTAGTAAAATTGCAGTTGTTTAATCATAGTGGAGATGTGTTAAGATCAAAGGGGGGCAATACGCCTGGATTTTCATAATGACAGAATGCTGTTGATTGTATAAGCTAAGATACAGACTTCTGTTTTTTGTCCACCGTAGCTTGCTCATAATGTTGCAGAGTAGCAGTAGTGTAAGCAAAAAGGTAAAGAAGTGACTATAAGCATTTCATCCAATCAGAGCAGACTTTGTTTTTACAGGAGGGGAGAGAGAGATAAGCACTAAAATGTAGCCAGAGATTATCAGAAGAAAATTAGCTTTTTTAACATTAAAGCATTTTCTAGTAGAAACTATGGTATATCCCCTCTAAATACAGGTGTTTCTTGATTGTTTTATCATCCAAATACAAATGAATTCAAAAATAACTGTCATGATCCTTTTCTCCAGCCACAGTGACATACAGCAAACCTTCGGCCACCATTCTCCAGGGCTCTGGTGAACTTGTTTGCTTGGTCTTTGGCTACAGTCCAGCGTCCATACACATCACTTGGTTCCTCGACGACACCAGGGAACTGTTGCACTACAACACTAGTGAACCCCACAGAGGCCCAAAGGGAACGTTCAGCATCCAAAGCCACCTTAGTCTGTCTCAAGTCATCTGGTTCCCTGGGGCCAACATCACCTGCAGGGTGACGCATGCAAACACCAGCATATCCCTGAATTCATCAAAACCAGGTGCGAGTTTGTTTATGATCCATGTCTTTGTTGCAAATTAAAAAGGTCAACCGTCTATTGCAAGATAATATATTTTAACATTCTCTCTTTCGGTGTGTTCAAGTCAATGTAGTATTTGTCGTGTCACACCACAGCATTTAACTGACAAATCTAATTTGAATTATTTCACAGACAACTTGGAGGACTGTAATTTTCTAGATGACATCCTGCATGCAGATGTGAACCAAGAAACCGGTGTTGAAGGCTGGTATTTGGCTTTCACTTTTCTCCCGTTATTCCTCATCTCCTTCATCTATGGTGTCTTTGTTACCATGTTTAAGGTAAGATAAAACATATGTACTGTAGTAGTTTGAGGGAATTTAAAGTAACTGTTTGAATTTCCCTGTTTTTATATTTTGATTCAAAACAGTCACCAGATCAACTTCCCTCTGCTTTCTCTTTTCAGACTAAATGATGATACCATTTTATGATCCAAATGTGGACTCTTGAGGATTTTTAAATTGCATGTGGCATACAATGTTAAAGTGTCATGGATTTTCATTTTTAAATATCTATTGTTAGAAAACTGTTCTATACTATATTCCTTTTGTTCTTTATACGTTTCATTCTGTATTTGGTGTGGACACACTATTGCATTTTTAAAATAAACAATAACATTTGAAAAACACACTTTGTTCTTACCTGCCTCTATGATCTAAATAATCTCAAATGATGACATGACACAATCATATCAGTACAATACAGTACACGAGTCACATTGCAAACACTCCTGTGTTACTCAGATTGTCCACTAGAGGTAGACAAGGCTTCACATGCAGCAGTGGTGATTGGCCACCTCTATGTAAACAAGAGTTATGTAGTATTTTTAAGATGCTGACAGGTCTGAACTGCACTTACTTAGTGGTATGATACAGTGGTGCATTCACTTGCAGACACACACAGAGACTGTTTTTATATGTCTTCTCCTTTCCATACACACACAGTCACGTAAATGTGCACACTATGTCTTTGAGTTAGAGCTGCGTGTTTGTGTCTGCATTTGTGTACCTTGTGGGTTTTGAAGGAATTCACATCTGGGAGGGATGACACGAGCACATTAAGGCTTACTATTGGCTTCCTCTGGAGTGATCTGGCACTGCGTGTGCCCTGATTGGCTGGGGATCCTTTGGCAGCCAGCCCAAATCTGTGACACTGTTGCTGGGATGGAGTCATAGCATGCTGCTGCCAGTCTAAGTGCCAAGGCCCCCCTCGACAGGGAAGCAGGGCACCATGCCCAGCAGGCTGCCTGACAGCGTCTCACTGTCTAACAGCGCCATACCCCCCCTTCCTCCTATGCCAGGCCTCACCCCCTCTGGGTCCTAACATGACCCCTTCCGTGAATCCATGTGAACCAGGGACATGTAACAGTCAACCTCACATATATAGGAGAATTATTTTTTTTCTTCAACTACTGTTAAAGCACAACAGAGTGAGGTACTTCGCGACAAACTCCAGTGTACTGAAAAGCTCTGAGCGTTGAACTTGTTGAACTGATTGTGATATAATGGAGCGCTGGAAATAGGGTTGGGCGATATGTAGAAAATCACCATATAGGCTACGTCATTTCACATCTCAATACTGATAGAGCATTTTCTTTGGCAATGCATAAAGTCTATCTCAAATAACCACATGGTAAGTCTATTTTTTAATACGTCTGTGTAAATTAAATACTTGACAAATGAGAGATTTATCTTATCATATCCCACCTTAGAGTTATCAATAGAGAAGCAGACTGTGAGCATTAAGACATTTTTGTAACATTTCCTTTTTGACCATATCAGTTTGAAAGCAAAGTCAAATATGGTAAGGATAAATGATATACAAAAAACATTACTATTATCACATAATGAATGTGATTTAGTCTAATGAATATTTCCGTATTATATTTAGCGACACTGATATGGCTGAGGTTATGGTTATAGCATCTCTATTCTTCACAAAAACAGGCAATGCATTCAGTAGGGGAATTAGCTGTCTGTAACCTGTAAAATGTACACATAATCTTGAGGCATATGTACAGATACCTTCTACAATGCATTTGAGTTAAATGACAGTATTGAAGGGAAGGGAAAAAAATCTAACCAAAACCTAAACCTCTACACTCCACCTCAAGATAAAGCATCTTGATCTCAGTACTTTATTTGTCTTACTGTTACAATTGCTTCAAAAATTATGAATTAAAGTAAATCAAAGCAAACCACATTATGCCACTAAATAATTGCCAAAAAGGAATGCAAATAAACTTATGCTCTGTTTATAAGCTTCCGAGGTAAAGTGTCAACCTGTGCGCTGTCCTATAGCACATGATCTCAAATACATAACTAAGAAGATCTCAGGGGAAATGTCTGATAACTGTGTATAGTGGTATAACATGACCCTAAAATATAACAATGTAAAGAAAAAAGCAGAGAACCCCACTTATTCGGATAATATGCGCATGTGTTCACCATCACTTACACCGTTTGTCTCTAAAAAAGAGACAGTGTTTTTTACCAAGAGAGAAATTCAAGCATATATTTTTTAAGTTCATCCATTTGGTGTGCAGAGCACTAATACAATAGCTTTTGTGCTATTCCATCACAAACAAATATTTGGGGAGCAATTGCAGCAATTGGCTGTTTTAATCAGTAAAACATAAAACAAATAATAAATTGTACTGGTGATATTTACAAATAATAGTATATAGGTATGATGCCATTATGTCACGATTATCCACCTACTAGCAACCAGAGATTTCAATATACAAGGCTACCCAATAAATATTTAAATCACTGTTGTAACAAACAACAAATGGCATTACAAATTGTAATTATAACAAATTGTGCATGTTTAGTTATAAACACTAGCAGCAGGTGGCAGTATTCTACTAACCATATTGACCTATAATGTCACCAATAGGCCTTTTTTTCACATTTTACGTTTTCACATGTCCCAGAAAGCACAGGTGTACGTAATCAAATTAATTAGCATTAAGCTGCTCCAGTTTGAGGGTCCTGTCCCACTTTAACACTTCCATGCCCGATAGTAATAGTAAAATTGCCCTGACATCTCATTTATGCAAAATTATGGAAAGAATGGTTACAGAAAGGTTAACATATATCTTAGAAAGTAAAGCTCTGTTGTCCCCATATCAAAGTGGGTTTCGTAGGGGTCGGAATACAATGGATTCTATATTGTGCTTAGAATCAGACATCAGGAAAGCACAGACCAACAAGGAAGTAGTGATTGCAGTCTTCTTTGATATTGAAAAGGCTTATGACATGCTCTGGAAGGAAGGACTACTAATCAAGTTAAAATCATTGGGAATTGGTGGTAAAGCATATAATTGGGTTATGAATTTTTTACTGGACAGGAAAATACAAGTAAGAGTAGGTGCAGAGTACTCAAGTGTTTATGCTGTGGAGAATGGTACTCCGCAAGGTAGTGTATGTAGTCCGTTGCTGTTCAATATAATGATACATGACATTTTTAATCAAGTTCATCCAAGTGTGGGAAAATCTTTGTATGCAGATGATGGGGCTTTGTGGGCAAAAGGTCGCAATGTAGCACATGTTGGAAAGAAAATACAAGCTGCAATAGTTGAAGTGGAGAAATGGACAAATAAATGGGGATTCAAACTGTCAGTAGCTAAAACGCAGGTCATTTGTTTTACAAAACGGCATAAAATTGCTCCTATATCGTTAAAATTGTATGAGCAACCTCTTGAACAGGTTAATACAATAAGATTTCTTGGTGTTTGGTTTGACGGAAAGCTAACATGGAGCAATCATATAGGCAAAGTTCAAAATAAATGTAAAAAGGTCAACAATGTACTTCGGTGTTTGGCGGGACAGGAGTGGGGAGCGAGTAGATCATCACTTCTGAATATATATTGGGCACTCATGAGACCTGTAGTAGATTATGGGTGTATAGCGTTCATGGCAGCAGCAGAATCAAACCTTAAAAAACTGGATGTCCTACAAGCTCAGGCCCTGAGAATATGTAGTGGAGCTTTTAAAACATCTCCAGTATCAGCAATACAGGTGGAAATGGGAGAAATGCCTTTAAGGATAAGAAGAGTTAAGTTAATGTTGGCATACTGGGTAAACCTTCAGGGGCATTGTGATAGTCATCCTGCGAAAAGTATTTTAAAAGACTGCTGGGAGCACAATGAGTCACATTTAACAAGTTTTGGATGGATTGGTGATGTTAAAGCAGCAAGTATAGGTTTGAATAAAATACAGTATTGCCCCACAGTTCCAATCTCGTCCATTCCACCCTGGTTATTCCCATTGCCAAGGGTAGACCTCAATATACAAAGGGAGTTGAAGGAAAAGAAAGAACTACTACCAGTATGGCGCATAGTCCAGAATTATTTTGCAAGTAATTACTCAGACTCAACAATCATATTTACAGATGGCTCCAAAGATCCAGAGACAGGGCGTGCAGGGGCAGCAGTTTATATCCCAGTGAGTAATACACATATAAAGAAAAGGGTAACAGACCATGTGTCAGTATACACGACAGAGTTGTGGGCATTGGTGTTGGCATTGAAATGGATAGAGGGGAAGGAAATACATAATAGTGTAATTGCATCGGACAGTTTTTCAGCATTATCGAGTATACGATCAGGCAGATCTTCATTTAGAATGGACATAATAAATGAAATATTTCTAATTTTATATAAAATGCAAATCAAAGGCATAGCAACTAGTTTCATCTGGGTTCCTGCTCATGTTGGTGTGGAGGGTAATGAACAGGTGGATATTCTGGCCAAACAAACACTCAGAATTATGAACATAGACATAGAAGTTCCACTTAGCAAAGCGGAGGTTAAAACATTCATACATAAATATGCACAAACAACATGGCAAGAACATTGGGACCTTAGTGATACAGGAAGACATCTTTATAACATTCAAAGGTATGTGGGGGATGGAAGGAAGGTGGGGTTTAAAAGAAGGGAGGAAAATGTCATTTCTCGGATGAGAATAGGTCATACAGGTCTCAATCATACATTGAGTAGAATAGGAAAGCATCCAACCGGAAAGTGTATACACTGTAGCCAGCCAGAAACTGTGGAACATGTTTTAATGATTTGTGGGAAATATAGTGTTCAGAGAGGTGTGTTTTTCCAGACACTGAAGAGGGCAGGATTCAGTGACTTGTCGATGTCGGGGCTGTTGGGGAAAACATCAGGCAATATTTATTGTGAGATTATTAAGTTTTTAAGAGAAACTGATACATTTAAAATAATCTAGAGTTTTGGTTCTTTTTTGTTTTGTTTTGTTTGGTTTGTTTGTTTGTTTTGTTTTTGTTTGTTTTGTTGTGTTTTATTTCTTTTGTTTATTGTTTTCTGGATAGTCTCTTGTCCACACTCCAGTCCAGTTGGTGGCGGTAATGCACCTATAAGTTGGTTTGCCAACCGCCAATAAAATCTAAAGAAGAAGAAGAAGAAGAAGTAATAGTAAAATAGAGCCATAATCGTGTTAATAATAACAACACCTGTGCTTTTACTTCCATTGTGATCTACTAAAGCAACCGCAAATATCAGGAAAACCCGTCACATACATAGAGACAAACAGGACACCAGCTAAAAGTAAAACTCACCATTTATCTTGGTTTGGAAACGGTGACAGAAGTTTTCTTCTTCTTCTTCTTCTCTTCGTTTTTGGCGGATTACAAACAAAGACGTTTTCTAATTTCAGAATCCTCTAAAACCAAAGAAACTTCAGACTGCGTGTTGTACTTCCAGGTGTTACTTCTATCTATTCATCATGACTATTGTAGGCCTACAGGTGAAACGGTTAACTCGTTGGTAAATTGTGACCTGTTGGACGTCAGGTGTTTAAGGGGCCTATACATCCATGGTCGGACCAGATTGATTTCCTGTTTTCTATTAATGGCGGGAAGTCATTTTTTTTTCTTCAACACTTTGTTGAACAATTTTTCCAATACATAATAACAAGGCACATACACATCAGTGTTCATTACACTAATTGAAAACTGAGGGCGTTATGAAACAGAAATAAGAAAATAGGAAGAGAAGAAAGGTGGTCATTCAGGAATTAAAGTGTTTAGAAATGTGTAAAGTGACATTTGTGTATGAAATATTTTTGCTAAAATAATCAAAACAATTTTGAAACAATGGAATAATATATAGAAAGTATAAGATTCATAATGAAAGTAACTTTACTATTTGTGCTATACAACATATAGACCAGGGGTGTCAAACTCACATACACATGGGCCAAAATCAAAAAATCGGTACTAGTCGAGGGCCGGACTGGTTCAATGTTTATTGCAAAACTTATTGAAATGAACTTATTGCACATATTAAACCTGGAACTAACAAAGCTTAAATTATTGCCTATAAAAACAACATTAAACATTAAATAATTAGTTGCATTAATTTCTTATGGCTCTATCTGCAGCTTTTCCAGAGTCATTTTTTATGATTACATTTTTCCACAGCTTCAAAAAAACTATTTCCCTCAAAGAAAAAACCAAACATGCCCTGTTGTCACAAGAAAAAAAGTGCAAAAGGAAACATCAATTTAAACTCAGTTTGCTGCTCTGTGATTCTAGTTTAAGCCAGATACTTGACATCTCATTGTGGGTGCAAGTTCATCAATGTTTGGGGTCAGGCTCTTAGCTGAGGAAACCCTCAGGATTGAGTGAAGGTGTGCGTCCAATATACTGGCGGGCCAGATCTAATAGTAATTAGAAATTATCCTGCGGGCCAAAATGAAATCTACCACGGGCTGGATTTGGCCCCCGGGCCTTGAGTTTGACATGTGTGATATAGACTATTGCCTTAGTAAACCCTATTCTATTTTTACCGGTTAAACTGACACTTCTTCATGTTGGGGTATTATGGCCCGTGATCCCCTTCCTGTGTTACATCACAAATCGTGAACTTAAACGTATTCTTAGTTCTGTGCAAACACATTTTTAGTATTGAGTATATCTTAATTGTAACGTAAAATGTAGTCTATTGTAGGCAATACTGGTTCAAGCTGTGGTAAAGCAGTAAATCATGTTTTGACCTCACAGTGGCTTATCCTCAAAATTCAGCTAAAGGATCATACACATTTATTGAGACATGAATATACTGCAACATTTGTAAATGTTCATGTAAGAATGTTTCTAAGATAGCCACTGTCATTTTTGGATGAGTTTATCAGGCACATCTACTGAACAAACAAAACAAAAAAAGGTGTGATATAATTTTGTTGTGAATCAGATTATCCTGGAAGCAGATCATCATAACCAGGAGATGGCACTGCTTTCGTTATTTTCACATTCTGTGTGAATTCATTGTTCAAATTCTGAATGACCAAAACTGCCTATTTTCATGGATTTATTTTATGACCTATGTCAAAATAACTTTGATAGACCTCAACATGTAATGCAGGGTCAACATCTGTATCATTCCATAACTGAGAGAATGTTTATTGTGTAAAGCAGATGGTTATGTGAGGAATTATAGTTGGTCCTTATGAATGACAGCCAGAAAAGTGGTCCTTCAAGCAAGAGCTTAATTTATTTTATGTGACAATTTATTTGCAGTTTTGATATGATACATAGCCTTCTGAGGCTGGAACTCTGTGTCGAAAGTGTGGTTAATATTAAAGCTAGACAAGGGAATATTCTTTTTAATGGATATTAAAAGTAGCAATAAGTAAAAGTAACAATACAGTGTAAAAAATACTCGGTTACAATGTGTTGTGAAAAATATCACTCGTCACCGGCTTGAGTTTCAATATCAGGATACATGTATTTATTATCCTTTCAAGAATGGAAGTAGCCTATAACACATACAGAGCATATGGGACAACTAGTTCCCCGAACAGTGTCCTTCACATGCCTATACACAAGAGAGGGTGTTACACTGTCACAAGATGGAGGAATACCGGTTCAAAGCAGTATACAATGTTTAGTTTAGATTAGCTAAGGCCTGCGTAAGCAATAAACATGACAGTCATATGCCTATCTCCCTAGGGGCTGAACCATCAAGGTAATCATAGGAACATAGCTATCATATGTTCAACAGTGTCTCATGAGCATCATCCATGTAATCATACATCCGGTTAAGTACACAGACAGTTAGGCCTCTGTTATCATGTGCTACTCTGATATTGAAAGAGTACATACATTCAGTATTTTCCCAACACAATGTAAAAGTCCTGCATTGAAAAAGTAAAAAGTAGCTTACTCTAAGTACTCGTTATGAAAAATGTGTACTAAATCTTACTGTACTTGAGTAATGTACTCAGTTACATTAGACCATATTAATGCTTATGCACATTAAGTTGAATATAGCGTTGTGGGCCAGAGGTCAGCAAACACATGGATACCTGCTGGCTGCAACCTAATGGTTATTACGGATATATGTTCAGTTGAACTAAGGTGCGTGCAGGTATGATAGGTGTCACTCCTGCACCCTGTATTTTGCTTATAAGCTTTCACTTGTTTACAGCCAACAAGGGAGCGGCTTTATCCCTACTTTATATGCGGAAGTTCACCCCAGTTTAGAAAGTGCACAGCACGGCCTACTTTTCCAAATGCTATGGCTCATGTGCGGAGATAGAGAGAGGGGGGAGCCAGTGGGAGCCAGTTTTCCCTCTCAGGCTGCTGCTGCTTGCTGTGCCAATGCGCAAACAGTCCCCGGCGTGGGATAGGTCTCCCCAAATTGAGGCTGCGCTCGACACGATCATGCGATTGAATGACGAGCGCGTCATGCTCGTCTTCCTCCTCTCCTGCTCCGTGCGATCAGTGGCTCTGTGTTCCGCAATCCCCTGGGATACTGTACCGCCCTCGATGAGTCTGCTATCGGCGTTTAGCTTAAACTGAATGGCTTCCCAGAGCAAGGAAAAACCGGGAGAGAGAGATCTGCGTCTCTTCCTTTGAACCAGCATCAACTTCCCAGCGAGGGGGTGAGTGTCTGTCTGCCGCTGTGTGTGAGGCGTCCTGCCGGGGTCGTCTGAGGATTCACCGGCTGCTGCTGCTGCGGTGGCGGAGCAGCAGGAGGGGGAGGGTGTAGAGGAGTGAGGGGTCTGTGCCGGTGTCCTTATTTAACACCGTGGAGTAAGGTTGAGGATGAACGGTCCAGTAGGTACGGGACAATAACAAGTTTGGGAAGTAGGCTGCACACTTAGGGGACGGGTCCAAGTTCTTTATCTCAAAACAACCTTTAGAAAACACACTAAAGTAGGCTATAGCACATAACCAGCGTGGAGTATAAGGTTTGTAGTTTAATTTCCTCTCTCAAATATGCGAAAATGCAATGGCAGTCAGGTTTTTTTGGCACGGTAACTCGTTCGTAAAGAATTGTGCCTTGTTGTGCTCCCACCCCCCCCCCCCCCGCTCCGTGCCGCACTGGTTCCGTCTGGCTCGCCCTCAGCTGCTGCGTGTCCTGGGATGACCTGTTGATGTCGGTAGAATGGAGAATGGCAGGGGGAGCGATTTCCCCCATCACCAAAATATTTAAATAAGCAACATTTTGGGCTTGACAACCGGCGTCGCAGCACAGCTACCTCGTCCGCACAGGCAGTAAGTGTATTGTTCATATTTTTGAGTGTGTGGACTATCGCGGAAATGCTTGTCATTGTGCAACTGGGGGCTGAGTGTGCATGAGGTGGATGGGGCGAACCCAAAATATTTAACAGTAGTGTTAGCTTAGCTGTTAGCCACCTCTACAGGCCCACTGCGGATGGGAAGAGGGCATACAACAATTCAGCGTTGTCAACCACAGGGGAGCGGGGGACACTTACATAAAGCGAAGATAATTAATATTAATACACTTAAATGTCATTTGAGGGCACGTAAACAGGAGCACAGCGTCTCCTCAACACCGGGGCTTGCTGCCATCCTGTCACCCCCCTCCCGTCGCCTCCGGTGCCAGCAGACAGTGGAGCCTCCCGGCGGGTGGACTGGCACACGGGTCGGTGTGTTAAAGAGCTGTTCCCCATTACCCGGAATCCTTTCCCGTTTAAACCTTTCTGAACAGAGGCAGACTACTGTCAGCTACAACATCAGCAACATTAAGAAGTTTAGAAGCTTTTCATGTCAGTGCTGCTTTATATTCAGGATCTCCCTGTTATATAAGAATAATCACGAATCAGGCCTGCTCATTATGTCTGGACTTGATAGGAGTAGCGCAGGCATGGGCACATGAGAACCAGGAAATGCCTATAGAGGGAATGCATTGTGTGCCAGCTACCCAATGACTCCACACTAATCATCCACATAGCTGTGTATGAGCCCATGATGATGTTTACAATGGTATAACTGGATACACTGAAGTAGTCAGACTGTATACCTTACTATTAAAGGACTTATTCTGGATAAGTTCTGAAATATGTTGACAGACGTTCCCATCTTACATAAGCCGTTTTGGATGTGGGCAAAACATTCTTAAGGGTCACTATGAGAAGTCTAAGGTCTTAAGCATGTTGTTTGTATGTTTGACCTACTTTCCCCACCAGGCTGGTTGGTATAAGCCACAGGGTGAGTTCGGGGGAATGTAATTCTTTCCCATTGCTGCGCTCTATATATTTTATGGAATAAGGACCTGAGATGATCCCTTTCATCTATGCAAGCTTCACTGACCCTCCTTGGTGCATAAAGACACACATGCACACACACACGCACATGCGCACACACACAGTCACATTCTCTCTCACTGTCAGGGCGAACTGTGCAAACACACACTGCTCTCAGCCCTGTGTTTGTGTGTCTTTATGTGCACGCATGTGTGCTTACTGCGGCTCGCCAAACTGTAAACAAGCAGTATTGTCTCATGTCTGTGTGTGACTCAGTGTGCCTTTTGTGGGTTTGTTTGAGTTTGTGTGTGCGCATCTGTGTTTTAGTATGAGGGAGAGGGAGCTTGAGTGAGACGGAGACAAAGAGAGCATTTCTCTTTACCCTGGAGCTTGGATAGGTCCCAAATGAAAGGCTTTGGATATGATGGGGCGGCTCTCTCCAGCCCTCGTCAGTCACTCACACCAAAGTGGTAGTGTGCCTCACACAGGGTGGGCTTCAATCAGTGTGTTCTCAGTTTCAGATATTGTCTTTTGTTGGGTTTGTATCTTCACGTGTGTGTGCAACTTGCACGTATGCAACACTAGTAGTCAAGCATCAGTGTAAAAACAGCTTTTATCTTAGCTTGGATACACATTTATGTAAATCTGTGAAATCCACTTATGACTTCTATTCTGCTGTAAAGGTTTATTATAGCCAATGAAATGCCACATAGACTTATCAATGGATCTGTTGTTCCCTTAGCTGTGACAGTGGAAGTTAGGTCATCAGTACAGAGGGCATATAATGCTTATCTGAATCTCTGTGCTAAAAAGTAGATTCCTCACATTCTGTAGAATCAGATCGTGTATACAATTTCAAAAATACGTTTTCTGTTGTGTTGATATAACTGATAGTGAATTCAAAGCTATCTCACAGATTCACGCAATAATATAGCTTTCCTACAGCAGAGAGAACTTTGCTCCACTTTAATTTAATATTGACATGCATAATATAGGAATCTTTCAAGCGGATGCAGGGCAAGGAGGTATGTTTGCCTTTGAATGTTTAGAGAAGTGAACGGAAACATGCTATGTGGTGTTTGTTTAAGCCACACACTTTGTTCACATAGAATAACAGGACATGACCCAGTTATCTAAGGACAGTTTTATAGCTCATATAAGACAGACAATAAAAAGGCTTTCACTGAGCCCACTCCTGGCAAAAACAACCACTGCAAGGCTGAAGTGACGTATAAGATTAATGCTATGTAGATGACCCATCAAAGCACAACACAACTTTGTTTGAAATATCAACGTCCCATGAGCCTGCCAAAAGCCTTCAGTATCACTGTGTGAAGAATTATTTGTGGTCAATATGCCAAGGCTTATTCAGGACTTCTTTTCTCTATAATAGAGATGTTTCATAAAGAGTCCTGAAGTAATGCATACATTGAATTAGATTAACTTTGTGTATGTTAGGTTTTAGTTTATCCAAGTAAAAGACTGTAGGCTGTACTGTGTGTGACATTCCTCACCTATTTTGAAGGTTTTCCCTGAGCTTTCTGTCTTTTAACACATTCATGTTACATTACACCTCCTCCTCACATTGCCTGCTGAATCCCTCCTCACACCAAGCACACAGCACAGGATAAAATAGTTTTTTTGTCATTGTTGTAAATGGGCCTGCCCAACTTTATCCCACTGAAATCATGATTTGCTCGCCAGGGATAATGCAGTGTGAACACTACAATGAAATCCCTGTTGAGCAGTAATGTTTATAACACTACATGATGACTCGGCAACATCCTGACACTTTCAAGACATGCTGAACTTTTGTTTAATTGTCGGTGTTATACTGTTATACAAGTTATGTGTGGATGATTAACTGTCACTTATTGCAATTCTGTAATTCCAAGGGTTGCAAACAATCTGTACGTTTTTTGAAAAATGTCAAGGTAAAGTTAACTTAAATCTGCAGTGTTTTTGACTGAAATATAAATCAGATTTAAACATTATTTCACAATTTCTATTTAAAAAGTATACATTTAGTTTATGTCTAGTCTTGCACTGCACTCAGCAGAACACTCCTACATCACATAATACAGATCATTTGCAAACATCCTATTAAATAAAAATTCAGTATATTTACAACCCTCTGCATACACAGTGCATTCTCCCATCACGTGTGCAACCCACAATACTGCTGACAGTACTGCACTGTCTGAGCCAAAGGACGTCGATTTTGATCATATAACTCGAGTGAATATTTCTTTGGAAAGGTTGATATGTTTCAGTAAGGCAGATAGTAACCCAAAGCTAAGTAAACCCTTTATAACTTGGTAGCAATTCATGCTAAACACCTATACCATGTGGGATGTAGCTTGATTGAGCATGCTAACCAAAGACTGTCAATACATCTATCTACATTCATTTTTTTTTTTAAAGTAACACATTTATTTTTTCACCTAATCTTAAACCCTAGTGCACATTATTGGGTCTTATTTTAAAGTATCTATTCCAAATTGTTAACTTGTTATCTAGCACACATACAGATCATGGCACATTGTGTTTGATACATTAATTGATTATGTCTTTTAGGTTAAAGGTTAGTTTCTATATGCATATGACCTGGTAAATACAGCCTGAGCAAATGAACCCAATATTTCCATTTTATATTTTCTTGAATATGTTTTAAATTTGCAACCCTATTTATTCCTCTCTTGTTCTTTTTTTCTGTCTCTCTTTCTTTCCCAACAAGACCTTTTGGTGGTGTGCCTAGGCGCACCATGGCCCAGACCCTCCAGATGGCGATTCCAAACTTTGGCAACAATGTTTTAGAGTGTCTGAATGAACAGCGACTACAGGGCCTTTACTGCGATGTCTCCGTGGTGGTCAAGGGCCATGCCTTCAAGGTACTGATCACACTAAAGTTATTATTGTTTTCCTAAAAGAAATTACTCTTGTGTATCAAAAGTTGGGGCTCAATTAACAGAAGTTTAGGCTTCAGTGTAAACAATCATACCAGATGGCAGCCATGTTGCTTGGATAATGGAACGTCAATATACTTCAAAGTAATTGCTGTTTGGACAGTCTCAAGCAATCGTTGTCATATTTCTAAATTGTTCCTTTTTTGTGTTACTGTGTTGGAGAGACCAACCTTTAATGCTGTTGTACTTATTTACAGAGAGCGTTTTTTCACATCAGAATAATTTTAGAGAGCTTCTGCTAAGTTCCTCCTCTTCAGAGAAAGGTTTGGAGATAAGTTAAATCACCCCTTTGTAGTCTTTAATGGCATGTCATTTCCCACTTTGCTTGTAAACTTAATGGGTTAGATTGCCCCCAATTGGAGTGCCGTAAGGTTTGATTGGATGTCTTTCCTCACTTTTATCTTGGAGGATACTCTTAACTTTGTCTGCCCTGCAATCTTGTATCTCCCAAAATCTGAGTACGGCTTTCTTTCTTATAACAGAGGGAGCACTTTAAATCAGTATTTTTGGGAATCGTGTTTAAGACTTCAATACTTAAATACTGACTGAATTCAGGTCCCAAATAGTTGGCAACAAATGCTGTCTTTTCTTTTAATATATTGCTTACTTTATTTAAAACTTTTCTCAAGTCTTTTTTATTTTGGTAAAGTTCTTGTCCATAACTTGTACATAATATTTATAGAACACGTCTTTCAAACGTTCTAATGGGTTGCCTTACTTATCTGCTTTTGTCTCAGGCCCATCGAGCTGTGCTGGCTGCTAGCAGTTCTTATTTCCGTGACCTTTTCAGCAGCAGCAATAACGGAGGTGGGATCAGCAATGATACAAGCCCCACTGTGGTGGAGCTCCCGTCGGCCGTGCAGCCCCAGAGCTTCCAGCAGATCTTGTCTTTCTGCTACACAGGCCGTCTCAGCATGACGGTGGGGGACCAGTTCCTGCTCATGTACACGGCCGGCTTCCTGCAGATCCAACAGATCATGGAAAAAGGCACAGAGTTCTTTCTCAAGGTGAGGCAGACGTTGTTTTCAGTAGGAAGTCATCAAAGAAAGTAACATAGTAGCGTGGACATATCTGAAAAACAAGACACAAGAGGTTTTGAGTTTTTCATACTTAAAGGTCCCCTATTATACTGTTTTTCATCAATATATTATAGGTCTCAGATATATACAAAACATGTCTCTGAAGTGTTTGGCTCGAAATACCAAACAGATCATTGTAGCATCCCATAACCCCCTCTGTTTCAGCCCTGTTTCAAAAGTGCTGATTCAGTCTGTTACTTTAGATGAAAATAAGGAGCCCCTCCCCATGCCCCTCTGAGAGATATTTGGTTAAAAAGAACACAATGGTGCTCTAGGAGGAGATTCAGGTGATAAGGTGGGGGGGGGGTGTTACCTTAGTTGGTGATTGGCTAATGGTTACGCAAGCCAAAAAAATCGTTATGACATCATAAAATGGCCAAAATCTGATCAGCTCATTTTCAGACAGGTTTTTATATAAATGGATCAGGATAAAAAGAGAGCGAATCTTTTTTCCTGAAACTTTCAGAATCTCTTTACACAGAGGGGACACATGGTTATGTATAAAAGACATGAAAAAGGGGATTTTGCATAATAGGTGACCTTTAAGTTGTCAAAGCTTTGAGCACAGTAAATACACAAATCAAAATGTCATTCACTTTCCTTGTTAAGGTGGCAGAGATCTAAAAGAAACGATATAACCAAAATAATCATAAGGGTTAATTGAGATTTGCGATCCAGGTGAAGTGACTGTTTAAAATAAAGTGTTTAATCCAGTTGCAACAGTTTGAAATATATACTGTGCTCAGAGTTTGGAAAGGAACAAAACGGATATTGCCTGCAACATATACTGTCTGCACTATGGACAGATAAAGGCTGAAATACTTTTTCATCAGTGAAAAGGGCTTTTTATTATAAAGTGACAATGGTTCAAAATAAGGAAGGGAGTCACAAATTATTTGGAGTAGTTTACTGATAACCCATGAACAATCACACAAAGACAGACTGATTTTTCTTGTTAAAAAATATACAAGCTGTTAAAAAATATCACTCGTCACCGGCTTGAGCTTCAATAATCAGGATACATGTAATTATTATCTTTGCAAGAATGGATAGTCATCACATACAGAGCATATGAGACAAATAGTTCCCAGAACAGTGTCCTTCAGATGCTTAAATACAAGAGAGGGTGTTATTCAGTCACAAGATACATGTATACCGGTTCAAAGCAGTATTCTATGCTTAGTTCAGATTAGCTAAGGCCCACGTAAGCAATAAACATGACAGTCATATGCCTATCTCCATAGAGGCTGAATCATCATGTTAATCGTTGAACATAGCTATCGTATGTTCAACACAGTGTCTCATGAGCTTCTTCTATGTAATCATACATCCTGTTTAGGGTTGCAAAATTCCGGGAATTTTCAAAGATGGAAACTTTCCATGGGAATTAACGGGAATTTATGGGAATAAACTGGGAATTTTCAAAATTGAAGGTTGGCTCTTCATAGAGAACTTAAATATAGTTGAGGAAAGTATATTTTAGCATAATCTTGACTAAAACAAACAGATGCCATTCAAGTACACTTGAATATCCATGCCATAGCACACTGCTTACTGCATGGCTATTGAGACCACACCCCCTACAGGCACTGTGCATTCCTCCATCACATGCACAGATGAGTAATATTTAACTCAACATTCCTGTTTTCGTTCTTCAATGAAGCAAATAATTGTTCAATAAAATAATTAAAACTTGTTCTGTTCTACTTTAAAAAAAATAAAATAAAAAAGATCTGTTGAAATGTCATGTTTTTTGTTTAATTTTGCATCGAATATTTCCAAAATTCCCCAGCTTAACTTCCCATGGAAACTTTCCGGAACCGTTCCGCCCCTTTGCAACCCTAATCCTGTTACGTATACAGCTACGTAGGGCCTTTGTTATCATGTGCTACTCTGGTATTGGAAGAGTACATTCAGTATTTTCCCAACACAAGCACATATATATGCTTGAAATCAATGAGTTACGCTGACCCTTGATGTATGTCTTTATTCTAGGTCTCCTCTCCAAGCTGCGACTCCCAGGGCCTTCACGCTGAGGAGGCCCCCCCCCTCTGAGCCCCAGAGCCCTGTGACTCAGACCAGTAACAGTGCAGGCCGGCCTGCCTCCTGCCTGACGCCGCTGCCTCTGGTGTCCCGAGTGAAGACGGAGCAGCCAGCGAGCCAGCCGGAAGCAGCCGCCCCCTACTCTGTGGTCTGCACCCCTGTGGCCAAGCGGCTGTGGGAGGGGGGCAGCAGCGGGGTCGGCTCAGGGGGAGGAGGCGGGGCTAGGAAAGCAGCCCGTTATTCCCAGGAGGCAGTGCGGGGTAGTGCCATTCAGAGCCCCGGAGCCCTGGGACTGGCCATGGGTATGGGGGCCAACGTAACCAGCCTGGCCGGCATGGTGGCCGGGGGCGGGCTCAGTGGCAGCACTGGGACCAATGGGAGCTACGCAGCGGGCCTCGGCGTGTCAGAGGGGGCCAGTCCCGGCACCCTCAGCACCTACGCCAGCGACTCACCCATCAGCTATCACGATGATGAAGAAGAGGAAGAGGCGACAGACGAATGTGCTGAAGAGCAGTATAGGCAAATCTGCAACATGTATACCATGTACAGCATGCTCAACATGGGCGCCGCAGGTAAAGGACACGAGTCAGACCAGCATGTGTGAATGTGACTTAAATGTGTTGTGTTGGATAAAGCTCTAATATCACAACTAATGTCAGTGAAATTGAATGAATTTGAATCTGAATGAATCTGGTGTTCAGACGCTTCACTGTGCACCGTATTTTCTTTTCCCGTGTGTTAAAATGATATGGTTTTATTGTAATTCTGCAAACCTGTTTCTCTCCAGCAGCTGGTGAGCGTGTTGAGGCTCTACCAGACCACACAGAGACTCGGGGTCGAATGCGAGGCAGAGACCTCACATGTCTGCCTGCAGAACTCGTCGCTCAGATAGGCAACCGCTGTCATCCCAAACTGTACGAGGAAGGAGACCCCGCTGAGAAACTGGAGTTAGTCTCAGGTATGGATTGGGTGTTCTCAAAGAAAACCAAAGGTAAATGCTTTTAGAGAATAGGGGTTTAGAGCAGCTGGTAAATGTCTTTTCTATGCGTTTGTCTAAGGCTTTTAAACATTTGAAAGGTATATTAAAGAAACACAGAAGCTAGAATATACCTAGAATGAATATACTTATGTTAGATCATTCAAAGGACACTTTAAACAGACCACTGGCAATCATATATGTATGCACATATTGAGAGAAGGCTGTCCTCAGATGACTCGGCTTGACATTGACATGCAGGTTACGTGCCAGTACTGAACATTTGATTCTGTGTGTTTATGTCAAGGACATCCTGTGGCATTGTGTGTGTTACCTTACGGGCTGGGTTACATACCTTGCAGCAGAGTGTGTGTTTGATTGAGAGACTGAGTGCAACATACAAAGATAAAGAAAGGCGGTGTTAACATACGCCAGGTTACAAAGGTTGTGTAATAAAGTGAAATGCACGAATGTAGCATACCATTACACTATTAAAAGGAATACACTTTAGTTAGTTCAAATGGTAAAAAAGCAAAAGCAAGACTCTAAACTATGATATGTAACCGAAGCACATCCTCCTCACTCTCCGCCTACAGCTGCAATGTTTGATATGAATCAGACTAGACAAACAAATACTCCATGCCAGTAAATCAAAGCGAAGATCTTTATCATATTACTGTGTGTGAATCACAACATCTAAACTCGAAGAGATCAACCGTGGCCTGATGGGAGACAATAAGTGGTTCGTAAACGGGGATAAGTGCTGGTGGTTTATTTGATTCTTGGTAATCATTGCTTGTGCATTCTTTGCAGGTACTTCTGTGTATATATCGCGAGCCCAGCTAATGAACTGTCACGTGAGCGCAGGGACCAGACACAAGGTGCTGCTGAGGAGGCTGCTGGCCGCCTTCTTTGACAGGTTTGTTTCATCTGTCTGGGTCTATTTCTGCCAGTGCTTCATGTAAAGTTGGCAAAAGCTACATTTTTATATAGAGATTATTAGATTTCTTTATCTGCAGGCATAAGAGGGATGTAACAACTATTTTTGTTTTCCTCTGTTGTGTGTTCTTATCTTTGATGTATCAGGAACACTCTGGCTAACAGCTGTGGAACAGGCATCCGCTCGTCCACCAACGACCCGAGCCGCAAGCCGCTGGACAACAGAGTTCTGCACGCGGTCAAATGTGAGTGTTTCTGTCCGAGGGTGTTTGCCTTTAAAGCATTGAAACTATTTGCACTTTTGTGTGTGATGTTGGATACAGACAGAGGGGAATGTACCATATATTTAACATATCTTAAAGCTGGTGCAGAAATAGATGTATGGCCTACTTTAAGTTACTTTTGGTTGAAAGTGCAAAGGGGAGATTTCTGATTCTTGCTGCACCCTTATGATCAGCATTAGGTAATAACCCACTTTGACCACTAGATGGCAACATCACCTATGTTTACATACTGAATATGATGTTACGTAAATGAAAAAGGCTCACTTGTGTAGCTCCTTAGATATGTTTGAGTTGGATTTGTTTCTCGTCAGTCAAATGTGACTCCATTTACAACTTATATTACAAATCAAAGCCTGTGTGATCAGCAACATACCTGCAGTTATTACCTCTCTTCAAATGTCCTAACTCTGGGACACGGTTTACAGTAAAAGCCAACATCAACTGAAATGTGTCTGAATGTAGGATATTTTTTAAAGTTTTTACATATGCAGTAAAACGTTGGGATGTAATCCAAAATTGACCAGATGTCGCTTCAATACTGCAAGTGTTGCAGTGTGAGGCGGAGGATCTCTGATACTTCTGGCTGCTTCAATGCTCCTTGCACATTGCGAGTTGTGCCAGAAGCCCCGTGGCAAAGGCACGATAGCACACATTACTCATTTAGTGAAGTGTTTTTCACTTACTCAACATTTCCCTTGACTTCTGCTGTTCATTTCCATCTGCTTCATGACACCACTTCTGATGGCTAACGGCATAATGTGCAATCAGCCTAACTGTGTTTTTTTTTTTATTACTTTTTCCATGTCAGTTTATTGCCAGAACTTTGCCACGAGCTTCAAAGAGAGCGAGATGAATGCCATCGCAGCGGACATGTGCACCAACGCCCGCCGCGTGGTCCGTAAGAGCTGGATCCCCAAGCTGAAACTACTGATGGCCGAGAGCGACGCCTACACCGCCTTCCTTCCCGACGGAGTCAAGATGGAGGACACCTTGGGGGCGGACCCAGCCTTCGACCCAACCTCCCTGGAGGCTGCCGGCGGGGCCGGCATGGAGTCAGGTGGCTCTTCAGGTGAATCGCTACCAGGTGTAGGCGGGGAAGGAGGAGCCTTATTTTGAACTTTGTGTCCGGGGAAGGTTGAGATTTGGTGACACACATACCAGTATTCCCCAGTTTTGCTTGCCTCCTCACTCTTTGGCCCACGCTGATCTCTCACATGTGACTGTCTATACTACACTGCTGGGGTCAACAGCTGTTACCCTGATGTAACCAGGACATGAACACTTATTTGCTTTATGACTGTACAATGAAGGTAGTTGAGGAAAGGGAGAGGGTTTTCTCCAAACTGTCCCCTTGTCTTTTTAAGGTGTGTAAACGCATCCACTGTTTAATATTAAATACATTCCCTGATATGAAGGTGATTGGTGGGTTACCATTGCAGAGGTGGAAGGATGGCTGTAAGGAAAGGGTTAGGAGTAAACAACTTGGATTCCAGCCTTGGAGAAGGAACTAAAAAAAAATAAAATAGAACCAATAATATAATTTAACACTACCTGTTTTTCCTCCCCTGCACCTTCCCATCCTCGCGCTGCAACTGTTCTTCGCCACATCACCTTTTCTCGAGACCTAGAGAATCTCACCTGAGTGTTTCACTGTGCAGTGTCTTATAGAAATGTCATCTTCCTCTTCTTCTGTTTCCTAAAATTGTAGCATGTTTCTCTGTCTATGAACTGAATACGTGATAAAGAGAGAAGGGGAACGCTTTTTACTGAGATGATTGTAAAGAGAATTTAAAGGGCAACGGGTTATAAAATATGGTCATATTTTTAGAAGACAAACTATATTTATACAAGTGCTCATGCCTAGAACGGCGTGAGCAGAAGAGAGTGAGAGGGATTGTTTTAAAATCTCGATCGTCATGTTTAATTGAAAGAGGTCTTGTCAAATAAGGAAAGTGCTATTTTTGCATAAAAAAGGAGTCTAATAAAGCAGTCTTATCACAAGACACAGTCATTTATTTGTATCTTTATTTGACAGTGCAGAGAGATGGAATGAGCAGTTGAACTGCTAAATATGAAGCATTTCATCTTCTTTTCACTAGCTTATAGGAATAATAAGACTGATACAGTTGGCTTGACTGTTGTCTGAGAACCATTTCTTGTTAGGTGAACCTGAATCGTTTGCCTCCTTTCGATAAAACTTTAGTCCACAATAATGAAGATTACTTGTAATATAAAGGTTATATTGATCTGACAGCTCGGGCAGTATTCATATTTTTTAAAAAGAAAAAAGAACTGCTGACAAATGCAAAAGTCACAGGGAATAATTACATAAAATAGGAACGTGCCTTTTTAATTTAAATCAGTAAGCAGAAGCTTGGTGGGTACAGTGATGTCATGAGGAGGCAATAATGCTTGAAGCAAATGGTTGTATGGTACGATCCACGTGTGCAAAACAGTTATTTGAGTAAGAAGGAGAGCCTGTATTGCACGGCTGTGTCTTTTCAGTATGTCGTTTATTCATGTATCTAATCTTTACGATGGAAATTCGAAAATGGCTGACAGTTTTGTTTTAGAGTTTGAAATGATTTTGCACCTTAATAAGAAGAACCAGCGGTTCATGCACCTTTTTGAGAAATGTTGTGTAGCAACTGAACCCCTTTTGGTGAAATTTGTCTTTTTGTTTTCCATGTCTGCCTGCGTTTCTTGTTTAGAAAGTGGCACAAATTCCTACTGTAAATAATCAAAACGACTGTTGAGTTAAACCCCAAGTGTTCTTCCTTTCTGTTGCTGGATGCATCTGATTGTGAAATGTTCAAAACTGACCTTTTTTTGTACGTGAAAGTTTGTATTTGCTTTTTTGAATGGCCTGTTATTGGTCAACACAGGGGGTTCAGTATTCCTGTTGCAGTTGGATATAAGAGAAAACGTTATGGGTATGACTTGGGAATGTGTTGTTAACCTGAAATGCTCCCACAGATGACTGATTACTTTCTCCTTCTGGAGGGGCATTTCTAAAAAGCTTTTTATTTTTCTGAAGACAGGTACAGGGTAAAAAAAAAACAGGAAGGAATTTATTATTGTTAATGAAAGCAGTTGATGCAATCTTATGGGGGGAAAAGAACAAGAAGCAAGCTTAGCATATTTTCATTTTTGATTAAATGATAAGGATGAGTTTACTGAAATAGTTTGACCTGATGGTTTATGGAAAGAACAAAAATGCAGTACCTCGTATTCTGTAATTAAGGGTAATGACAACAAAACCTCAGTAAGCTCTACATCTGACTGTAGATGCCCCCCCTCCCCCACGTACCTCTACAGTATACTCAAAGACTGTCGTGCTTCCTGTCCTTCATGCAGCTGGTGTCGAGTTTCACTTCCACAAGTATATTCATCTGTTTCGGAGAGAGGCAAAGCAGTAGTTTCAGGTGGTTAAATCCACATTTTCAAATGTTTGTTTAATTTGCTTAGTGGCTTTTAACTGTGCAACGTTTACAGTTCACCTCAAACTACATCTCGATGTCTTTCCCTCTTTTTATAAATATTATGACGCCACCTAAATCAGTGTGATTAACTCGCCATAACCAAAAAATAGTTTGATGGACTATTACATGATATGTTACTGATAATCTGATAAAAATATCAAACTTTCCAAAAGAAACCCACTAAAGTACCAGCTTTCCAGATACATGCTTGGTGTAAAAAGTTAAAGGACCAAGAGACATGCCAATCACTAAGACATGAATTTAATCCTTTGAAGTTAATTTCTTATATAACAAAAAACATTGTTAAATAATAGCTTTTTGGTACCAAATCTGTCAATGTTCCTGCCTAGAGATATAGGTATGGCGATTAATTTGCACTGTTCAAATGTCTACATTTGGTTCCATTATTAGATCACCTAAAAGTTGATTGCCATTGACATTCTTTGAAAAATTAAACGGAGAATAACAAAGACTTAATGAGGAAAATGTCTAAATGAAAGTAGCTTTCAAAGACAGAAACAACTTGGATAAGTTTCTTACAATAACCCTTTTACACGGTGACCAACTGAATGACTCGTATTCCATTTTGAGTCACTAACTACAGTTAAAATATCACAAGTGAATTGACTCTTAGGAAGCTTTGCTTACGCACAGCAACCCAGTGCACATACAGAAATGTCCACACACACTGAGACTATCCTGCTATTGCGCCTCATGAGCCTAGAGTAGAATTCACTTTGGTTACGGGACTTGTCAGGGGTTTTACCTATAGTGAACGTTCTCTGATGTCCAAAAAGTCCCTCACCCACAACCTACTTGCTTCATCTGCAAGAGGTGTGCTTGTGTTTCACTTTCTGTGCATTAGAGAATTGAAAGATTTCATGCTCCCTTTTTTTCTGTATGTTCTAAGCAGATCGTAATTTCAAAGTATGTGTTTACATTTCACAAAACATGTAGACCTACACACTTGAATGGATAAGGTGTGGCACGGCACGGGGAACCTTTTGTCACTAAACAGTACATATATAAATATGATTATACACATGTATAGATAAATACTGTATATTATATATAGACGCACACATAGAGGTCAGATTGTTTGTTGTGCACTCGCAGCATGAGGTATATATTTACCCAGAAACGGCGCTTCTTCACAACCTGTGCAGTAATTGGTCTGCCCATGTCTTTGCCCCTGCTCCTCTCCCTGTGTAACCCTGTAGCGCCAGTGTACATCCTGTACTTCTCATCCTATTTCTTTCTGTGTTCCAAGTGCCAATAACTTTGTGAAAGCCCTGTAACTGTGACCCAACATTATCAAAGGTAATTGCACATTAACAACTGTAAAATAAATAAATACAAATCATAGAGAAAAATGTCAAAATTGATTAAATAATGAATATCTTAATAAAAGATTTGTAACAATTTCTCTTTGATTCCTTTTTCATTGGAAGGTGACTGTTCAGCTGCCTGTTGGTTATTTTGGTTTTCTTATGAATTTCATGTGACGCTAGAATAAAGGGTTAAAGTGTATAAGATTTTGACTATTGCCATGAAAAAAACACCAGCATTCCTTTTTTCACCTAAAATGTACATTAAATAGTTCATGTTATTTACTGTAAATAAGCATATTTTTATAAACCAAGAGACAAAAACGTTAACATGCATGCACATTGTTAAATGTTCCCATGCACACTTCAGTACTCCCACCTGGAGGCCTGTACTACCAGTTTCACGCTTTATGAGCATATCACCCCACACAGTTATTTCTGCCTTTATTTGGCTTTAGTTTCAATCGTGAAACACAGCTACTTTCCATAGTTGAAAGGACAGCTGGCTTATAAGACCAAATGGACTGACATTCACTACAATAAAGTGAACAAAACACAACTCAACTTTGTATAAACACTGTAAAATGGGGCTATATAACATTATTACAGATACACAGTTATGTTTTCATTTACAACTGTGATATTACCTTTCCTAAAAGTGAACATAACTAAGAAATACACCAATAGAAACTTTAAACGCTTTTTTATGGAAATGTTGGCGATAATGACTCATTTTTAATGTTATTGTAACAAGAACAACACATTCCGAATGATTCAACATGTGAGATAAACTACTGGCGCTCTCTTTATTTCAGTTTAATTTATGACTGCCTTAAAACCAAACACTGCCGAGCCCAGAGCTGAAGAAAGATCTGTTTTTTAAATTTCCTATGTTAGTGCAACACCCCGTGATGAAAGGATAACTGCAGAGAATCAAGTGGATCTGCCTGCACACACAGTTCAACTTCAAACCTGTTATGGTAATGTATAATTTGCCCTCGATAAGAAATGTAGAAATGTGACAACACATGTATCCACCAGTGCTTTAAACCTGCAGTAATCTGTGTTTCTGAGGAACCTCTCTTAGCATTGTTTGTATCGCTAAGACATTTAGTTTATGGTTGACCAGGGCCAGGGGTGTCAAACTCAAGGCCTGCGGGACAAATCCGACCCGTCACTTCATCTGATGTGGCCCGCAAGAGCTTGAAAATAATATGGCGCATTTCCACTACACGGTCGGCCTCGGCCACACTCGGTACGGCTCGGTACGGCTTGGCCGCGTTGGGCCTTAACAGGGCCGACTCACTTCATGCTGCGCTTCCATTACAGTTTAGGAACTGGGGTAGTTACTATAGTAACGCAGTGTAGGCGGAGCCGTGACGTCATCTTCAATGAGAAATCCAGAAACACAACACAGCCGTTAGCTGTGAGCACTCAGAGCTCACAGCTCCTTATATATGTTCAGAAACTCGACAAAAGTTAAACAAGTACACACCACAGACTGCCTGTGTCATGGTGAATACAGTCGCTGCTTTATTTATGTCTGTATAGGCCGTTGTTGTGAGTGTGGACGGTCGGGGCATATACTGCGTTAGCTTAGCCAATCTCCATCTAGAAAAACACGAATTTTAAAAGGTTTTTCGCCTGCCGTCTGTCTGCAGACTTGACAAAGCATTAATTCATGGTTTTTACTAACCGGTATCAGTATGTTGTTACTTCGGCATCATTTTGAAACGTGTATTACAATTAAATCACGGTCAAATATGTCCATCTTGTTGTAGTTCTAGCCCTCTTGCCAGCGCTCCTCTCTCTAGTTTAGCATACTCAGCCCGACTCAGCCCTGTTTGTTGGCCCCGATAGAACCACAATTTTCTAGGGCCAGAAAAGAGGGGACTTTGATTGATTGATTGAAAAGTTTATTAACAGCTTGTATATTGGGTACAGTACAGTACAGCTCAAAACATACAATTGTTAAGGGGATGCAGACCAGAGAAAGACTTTCGTCTTGTTTACATCAGGGTCCCCCATTTCCAATTCATCATTGGACAAAGTGGCCCCGCGCCGTGCCGCGCCGGAACGAGGCCTAGTGGAAGCACAACCAAAAAAGGGGACGGCACGACACGGCACGCTTAAAGCGAGCTACGCGCTGCAATGGATAATAGGCCTACATTTATTTTAAGGTTACGTGCCGTTTTACAGGAGCACGTTGCCCATAAACTACATGTCCCACAATGCATCTCATTTTGTGACATGTGCACTGAAGAGTCTTGCAATTATTTCCCCTAGAATTCTGCTTTCAGACGTAGTTAATTATGAAGTTATTACCCTATCTGATAATAATCCAATGCAGAGGCAATAATGTAAAATAATACATTATTTTATATATATATTATATATATTTATATATGTATAAATACAGTCTTAAAGTTACAACCGGCCCTTTGAGTGCAACCATAATTCTAATGTGGCCCGCGATGAAATTGAGTTTGACACCCCTGATGGTTGACTATTAGATGTTTTTGAATGCAGAGTGGCATTAGCATGTACAATACAAATAAACATCCAGAAACACAATGTTCTGAACACCCAATAAGAAAGGACAGGCAGACAAATAAGCAATTAGTTAGATGAGACCACAACAGAGCTAAAATGCCCTTTGAGTGGTTTGAAATATGACCTCAGAGCAGATCTTGAGTAATGACTGCTTGATGTGATGTTTTACTGCCCCCTAGTGGACATGGATTGATTTCGGCACAATTGACTCAAGTGATTCAATGCGGTTGTTACATAATGTTTCTGGGTCTATCATGATGTTGATTCCTTCTGAGCAACCACCTTTTTCAAGATGTTAAGTGTTGTACCACTTGGGTAACGTGTCACCTGACATTTAAAATGCAGGATGCACATTAGATATTAGATTTAGATTTGAAACAATTATACTGCATGACCACAAGAGGGCACTCTTCGCTATAGCATTGCACTGACATGTCCAAATACAAGCTTACTTACCTCCACCTCTTTTGGTGATTTAATACTAAACCATAATGAACTGTGCTAAGTTTCTAACCATCAGGAGGTTAGAAAGAAATGTGGCATTTTGGGATGCTAATGGTCACTATAAAAAAGTAATATCCAACGCTTGAAGAGTCTCAACTACAAAATAAGATCATAATGTATTATTAATGTCATTGTCAACAAAGGATTTCCATCAACATCTTTCCCTTCTTCCACATTTTCATGCATCCCTCCTACCCCATAGACCGACACCTTTTCTCACAGTTAAAGCATAGACAAATGCAAACGCCTGTTAACCTCTTCAACTCATGTCTTGTTCAAATGCAGCCACACCAGAAAAACTCCTGCATACCACACATTCTTATGGAAGTATGGAGCAACGTTAAAAATAGATGGCCTCCCATTCTATCTCTCTCTGTATCTTAAAAAAATACAATACACTTTCATTTTCTCGTTTATTTGAACCGGGACAATGCACATTGATGAACATTTTAAACAAAAATAATGCAATGAGCCGGATTTTAGCTTTGAGCTCATTTCCATCCGTAGTCCCGTCACATACAACATTTATGAACATGACAGTTATATGTATGGCAAAAATAAATACATGATATGCAGAAAGAGCATGAGCAGCATACAAGCATTTACCACATGGCAGTACAATGTAGCAGCTACGATATATAAAGTGCAAGAGAAGATAAAAGAGCTACATAAAGTGCAAGAGGAGATACCCCTGTGTTAAAGTGCATTTAGCGGTGATTACACGTCTGTTTGTTTCTCAACCATTCTTTGAGTTGACCTTTAAAACTATTGAGAGTGGGACAATCCCGTATCTCAGTTGGGAGGCTATTCCACAATGAGCTCAACACACTCAAGATTAAAATATATCGTTTATGATTTCATATTAATGTGATATTCGGTGTGTCCAGTTTTAACCGTAAATGAAGTAGGCTGTAAAAATAACCTGCATTTTCTTATCATGATAAAAAAAAACCTGGAGGAATGGATTCCAATGCCCAAATATGGGCTTAGGGGAAGTGGCCCTGACGCAATCATCACCGCTGTTGCTTTAAATGGCTTCAGGAAACAAGGGCTCCCACTCACGTCATGGGTTTCCTCTCAGTATGTGCCACATGAGCAGGATGTGCTAAATATGGGCATCTGTCTGTCCTTCAAAAGGAAGTAACACACACTGGGGGATGGGTGAGAAGAGAGCACACTATTATAAACAGGCCTTCTGCTGTGTTCCAGAGAGCAGTGGATTTTTTCCATGGTGTGAGAAAGACTAAATATAGATAGGGAAATATCTTAGATTGCTCCTGATACAGGGTTTGCATATCAAAGGAACACATTGTAGTCAATATATAATGTGTTAATCATTTTTTAAACGTGTCCTTATCTTATCTGAATAACATTACTTGCTGAGTCATGCAGAGCAGAGATAGTTCAATGCTAAAAAAAAAAAAAAAGGGTTAAGGTATTCTTACACGACAGGCTGTGTTTACATGTTAGAAAAATAAATGTTATAAGCAAAAGGACTGATTCAGTAAGACCACTTTAAAGCTGCAACAAGGTTTTAAATATAAAAGCACATGCAGCATCCTGAACCCAAATTAAATGTCAAGTTGTTTTTGGATAATTGCTTAAACTGTAATGGAACACATTTTAGGTGGTTCAATGTATTAAATGAAAAACAATGACACATTTTCCCCTAAGGGTGTTGATAGTTTTTACTACAAACACAAGTCAATGCGTAATAGAGGTGTGGCTATTAAAGCAACAGATACACATTTATACCGACACACAATATTTTATCAAAACCAGAACCAGGATGAAATGGGTCTGTTGAGTATTTCCAATGTGGAGACTGGTGCGTGCTTGGCATATCTTTGGAAATGTACCACAAGGAGGGGGGACTGTTTGTCCAAAGTCCACACTACAACGCACGTGGTAGCCAGTTTATGAAACTTGTATAATACCTGAAAACGATAAAGACTAGTTTTACAGGCAGTTTCAAGCTGTTCCTCCAGACAAAATTAGCAGATAACATAAAGCAAAACAATGTACAGATAAACCATACATTTATAAAGGCTTATTGTTCTTAGGTTGTCTAAAAATAAACATTTTAAGATTCCAAGGTGTAATTTTACAAGTCTAATGAATACAAAAAGAAACTGAAACTGTATTTCTCCACGTGTTCATGTAGTGATCTTCAATGCGGTTTGAGTGACGCGTTTATTTTTGTTGTTGTCTGTAGCTAATGCAATTATCATAGTGTGTGTGGAGGTTGCCTTACCAGTTGTTTCAGGGTTGTTTGAATAGCAGACTGGTTTGAGGCCGATGGGCGGGGCTCTCTCACATGACGCTGAGTGAGTGACGTCAGCGAGGTGATAAGTACTTGTCCTGCAGTCAGTCTGTATTGTGTCTACATGCGAAGTCAGAGGGGAGACACTTGAATTAACGTTAACCTTTGATTGTTTTGACTAATTTAAAAACAAACAGTGTCATGGAGGTCACCACAGAGGCCAAGAGGATCATGGTGGTGGCTTTGGGGAAACTGTACAGCTCCCGCACCCAGCGAGGGGGTCTCCGTCTCCACCGGAGCCTCCTCCTGACCATGGTGATGAAATCCGCCCGGGACATGTACCATGCGGCCCAGGAGACGGTGGAGTGGGAGGCGGCGGAACAACAACAGTCCCCGGCCGAGGAGCCTACAGACGCTCAAATGGAGCTCCAGGAGGGAAAACCTTTGACTTCAACCGGAGAAGAGGTCGAAAGCTCCCCCGCTAAGCTCCGCCGCGACGCCTACAACAAGGAGAATATGAGCCCGCCCCGACCAGCACAACACTCCCGGAAAAGACGGGGTAAAGCGGCCGTGGAGCCGGACTTTCTACCTTGCAAAAAGGCAAAACTTGAGCAGAAAAACTCTCCCCATCAGCTCATTTTAAGTACAGTTTTGCTGTGTGAATATATGAACTGCAGCAGTGAAGTGGGAGCATCCCCAGCCCCCATGCCTGTACAGAGAGCCATTTCAGCGTGTTGAAACTGCGTGGATTAAAGACTTTAAACTTCTCGACACGGCTTGAACGCCATGGACTCTTTCGTTTAACGTGAACATCCGGGATAAGAGTGCCCTAAAAGCCCCAAGCATGGCTGTGAACATGTCGGGGCATGTACCAGGACTCACGGAAGCAGCCCTGTGGATGTGTAGTAGTCCCGGTGACTGTTGGCCTAATTATTGGCTATAGCTCACCACAAGGACAGGCTTCAGCTGGCCAAAAGCGGAACTAAAGGAACTGGTTGACCTGAATGAGGCCTTGAGCTGCCTTAATGGACATTAAAAGCTTAACAAATGTGTGTGGATAAGTGCTGACTGAGATGAAATGTGTTCCAGGTGTAAAACATTCAATGACTACAACTACCTCAGTATTTATTAAAAACGATTTTGTACCTAAAACCTTGAGTGGTGTGTTGTTTGTCTTAGTCATTGTTGACATATCACAAAACTGCTGTTGTATAAGGGGGGGGGGGGTTGCTTTTGGTTCAAGAAGATCCATGTGAAAGTGGTTGTGGGTGACAGGAAACTGAGTGTGAAGAAGTTTGCTTCCTTCCCCCACACTGATTTGCAGAACAAAAGCTGGGACAATTCAGGAGATTGAGGTCCAAAGAGTGAGGGGGGGCGGGGGGAGGTTGTAAAAACCATTGCCTGGACATAACACTGAGAACAATCAGAGCCCTGCAGCTCTTTAAAAGTAGTGTTTTACTGTGGCCGTAATACTTGAATAATAGTGATTGATTCAGGGTGCAAAAGGTTGGGTAAAACATGCATTTGTAGTGTGCTGTTAAGGGACAGTGGTTAATTATCAGTAATCCGGCACAAACAGATAAAGGGAGATTACACACAACTGAATTCCTTTCATTTGGGTCGTTCATTCTGCACCTAACCCAAACAGTATCTGAAAATTGTTTTTACAAAACCATTCAAGTTCATTGATTAGCAATTAAAGTGAAGCTTAAGTAATGGGTGAATTATATTTAAATACAATAAAGCTTTTATTTATATTCCTATTAACGTACGGTGTTCGTTTTGGAATGTAATGGCCCTGCAGACTACAGAGTGGGCGCAACAGGGATTCACCACCGGTGTTGAGGGGGGAGGGGATTTATCCCAGGAAAACAGAAGAAGGAATGTGGGGGGAAGTGCCTGAGAGAGCCCCATGAGGCTCCGACCAGGCTGCTTATTCTTCCGGCTGAAACCAGAGCACCCTGTCTGTGTACACACAGGGCCGGGAGGAGTGGCCGGAACCGTCTGGACATGCCTGTGAAAACACACACAATTGTTCGCCTTCACATGTTAGTCTGCTCCGATCACTCACACACACTTTCTTTACCCTTTATCTGATTTCCCTCACACAGAAGCTCATTGTGAATGAACATGCTTGCACATCCATGTTCTTGTCACATCTATCTAAGCATAAGATTCATGTCATCTCCTAATGGATTTCTTTTTTTTCAGAATGTAAGCATTGCAAAAGCACATGCTGAATTGACTCAGAGCTGATTGGGTGGTTTTGATCCCTGTTACCTTATCAGCCTATAAGGGGCTTACATTTTAAGCAGTGTTAATAATGGCTTTTATACAAAACCACCTTGTTTCTAGTTAGCAGCTATTTTCAGTCAAAAAGCTCTGGAAAAACCCACTGAATGCACATGCCCATCATCAAACGTTACATTCTTTTATTTTATTTAGCTGCAGCCTTCATCCTAAGCGACGTACAATAATTGCAATCAAACTAGGCGAGAATTCTGCAAGTAGCTTTCAAGAAGCCAAACCATTTTAAGTGTAACATACAAAACGTCTTCATTTAAAGGTGCAAACAGATGGATTTTCTGTTGACAAAGTAGGATGTGTATACTTTCTGCTGGTATCAATGGGAAGCCCTATTTTGGAGCCAGGATAACACAGCACGTAGACAAAGTTAGCAATAGCTGGTGAACAAAGTGGATCATTTTGAAGCTAAAAAAAGCACATTTTCCACCAGGAGCTGGTAAAAAGGTCAATGCAAAGCTAATAGAGGGCGAATATAAGGCTTACCTTTTCCAGATAGAAAGAAAACATGAATCCATATGAATGATATGCTGCTCTGTGTCTACTGGAAATGTACATAGTCAACAGTTTAACATGTTACACACTCAAAAAGGGAGATCTTGTCAATGTGTTCATAGGTTATATGACCTTGTGGAGTTTAGTAGTGCTATGAAGCAGACTGTTGGTGATTGGGCCCATTGTTAACTTGTGTAATGCTTGACACTGCTGCTGGAACAAAATCATATCCCAAGTTTGTTGTGTGCGTTACACAATCCCACCATTGGTTTCACACTATTCCACTGATGGATGTAATGCCTCAAAAAAGGAAAATATAAATCAGCAAACATGACTGCAAGCTAGAAAATATAGATGTTAGTACTGCATGTTTCAAAATGTTTGTAAAATATGTTTTGCAAATCTTTCATAGTAAGGACATTTGTTTCCAGTGTCAACATTACTTTTGGTTGTTTACAAGGAAACCCCAAGAGGCGCCTTTAAGCCACAACATATAGTAAACACCTACAACACACATGCTCAGTTGAAGAATAAAGCCATAACGTGGACAAGAAAAGAGGCAACACAGTGTGCATTCTCTCTGGATTTTATTCTTTAGGAAGAGTTCTGTTTAGAATTACAAAATGCACTGGTAGAAATAGCGGTGAGACAGTTTGAGAGTGCGACAGATAAGAGTGTGAGAGAGACAGAGTTAGAGAGAGAGAAAAAAGAGGGAGTGAGTGAGAGATCAAAGTTTTCCACAGCCATTCATAATGAGGACATCATCAGATTTGGCTAGCTCCTGTACCCCCTGACCCCCCACACAAAGTAGAAGGGAGAATACTGTCTTCTGAACTGTACTTTCTTTTCTTTGAATATTTTTTTTAAAAACAGTTCTTTTTTTTCGTGATGTGCCTCAACCCCATGTAACAGAAGAAAACAAACTCTCACCAAAGTCTCTTGTGTTTTTTTAAATTCTTTAGACATTTTTTTTTTGTAATTTTTAACCTTTTTTGTTCTCAAAAATAGAAGGAAAAAAAGGAAACGTTGCTTTTTAAAAACATCTATCTATTTATATATCTTTTTTTTAAATTCCTCTGAATTCTTTAATCTGCTTTTTCTTTTATGTCCTGAAGATGACTGTTAACCCACGGTGTGGCATGCACATAGCACATGCATTTCTGGAACTAGATATTTTTTCCTTTTTTTTTTTAACCTTTTGTACTTAAAAAACTCTTTTTTTCTCAGTAGCGGCTTTACATTGCTTTTTGAAGACTTTGTGTGGTTAATCAGCGTGTTAGTGGATTTCACTGCAGCATAGACACAAAGATGGATGGTGAATGTTTGGGGCTATGCCTGTTTCATTCAGGGGTTTACTGACATCACACACATACATGCATACACACATATGCACACACAGAGTCGGAAATTTGATACAATGTTGACTAAAACATTTTTTTAAAGGATTTCTGGAGACAAAGAATAGAAAGCAAAGCAAGCACAAAAACAAAACATCAAACATTTGATCTGAAACACACTCACTCATGTACACACACACACACACGCGCAAAAAACCCACTTACACACACACACACACACACACACACACCACAACCAGGAGCTACATACTTAGTGTGCTTTCTGATTTTACGTGTAGTGATGTGAAAGAATACTTGTCTGTGACATTCCACTGAGGTTGGAAAGACACTAATAGGCAGTTTTTTTCTTTTCAATTTTTTCGGTGCATTCTCTGGTCAACATGTGATAGGCCTCCAGGTTAAAAAACGTTAAATGAATGAACAGAATCATAATAATAATAATAATAACAATGTTGGGGCTGACAGTGGTGTGCATTAGTGACACGTGTTAGTTTGAGGCACACAGAGAAACACAAAGAAATAAACTAAAGATATACAGGAGTGATTACACACAGAACATAGATGTTTTTCAGGGACCATGACGAGGCCCACACATCTTTTCTCCAACCCGCCTGCACTGTGCAACACGAGTGAGAGAATGAGCTAAACTGTATACTTGGTGCATCGACTCCGAATCAGAAATGAAGTCAAAGGAGAGGTAAAAAAAAACACACAGTCATACAGCGCCACCTGAAGGTCACAAGCGGTGGTGGAACTCTTTCGCATCTGCAGGAGACTTCTTTTTATTCCACTGCAGAAACCTGGAGGCAACTGCTGTGTTTGGCCAATTCTTAGGGCGCTCTAAATCAAATTAACCCACGCACGGTTGAAATTCTATATAGTCTTATAAAGAGTGACTCTTCATGTTTTCCCACCTGCAGACTCATTCTCCCACGATGCAACTGTGGGTTAGAGCTCCACCTTAGGGTTGGAAAAATGAGTAGCTGAGCTCAAAATCAAACAGAACAGAAAAAAACAGACCCAAAATGGAGAATCTGTCTCATTATCACGATCGACATGATCATTAGAAGTCACTATATCATCAGATTGTCCATCATGACGGTCGATAACAGAAAACTAAGATGAAGAGTTTCTCTCCTTTCCCTTGCCTTTCTATTGGTCTCTTCCTCTCGCATGTTCTTTTAAGCCCAAACCCTGGAAGACTTTGAGATGTTACTGACTTGTTCACCAATATTGGACCCCACATCTCTTATCAACGTTACCCTGCTTCCCGTTATATCGTTTTTATCAGCGTAGTTACAAAAAGTTACTTCCACAAAAAAGTATGTGCAATTCCATCTGTATCAGTGGCAGGCATCTGACACAGGACATACAGACAAGCAAGCAAAAAGTAATACTTTTGTTCCTTCTGGATAAACATACAGTAACTATCAAATCTCCCTATCGCCTTCTTTCACTTGATTTCAGTGTAAATGAAGGTACAGGAAGAGTAATGTCATACAGAGGAGACGGAGAGAAACAGAAAGGCATGTTTACTTCCAAAAAAAAGAGAGAAACCCTGCAGACCACAACAGAAAGGACCAAGTAGAGTTCCCCCCCCACATACAGTAGATTCTCATTGTTGCTATTATTATTATTTTTTGTATCATTCATGCAGGATTCCACAGGGTGTACAACTCCGCAAGTCTAAAAAACGAAGCTGTGTTGGGTGCAACAGAAGATTCAAGCTTCAATGTTTTGAAGAAGTAGAAGAGAAGGAGGAAGAAGAAGCAGGAATAGAAGAAGAAATACTGCAGAAAACAGTTATTGGTTTGTTTTTTGTTTCTGAAACCCATCTCCACGCTTTTGTTTTTCTTCTCTCATAGGTCATGGGTTGAGGTTGGTTCAATTGTTTGTTTCTGGGAGGAGGAAACATCCCAAACACACCCATCCTTTCCTCTACATTTTGACCAGGGACTCGTCAACCCCCCCACCCCCGTGCAACAATCCCCAACTCTCCCACCCACGCAGCCTCCGCACCTCACACAGGTGGAGGGCTCATTGTCAGTTTGGTTCTTATTTAAAAACACAGATGATAAAACTCATCAATATTCAACTTGTGGCTGGGAGGGTTGGGTTTGATTCTTTTTGCAGCTAACTTAACTGAAGTTGGCTTTGAGAAGCAAAAGAAAAGAAAACAGTGGTCGTTCTTTTGTCTCTGACTGTAAAGTGTCTTTTGTCGAGTCGCAACTCTTGACATCTTGTAAGTGGCTGTAGATCGTTGCCGGAGGCAGCATTTAAGACACACACAGACTAGTGTAGTCACCCCGGCTGCTTGCATCCTGCAGTTTGAGGTTGGTCTTATTTGGCATCAACAAATGAATGCTACAACAATGCGAGCAGAACGTGGAGGTGGTGTTCCACTTCTACTGGTCCTGCCTCTGCATTGTTGTTCCACCCCTTCATCCTGACACCTTTCCCTCCACCCAGCCCAGCATCACTGGGACATGCCAAGCAGTGGAGGGGAGAAAAAAATTGAACAGGCAAGAAAGAAGGAATCATGGTTTCCCTTGGCAGTCAGAGCTCTCGCTCGGAGCTTCCCGTTTCCATTTGTCCGTCCATCTATCAGTTATTTTTCCTCCGTACGCCCCTCACCCATCCCCAGAGGCTAGCACCAGTCGTCGTCCTCCTTCTCACTGTAGGGTTCATGCAGGCCCTTGCGGGGACCTTTGGGATGCCCGGGTGGAGGGGGGACCTTGTGAGGCCCCGTGTGTGGGGGTCCATGGATATGTTTGGACGGAGATGAAGAGCGGTATCCGTTGGGTAGGCGCCGCTGGACAGCAGGCTGCATCTGGCCCTGCACAGGCCCCGTCAGGGCCGTGGTGGGGGGGGGGTGCATGGCCGACAGTCCTGGGGGAGGTGCGACTGGGCTGCTGGTGGGGCGGGGGATGAGGGTGGGGGTTGTTTACTGGGTGGGGCTGGGGTGGAGGCAGTGGATGGGGGTTATGTTGCTGTTGTTGTGGGGGAGGCGGCAGTGGGTGGTTGGCCAGGGCATGAGGTTGAGGGTGGGGGTGCGGGTTGCCACCCTGCATGGGGTTCTGCTCGTAAGCAGGGGGTTCATGGTGGGGGTCATAGTCCTGGTTGTAGAAGCAGCCGTCCCCTTCCATGGAGCCCCCTCCTCCACCCGTGTCCCCCCAGCGAGGCGGGGGGTGATGACCCTGGCGGGATATGCCATGGTGGGCTGGAGGGAGGACAGAGGGGGGGGGGCCCTGGCCTTGAGGAGGCTCGGGAGAAAAGTGCCGAGGGGCAGGAGCGGGGGGGCGGGCCTGGGGCCCCCCAGGTGCTGTGGGCATGGCCTTACGGACCACAGGGGAGTAGGTGACATGAGGCCGGGGGGTTGCGGGGGTCTGAGGCAACTGTCGGCGGCCGCGACGTGGCGTACTGGTCCCCGACGTAGAGGGGACGGGACTTCCACTGACCGAACTACTGCCCTACACGAAAAGTGAAATAAAGCAAATAAAAAGAACGAACCACAAATTCAACGACAGAACATGTAGAGAGTGAAGAGGATGGGAAAGAAAGAGTGGAAAACAAATAGAGAGGGAAAGAGAGAATGCAAGATGGAGAGGCAAAGAGAAAGCAAGAGAAGACAAGAACAACAATCACAGCAATAAAAGCACCAGTCATAACGTGCGTGGGATGGAGGAGAGAAATGAAAGGCATCACAAAGGAACGGAGCATGTGGACAAAAAAGATGAGATTCCAAACAGCAGCATACATAGAGAAGCAACATGTCAACGCAGAGGAAAGAAAACAACAGACGACGGGAGAAAAGAAGGGTAAAGGGTTGATTTCAGGAGCAACAAATGTGGTACAGGGTCAATACGGTGACTAAACATACACTAAACGTGTTAGATTTAAAGTGACTGTCAGTGAGCTGTGAGACATGTGTCATGTTCTGAAATCTATTTCTATATAACACACATGCAAACATTGTGATGGGAGGAAAACAATTCTTCCCTAATTAGTCTTTCTTTGCTAGAATAGTCTAACAAAAGTTGTAACTGCACAGAAGTTTGGTAGATTATAGATACTTTTGTTTTTACATTTCAATAGTAAATGTTAGGTGTTATGTGTTTGGAATAGCATGCTATAAAAGGAAAGGTATTGGGGGGGAACATGGGAGAACTTTGGCAGTCTTAAAACATGTAGCAGGGCAGGACGGGGCAGCAGTCAGGTATGCAAATATACATTTTTATGTATATTTGCTGGGTTGCTGGAACAGTGATTTGAAACATTGAACAATTAACTGCATAGTGAACATTTATTGTCTGTCTTTCATTTTACTTACTTGCATTATTATACCCACAAAATGTTTGTGTGCATGTCGTCAACACATATTTAAATACAAATAATCCAAACTTTATTTGTCATTTTAACACAACTTGGGGTTGATAAGGCTTCTAACTTGAGGGCAGTAAAGTCCTAAAATAACCTCTGACCTTTTTTAGCAGTAGTATTTAGCAATTATTTCTGCTTGAATAAAAGTAGCAATACCACAGTGAAAAATACTGACCTACAAGTAAATATCTTACTTTTGAAATGACATAAACATTACAAGTACCCCCTTTCAGGGTGTTCGAATAGTGTGGTCGTCCCACTTGACCAAACTAGACACCACATGCACACAACTACCCGGAAGCCCACCTGTCTGTGCGTCAAGCCGTCCCGACCCTCGCGACCCTCGTGACCCTCGTGACCCTCACGACCCTCGCTGGGCGATCGAGACCAGCGCCGGTCCCTCTCTCTCTCCCTGTCCCTGTCCTCAAGCTCTCTTTCGCGGGAGTGCCTGTGTCCGTACTCGCCCCCTCGCTCTGCTACATAGCGCTCCTTGTCCACGGAGCCGTGGTGGTGGTGATGGTGGTGGTGGTGCTTACGGTCTTTGGACCGGCCGCGGTCTCTGTCGCGGTCCTTGTCTTTGGCCGTGAGGTCCCCGGACTGCGTGGTCGTGCTCAGGTCCGTGCCCAGGCCTGATGAGGGAGTCCATGAGAGTTATTACTGGGTGTGTGGTTAAAAAACACTAGACACTATGACACTGTAGAAGTCAGTTTCACTGTGGTTTTAATCATTGGTTCATATGATAACCTTTGCATTATGACAGTCTGGTTTTCCACTCCCAATGTGCTTCCTGGAGAAGAATGCTAAATCCTATGGTACTAGGTTAAACGTCACTTACAAAAGGATAAAATATTGACTTTTTGTGATAGATAGAATAAAAACCTGTAAGCTTCTCTCAGTCTTCATACCCCTGCTTAAGCCTGACTTGTCCCAGGTAATCTGACTCTTAAACAGTAGTGATTGAATCTTTACCTTCAATCACTAGTGTGTCTGTGTTTCTTTTATGTTATATCCAATTTGACCTGCTTAGGTAATGGATCCATGACAGCACTATGACATTAGATAACAATACAAATCAGACTTTAGAATAATGGTTACATAAAAAAAATCTGTGTTAATAAAGCATCTGCCAAACCCTCATTATTGTCTCCTGTATGTGCGGTTTTGTTTGTGTGCATATGGTCTCCTCCCCACCTGTGTCAGCCTCTGTTGTATGCGGACAGAGCGACCTCTCGGAGGCCCGGTGACCCCGGTCTTTTCGCCGGTGTCCATGCCGGGAAGTCCTCTCCTCCTCAGGCACACACTCCATGTTGTAGTCGTCTCCTTTGTCTCTGTGACCCCGGCCGGACCTGCTGTGGCCCAGCGACGAGGCCGAGCGCTTCATGGGACTGGTGTCATTTATGGTCTGGGAGGGAGAGAGAGAGAGACCGCAGAGGAAGGGGAGGAAAGAGAGAGTGGGAGATGCAGAGAGATGTGATTTCCTTTGATTATCCAGACAGTTTTGCCTGTGATTTATGGGTAAAGAGACACAGTGTGTGTGAGTGTTTGAGTGTGAATGGCATCTGTTTCTTGAACAATGAAAGCCCACCATTTCCCCCCACATCCCTTCCCAAGTCATACACTCCCACATTAGTAATACGTAATAATAATCATGCTACTTCAAAAATACAGATTATAAGGAAGGGGTCGGCAAAAAGAGGCCAAACTCGGTCCTGCATCACAATGAATTTCCCCCTATAAAATAATCAGCAAATGATCTTAATTACCCATGTGCTGAAAGGAGGTCCAATAACATGTACAGATTCATAACTATTAAAATCACATTTTGCATTTAGAAAATAAAGTCAAACTTTTTGTTTATCAGCTAACCCCAGTAGTTGATACAGTAGATATATTGATTTATTTTCAAAAATGTAACTTTGATCTTGACATGTCAACTTTATTCTTACCATTTTGACTTAATTATCTTTTTATTCATTAAATGTTTCTGGCATTAAAGTGGACCTATCATGCTATATTGGAAAAATATATTGTAGGGCCATACCTATACAAAACATGTCTGTGAAGTTCTTTGCTTAAAATACCAAACAGATCACTCATTGTAGCCATCCCTCATACTGCTCAAACCCCTCTTTTGCAGCCCTGCTAGAGAAACGCGGATTTTGGGTCCTTAGCTTAAAAAAAGAAAGAAAGAGGAGGCGGAGCTAATGCCTGATCAGAATTCTACCGGAGATAAAGTTCAATTCTGCTGTGATAAAACGCCATCCTGTTCTAAACCACATCAAGGATTATTTCTGAAACAGTATGGAGCTCAAATGCGTTTTCTCTTGCGGGTTTATCACAAGGTGAGTTCCTTTTTTTATTTCCTGCTTTTTAAACACATGTGCTCTCCAGTACAGGTTAGCTCTGAGTGTTAGCGAGGCTTGCTAATGTAAACAAAGACGAGATTACGTCCAAAACACGACAGGCATTGTTTCTGATAGCAACTTTATGTGGGTCCGCTGCCGATATGACGTCAAATCGGCGGCGGACCCACATAAAGCTCGTTGTACCCCCGTTTTTAAAAGATTTGGGTACGGAGGAAAAGAGAAAGGGTTTTATTTTCTGACGCTGCGTGAGTTCCCCCGACACACCGGGGACACATATTTATGTATAAAAGTGACATCAAAATGACATCAAAAAGTGCATTTTGCATGATAGGTCCCCTTTAATTCTGAAACTTAGACATGTTTTTCACAACTGTGACTTGAGTCCCAACATTACATCTTTATCTCAAGATGATAAGGAAAAACCTATATTTGTTCCAGTTTTGATGACTCTTTATTAGTTTATTCTTTCACAAAATCCCCCCCACTGGCACGTGTCTCCACAGTGCTAGCTAGCCCCATGAACTGGCTAAGGGCTGAAACCACAGGCATTGCCGACCCCCTGGTACACATGAATAAAAAAAGAATACAAGAAAAAAGATTAACAAGAAATAAAGGAAGAGAGATGATGGCAAACAGCCATGCCTTCCATGCTTCTGTACGTTGCTTTGTAAAAGAAAAAAAAGAAGATAGAAATATCAGTACGGCTTGCATCGTTCCTCTGCCATCGCTTATAATGGAACATTCCAGGCTGCACAAAACTCTTCCCTCCAGCCATGCAGGTACATAGGGGTTGTCCTGAGTCCTCTCCCTACATGAGACCCTCTTTATGCAGAGTGAGGCCTCATGCTCTGAGGCGGGACAGCAGGACAGAGCCTATGGCGCCACACGTTGAGCATGTAAACCACATCAGGCTACTTCAGTGCTAGATCCTTTTGGCAGTGAGAGGGGCCAGTTTTCCAGTTGATGTGTATTAGACAAATCAGCTGACATGTTAAAAAAAAAACACCTGACCTCATAGGAGTAGCACTGAGAATCCCAACAACAAACCCATTCAAACGCACACATACCCTTTGTCTTTCGGTCTCCTTGTACTCAAATACACTCCACACATTTCAACAAATATCTTGCATGCGGGAATGAATGGAGACTCGTACACGGATTGGGAAACATTAAGACACGTATATAGACGAGCACACAGGCATGAGGACAGAGAGCAACAAAGCACTAGCAGCAGCTGAGAGAGAGACAGAGACACAGAGGCCACGGGACAGTGTGTCCGTCCGGACTGTTGATAATGACATGTGACGTGCAGAGTTCAGCCCATTTCCAAACCCAAAAGGTGCATGGGAGAAGTCGCTAAGGAGGCTGGGATCACTTTGAAAGCTGGGCTGGAATCAGATTTGGTCATGCCAAAAAAATTGTTGTCCAAATATATTTGAAAGAGACACCATGGAGACATGACGAATGAGGGGGTAAAAAAAGGAATTCCAAGAGTGTGTGAGAGTCAAAGACAGAGAGAGAAAAGGGGAAGAGAGACGAGACAGGGAAGACAGGGTACATACACTGAGGTTACTGCCACGTTGTCTCCCTTTCCTCCGCTGCTGTATGAGCACAGAGAAGACACACACACACACACACACACACACACACACACACACACACACACACACACACACACACACACACACACACACACACACACACACACACACACACACACACACACACACACACACACACACACACACACACACACACACACACACACACACACACACACACACACACACACACACACAGAGAGAGCCACAAGTACACCCAAGGTTTGGTCACACACAGAATTGAGAAAGAGAAATAAAGGAGACAGGGATGGATAGGCGATGACAGAGAAAAGGGGAACAGTGGAGCAAGGAGCAGAGACAGAAGAGTGTCGAACCCAAAAAGTGATGGTGTGCCACGTGGAGAGAGGAAAGACAAAAGACAAGAAAGAGAAGGAGGGACGGAGAAAGACAGTATGATTAGACACTGAAGCAGCAGTGAAGGTGGAAGAGAAACACTTACCACAGAGACTGGGGGAGGTTGGAGCCAAAACAGGGTTATATAGACATGTTCACCATGAAAATGCTCCATCAACTGCAACACGGTCACAACAGCAATGAGGACAATCGGCGAAATACACACACAAATGGATTTGCATACACACACAAGTATAGTCAACAGCGGACAACAGTTTCAGGGCACAGAGAACAGTGAGAGCAGAAGAAAAGCACACACATCTGTAACACACAATATCATGCTGGTTCCAGTCCTGGTTCCAAATAAATACAAATAACCCCAAAATTCCAAAAATATTTAAGCCAAAACTGTAATAGAAGAAGCAAACAGTTTAGATTGAAAACAACGACAAAAAGATAAATAAATCAGCGTCTTGGCAAAAACAAAAAAGGGCCGTCAGAGAGGTGTGTAAACTGTATGTATGTGTGTGCACATTTGTATTTATCAATTTTTTGTGCGCATATGACAACCAGAGCACTCACCGGGGAATGGAACAATATGAAATGGATGAGTGTTAGATGGAAACGAGACAACCAGGGTTGAAAAACCTCCATGCACGTGTCAGGATGAGAGGAAGAGGAGACGACAGCAAGAGAAGAAGAGGTCTCACTTTGCCTTGCTGTGGACCTTTTGAATTCAGGTTTGGTAGGGAGAGCAACATTTCAGCAAAACATGTCCATGTTTTAGCTAGAAATATTGTCGCGATAGCTAGTTAAATGGTAGTCACGTTACGGGTCGTTTAGAAAAAATAAATGTGACCTTTGCCCTTTACCACAAGAGTAGTAATAGGAATTTGTCCACTAGTATGAATCTTTTAGACCCTGTGCCAACCTGTCTCCAACATGGATTCAAGTAACCATAGCAATACGTTTTACACCAACCAATCAGACCTTTGAGATTATGATGTTTTCAAACCGAAATGAGATGAAGAAACAGAGGTAATGGGGGACTGAAAGGGGAGTGGAAGGATGAGAATGCTGCTCACTTGGTTGTCGCCTGGGAGGCGGGGCATGGAAGCGGCCCTGCCATGGCCTTCCATTGGTGGAAAGTGCTCAGTATCCGAGTAACCATCCTGCCCCATCTCTCTCATCTCTACCGTCTGAAAACAGAGCAGGAGAGCAGGAGATGGTGTGACGGCTGACATGAAAACTGACAGGGAGTAGGGGGATATGCTGGAAAGTTTGTTATCCAAAGAAAGCAGAGAATGGAGGGTCTCAGAGAGAGGTCAACGGAGTGTGTGTGAGTGTGAGGAAGGACTTTGCCATTTTGGTTTCTTCTGTTTGTTGTTTTAGTTTGAACTAGAAATACAAAAGGAATTGAGTGTTTGGGTCTTGAGATTAAACTTGGACAATATTTGCTGCTGTCAAAATGGATCATCAAGCCAGTGCAAATATTCAAAAAATATGTGAATTTCCAGACAGTTTACAAATGTAAATCCAGCTTGTTGTCTCAGTTACTACCCTGCACATTTCTCTCTGCAAATATGCCAAATGATATTATGTTTGGAGTGAAACTTTTACAAATGAATGGAACTGTTTAAAACAGATGTGTCACACTATTTCAATCATGAGCTGAGAGGCAGTGCTAGCTATTCCATATATTCAGTCATTAAAAAAGACTAGATAAAACATTAAATCAAATAATAAACTACAAAAAAATGCTTAACAGCTGACTACATTTAAGTGCTAGTGTTTTACCATAGAAGGTATTTGTTTTCTAATATCTCGGGTTTTCTGTGCTTTATGACTCCATTTGTCCGCTTTCACTGTAGGTTATCAATCAAACTAGTTTGAAATAAAGCCGACAGCGACTCTCTTCTATCAAACTCCTGAGTTTAAACCTCTCCAGACCTCTGTTGATTGATATGAAGAAGAGGTTATGTCACAGGCCTGACTGATACAGAGTCAGGCCCTCCAGGAGGTCTACAAGCAGAGAGGTTTAACAGAATGATGACGGAGACATGAACCGCTCTGAGGACAGAGGATAAACTCTCAATGACATGTGGAAATGTACGGCGAAGGAAAGATTCAGTCAGATAAAAAATGTGTAAAGAGACAGGTTGAGAGATGGAAATAACTAAAAGAAGGTTCAACAACATGTCAATGCTAACTGACAAATCTCGAGGAGGGAAAATGGCCTGCTCAAAAGGAACAATAAGGCAACAAAGCAGTAGAGATGGGACAGTATGAGCTTTGAGCTTCTGTATTTTGTGCCAAATAGGCTTTGATTAAATAGGAGAACATATAGTACAAGAATGTGGCTTATCTTCCCGACTACTGACAAGATCGCCTCAACCTTAAGCATGAGTTCATATTGCTGATACTGATTTGGTTGGAGTGTAGACCATGAAACCAGAAGCAAGTTAATGTCCTGTTAAACAAAACATTGCTGTACTTCTAATTGAGGGGTCAGAAGGTAACATTTGAGAAACCAGCATGAGTACGCTAGATTTTTAAATGGTCTGCAAAAACAGTTCTCTAATGAGAGCAGCTAGCAGCACTAGCTCGGAAAGTTATCAAATCTAGCAAGAAAGTCACCAAGTTGGCAGCAGCCCGTCCCTTAGGTTTCACTCTAAAGCTCGTCCCCAACATTATTATTATACAATTAAACATATGATGGTAAAAGCTCAGTGAGGAACATGGCTGTTTTTAGCACTCACATCTGTAGTTTGTGGAAGACTCTGGTGACGCATGTGAACAAATGCAATGATTGGACAGACTTATAACAGTCCTGCGACATCCACAAATGACAGATATTTTTGTTTAAACAACACCCAAACCTGGTGTCGTTATCTAATTAATGTAATGCACAGGGGTTATGGATAAAGGGGGGACTGCTTTAATGGAGATGGAATTTGAATCTGTAACTCCATAATGATCAAAGTTCATTTTACCATTAAAGTGTCCTCAATGGTTCTTTGGGGGTTCATTTGTTAGCAATGACATGAAAGTAAAACAAATGTTGAATGGGAGTTGAGTGTTTGAGTCCACACAAACTTGGTGTGTGACAAAGATGTGTTTTAAGTGTGTGTGTGTGTGTGTGTGTGTGTGTGTGTGTGTGTGTGTGTGTGTGTGTGTGTGTTTGTGGTCCTGGGGGTGTGCCTGTATGAGCTTCTACCTGAGAGTTGCTCATGCTCCCCAGGCTGTCCTCAGGGTGTCCCTCAGGGCTCCAGCTGCCTGCTTTTTGGGACATCTCCTGAGCACGAGCCGTCACCCACGATTGGCTCGCCGGGATCCCCCCCTGTACCGTCCTATGACACACACAAACGTACCATCACACACACATCTTTCTGAAAGGAATATCTGACCCATAAAATAATGATTTGCATATCAATGGCTCACCCCGTGTTACCTTAAAAACGTTTTCTTGCGTGCCTCCATGGTGAACGATAAATACAAAAACTATATTGGAACATCAGTTAAAACATTCTGGCATTATCTCATGAAGTTTAGATTTACTTGAAGTTATCAAAAATACGTTTTTGGAATATTTAATCCCCATGGAGGGTGTGAGAAAAGTTGTATCCAATACTTCAAGGTAAGAGGGGCTAAATAATTTGAGATACAATCGTCATTTTGCAGGTGAAATATTCCTAGATTTCTACAAACCACCTCCGGTAAAGCAACCACGACAACCGGCGTCACACTCACAGGCCGTTGACCGTCTCTGTCGTCTCAGGTGGAGGGAGGGCGTTGTTAAGTCCCGGACCCCCATCCTGGCCTGGGGAAGGTGGCTCCACGCGCTGAAACAGTAATGGCGTTCGATTCTGTGTGAGATATACAACATGGCCGTCGCCAGCTATCAGGCAGACTGACAGGGAAATGGAGGGAGAAGGAGCAGAGCAGGAACAGAGGGCATGTAGAGAGGGGACTGTCGGCTGAAGCAAGGCCAGGCAAAAGAGGTTATCGAGGAGGAATAAATGGGGAGCTGCCCAGCAGCTAACAAGAGAAAGAGATGGGTCGACTAGGAGTGCATTGTGGGACCTGGCAACCCTTTGAGCAACCAGGTAGAGGACTTTAAGAAGTCCAATAAGGAAGCAGAATTCACCCACTCAGGCTAGATCTCAGGATAGGATCAAACTGAATTATCAGTAATCATTTAGTGTTTCATCTTATGATCAGTTGTCATAAGATGATTGATACTAAACATCTAAAAATACATTTCCCTTATAAAAAAAAGCTTTTTTTTATAGCAGGGAAAGTAGAATTGATACCGACATGAAGGGGAGTAATAGAAGAGGAGCCTCTTTCAAAATAGGGATGGAGAACATCATGACTCATCAACAAGGCAACAATCCTGCGAAGGGGAACATACAGCAGGTGAAATGCATGATGGGACATACATACGTTGTCATTCATGTATTTATCATTGACTAAAGAAGTTCCAAAGTGCTGCCTAATTACCAGCGCTCAAAATGTCAGATTGGTCCTGGAGCTGTTACACATGCAAGTTAAAAAAAATCCTCAAATGTCACAATTAAAAATGTCCACATTTTGAGTTTGTGATTTTAAAATCTTTTTTCTACCTTAATTTAAATCCACACTATGGCAAACCTTCCATCTATGGTTGCAAACACTAAATACAATATGATTTACAACAGGTAAAATAAACCTTTACATAGTTATGTGATGTCTGCACTTATTCAATGTTTTGGATGAGGAAACACTGCAGAGGTTTAGCACTGTGTGTTGCTACAACATATGCTAGCTATGTGTCTGGGGAGAGAAGGGGTAAAGGAGCACGAAAAAGGGGCCAAAGAGGGTTTGCTGATGTTTGAGAGATGGCAATCGTATCCTTACACGTGCAATGAAATATCAGGTTGCTGAGGAGCATTACATTTCAGTTCTAATGAGACATCATCTCCTGATCCAAGATGAAATACAGCTACGGGTAGGATGCAGCAACATCATAATGCAAATCGAACAGTCAAAGGTTACAAGCATTGGGGATTGGGAGTGAGGAGGTACCATATCTTTTTCAAGCATCAAACCAGGAGAGAATCAGGCTCAGGATAGAGGAGCTTTAATAAAGGCTCCCATGGTGCTTCAGGCACAGGCACCTCGGGGGCTGTGACAACACTGGAGTCTGGGTAAACCAATTCATGTATTTTTCTTATAAAAAATGCGTGATAACTGCAAAACCCTGGCTTTTGCATTTTACATTTTGTGAAGAGTATACCTAAATAATGCACTAAATGTTGCCAAAGCTTAAAAGCAAGAAGTACCACAACTTGCCCAGCAGATGGCAGCACTGTTTTGGCTGTTAGATAAAAAGCTATAGGTGATTTCATAAGATTGGTGACTGAATAAGGACTCCTCCCTGGATGGAGGTTGTCACAGCCCAGGCTTACATGAATGGGACTACAGCCCTGCAGCTTTGATTTCAGTACGTCAGTCTGCCTTTGACTTTAAAGGGTCGGATGCAGGTGGAGTGCTTTTGCTCGTTGAGACAGCAGTACCTGCTCATCACGAAGTGCCTGGGAGCGCTTGATCTTGCTCTGCCGGTAGTACTCCATGATCATCATGGCAGCATAGATTTTCCCAACTGTCAGGTCTGTGGCTGCTGAGAGAATGACAAGTTACCCTGCGAGATTAGACCTTTGGTATGGACCCTGATCGCAAGGAATGGCAGAAAGGGGGTGAGGCATGCACACAAAACAGAGTACATTTCACACACACAACATTGAGCGAATAGTCTTTTCACAGACAGATTTTTTTTTTTTTTAACTCTACTGTATAATATATAAATAAAATTGTGTAATCAAGCACATTATTTTGATATAGGTCAAACAAATCCAGTCACTCCGGGTAACTATAACCATGTGATCACAAGAATCAACATAAAAAAATAAAGTAAATCAAAATAAAATTTGGTGATATTTACACTATAAATGACTCATTTGAACATGGTTGCAAATGTAATGCCAAATACACAATACATTTTGAGAGCAAATCTCATGCATGTCACAAACTAAAGCAACCGCTGTGTCATGCAACTAGTGCGTTAGCACATGTGCATTTGTGTAAGAAACACTGAAAAAGTATCAAGCACAGCCAGCCTGGCGCACACAGCTGACCGCCCCTGAAGTGAAAAGACGTCTATAGAGAGTTGATCTATAGTGAGGCACCCTCTGATCTCAGGCACAGAGAGGGGGAGAGTTGTGGGGGTCTGACAGGGATGGAGGGTCTGTTCTTGTTAGTGTGGTGTCTGTAGCTGAAGGAAAAGATAGGAAATGGCTGCAATCACACCAAATAAGGCGTTGGTCATGCGGCGGTTTGCAATCTAAATGACCCATTTGTGTGTAGTCAAGCTGTATCCCCCAAGCAGCAGAAGGAGACTTTATATTTCATCGGACATTTTTTTCTCAGAGCAATTTTATGATCTTGACAACAACAGCACTTGAAGGCAACTTCATTCATTTCACAGCGTAACAAGAGTCACAGGGATTTTGCCCTTCAAGAAACATAATATGCCATTTCCCATACAATTTGAGATGATACACAAAACTAGGGATAAGTGATACCTATATTTTCTTTATTTAAGTTGTATTTGGCCCCTTATCTATGGCAATAAGAGACAGATAAATGTACTGTACTCTCTCAGTGACAGGCTGTTTAATGTATTGGCCGTTTAAACTTTCCTATTGCTGTTTTTTTTGTTTTCTTAATAAAAAAAATCCCTGATTGAGAGAATAGGAGGAATGGCGTTTTTGTAGCACCGCGTTATTAGTTGTGAATGCAGCCTTGGTGTTGTGTGTGAAGTAGTTCTGCGTCTATCGTCCAGCCTGTGCTTTGTACTTTAGTAAGTTAGTTAGATTGTTAGCTTTCTTAACTATGTCTTCCTAGATCTCAGGTTTATGGGTGGGGATGTGTGGGGTTATGTACCGGCTGTATCAGAGGGTGCAGCAGTGAGAGAGACTGACTGAGAGAAGCGGTCCTCAGGTGGCGTGAAGAGAATAATCGTCGGAGCACTGGGCGGCACAGAGTGGCTGCATCCATGCCACATTGCTGCGCCTGCACAACACTCTGCAACTTACACTTGTGCGGCGTAACCAGCAAATCTAGAGTCTTCTGCGAGAGGTTGGGCCAGATCGCCATCATCTCTTTCCTCAGCTCGGCGTCCATCTGGTGCTTGTCAACCCCACCTAGGCAGAGTTCAACAAACATGCAACACACATACAAACACGCACATATATAGACAGACAAGCCCAAGTACACACAGTAGAAATTGGGACAGAAAAAAGTGTATGCATTCACACACAAACCATTCATACACAACCAGATTGACACAAAAAGGTATAAGAGAGGACATACAAACGTGAAAACAAAAACAACAACATATTTGTATTAGTAAGGTCATGATAACCCCTATGCATTTTTTTCCTCCAATATAGTAATGATTTAATCAGAGGTCATTCTATTTTTTATGAAAAAACCTCGATTCCACCCTCATCATTTCACATAAGATACTACACACAGTATAAGACGCCATCAAAATCACACTGTACTTAAGATACAGGAGGTGACGCTTCAGGAAGGTTTCTGGGTTCGGTGCTGCACTTTGGGGGGAAATAAGATAAAAGGACAAGAAATCATGTGGAAATTGAAGTAGAAGGAGGTAAGAGGGACTCCAAACCTTCTGCACCCTTGGCGATCTTGATGTCCAGTGCCGTGCGGATCAAGGCCATGAGAGTGGAGTTGAAGTGGACCGTGTTGTCATCGGCAACAGGCAGATCCATACGGAGCAGCCTCTGTGGGAGAGCCAATCAGGGCGAGTGGTGAGAAAATGGGGAAGTAAGCGGGTCGGCGTGCTTGTGGAACCTCCAGGTGTAAAGGGGGGGGGGGGGGGGGGGGGGGGGGGGGGGAGGGGAGGGGGAGGGTAAAGGAGGTTGAAGGAGCTTTGCATAGCATCTGTAGCAAGCTCTGACTCAGTGTCCAATTAGGTCCATTTGATATTCAGTGCATCTGCGACATCAATTCACAATTAGGAAATTCACAGTATTCAATCTGTTTTGTCATATGGACGAACCTGTGAGTGCTAAGATGATTAATAAAGACGTTTCTTTCAAGATTGGTTCCTTGACTCATGTATCTTCGTAACTGGTCTTCTAAGTCTATTTGTTGACAATCACAAGTCCTCACAGGTTGGTTAAACAGGTGATGTTGAGCCTTCAATGAGGATACAGGACAGTCTGAGCAGCAGCTACTAACATCCAGAGCTCCTCCTGGGGGTTTGGAGGTTCACAGTGAAAACAACAGAGACCTAATGACAAACCATTAAACCAAAAACAACCGGGGGGGGGGGGGGGCGATCTAAGAAGGAACACACTTTGTTTTTCGTTTATTGGTTTGATTTTGTATAGGTCTTGTTGGTTTATCATTTATAACACAGACACACACAGATGACAGATTGACGTTCGGGTGTTTGGTGACAGAAGACGGCGCCATCCCAACATGCAGCTTATCATGCCTGCCCCCACACCCAGATGTAATGCCTTTCCTTTAATCCATCCATCAAAACTTAGAAAAAACTCTATCCCCCAAACCTGTCTTGCATATCCCACCCTCATGCGGCATGCGATGCATACACAATATGCCTCTCAGGACAAGCAGCTGCGCAGCCGTACACAGAAAGCATCCTCTGTTGGCGACATTCAAATGAGTTGTTTTAAAGTGGCTAGTTATTGTAGGGAATAAGAACATCTGTAGACGATGGGCTAACCTGAAATAATAGAGCATCTCGCTCTATTGCTAATTATCTGATGTCTAAAATGTGAGAAATGGGCACAGACTTGGAGGGTTAATAGGTGAGAGAGAGCAGCATTCTGTGGAAACAGAAAGAAGACGAAACGAAATGGCCGCCATGGAAGTGGTGTTTTGGTGCTAAAATGCAGATGGTTGTTCAGGTGAACATAGTCCAGGTATATGAGGTGAAAGGAAATATGGCTTCTGCCAGAAAATAGATTTTAAAAGAGTTGAAAGGGACAGCTTAAGGGAAAGAGATGATAGAGAAATAAAAATCAATAGGTTAATAGGTTAAGAGCTGGAGCGTGTAAAGAGGAAAATGTGACCAAAAGAGACAAGAGCAAATAGGACGTAAAGGAAAAAAGAAAGAAGGCCCTGCGTGTCTCTTCAGGACAGAGAAGACTGAAGGTTAAGAGCAGTGGAGCGGATGGGTCATTGTTCTGTGGACTGGGGGGGGGGAGGTCAAAGGTAAGGTTTGGATTTCTCTCATTGGCTCAGGGAAAGGTGAACGGGAAATAAGGAATCAACACAAAGATGGCAAATAGGGTTAGATCTTTGGATCAGGGAAGCCAACACCATGCATGTAGAGCATGTTAGGTTGTTGGGTGAGGGGAGTAGGGGTTTACTTTTAAGTTCAGGGAGGAGGCTTTTAGGGAGAATAGTTGATACAATAAAAAAGAGGAGAAGAAGAAAGCATCTAATGTAAGGCTGGGGTAATCAAATAAAAACATGAGAAAGAGACAGAGATAGAGGTGCGGAAACCTGGAGCAAATAATATAATTCAAACCTCAGGTGAATGTTTTCCCTTTGAGTGTAATCAAGTGGGGATGGATAATAATTTTGAGTGCAATAACCACACTGTAAATACATGGTAGTAGTAGGCTGAGTAATCGGGCAGATTAATGCCATTTAGATTTTATATACTATTTCACTGTTGTTAATTAAATTAAAATCATATATTTGTTCATCTATTTTTTTAGTTTAGTTACCTGTGGACATTTCTTTCGATCATAGATTTGTCCTTATACATACAATGTTCTGCCACTAGGGGGCTCTCATCTCAGCAATAATGACGGTGTAGCCCCTGATAACAATTTCTTCATGGTTCAGCAGTAAGACTATTTTTTAACAGAAGTCAATGTATCTGCTCCTCTCCAAAACAAAATGGGTTAAGCTAGAAAAAACACTAAACACTTTCTACTTGATCAAGTAAATGTTAAAAATGGTAATTGGTAATAAATATTGGCCACCTTCTAAATATCGGCATTGGCCATTTAAATATCTCATATATCATATCTAAGCCCCATTCATTTGAAATGTTATATAATGTCAGTACTATTTGCCCCAGGCCTGCAGGAGTAGAAGGGAGGTGGATAAAGCGATGGACGCGATGGAGTGATCTCCTGTGCCTACAGGCTGTTTGGCCGGCTGCCCCCCCGAGGCTCACAGTGATCTGCCAATGATGCTTCATGAGACACATTGATCACAAGAGGTGTAACAGGAACATGTGGTACCATGAAGGCAAATATGTTGTTATATTTCTGTATATTTCTATATTTCTGGTGACAATTGATGTCAGATTAATTGTGTCAGAGCTGATTATATGACAGACGGGGGGGGTTTGTGCATTGGGTTGGTGGTTATCGGCCATGCAGAAGGCAGGTGAGGGAGTGTATATGTGTGGGGAGGGGAGCAATATGCAGAGATGAGGGGGGCTGGAAACAGAATAGAACTGCATTGACGACAGAACCAAAGGACAAAGAGAAGATTGGACTTGCAGATAGAAAAAGAGCTGCTTGGGGGCTTTGGAGCTGCTACATGAAGGGTGACAGAAAAAGAACTGCTTCTGTATGGCAACCAAAGGCTCTCTGAGGGAAACACATCACTGAGACAAGCCCTTCTGCTCTCTCTACCATTAGGAATAAGAGAAAGATATCTGTGTGTAGGTGGATATGACTTCAATCTGTGTTTGTGTGCATGTGTGCGTGGTTGTCTGCCACATCCACAGGACGGAACGAGTCAGAGGACGTAAGTCTAGCGGACCTTCCAAGCCCTGCTGCACACGCATGTTTCTCTGTGTGTGTGTGTGTGTGTGTGTGTGTGTGTGTATTCATGTGTGAAATGTCTAACTATTGAACATCTCAACTATTAAAATAACTGCATTCATACATTAGCTTGTCACTCTCACTTTACCTGAAGAATAATGACACTATTTCAAAAACATGTGCATGATGTTTGTGTAAATGTGTGTCGTACACGGTGCAAACGAGCTGAGAAGGTCCCTCTTTTCGTCCCCTCCTGTGGATACACCCCCCCCCCCCCCCCACACCCCAGCTTAACCCCTAACCCCATCTTGCTACCTCCACCCACCAATCCCACACCACCACACAACGCCACAACACCGACCAGCCCACCCCCACTTTCCACGAAAAGAAACAGAAACAGAACTGAAGAAAAACAACGACACTAAAGGTTACACCACGTTGAGCGCTTGAAGTCCCTGGCACCCTCCCCTTTCTGGACCCCCCCACCCCCCCAAAATAACACCCATAGGAGACTGGGGGTGAAGATGGGGCCCTTTCTGACCTTGTAGGCCACCCGTGCTGGACACCTCTTCCCGAGGCCTAGTGGAGGACACATTTGCCTCAGCATGTCATACATTTCCCTGCAACTGATCCTGCCACTGCATCATCAGCCATCACCCCGTTAACAAGAGCACAAAAAAAAAGGAGAGATGGAGATATTTAGAAAAGAGAGAAGAGGAGAGAAATAAGATGCAGCGAGAGATTGAGGAGACGAGTGGTTTAAGGACAGAGTTGAAAAGGAGGAGGCGCAGAGTCAGAGATGAAGAGAGAGAATTAGAGGAAGACCAAGTAAAATAAATAAACCACAAAAAGACAAGGTTATTGGGCTGATTTGGAGCGACTGTGGCTGTGTGGCTTCTGTGTGAGCTACTCCGTAATGTCAAAGAACAGACGGAGTAAAGGACAGAGGGAAGGGAAACAACAGGAGGATTGGAATTTGAGAAGTAAATGTAGGTATCAGAAGACAACTCTGTGTAAGCAGGACAAAGGCATATAGATATATATGTGTGTGTGTGTGTGTGTGTGTGCTGCTGCTCGGACCAGGAGAGGGGGGAGGAGGAGGAAGGGGTGTCAATGCAGTTTCTGTCTTTCCCCAAACCCCCAAAAAACCAAGAACAATGCAACACTACAGTGAGAACCCGTAGCTTGCTACATTATAGCCATGGCTCCAAGCAAAAAGAAAATAATAATCAAAAAAGAATATGTACAAAAAAAAAGATTTCTTTTCAAATGTGCTAAAAAATGTGGATTTGTTTTTTTCACTCGGTGCATTCCACATGCGTCTCTGGGTGTCTGCATTGTCCCGCACATTCTCTCAGCAATTCAGAATGCAAGTCGATAATGGTGGAAAAGAAGTTTTAAATTGAAATGATAATAAAAAAATAAAGCGGCATTCACTCCATTCCTGGATGCTGTGGCTAGCAAGTGTGGTTGAGAGATTTTGTTTTAATAGAAGTCAAACCTTGCAGGCCACCCTATGGGGGCATTTCTTTCCTAAGCCGAGAGGCGGGTCGATAACTCGCAATAAACTGTACATGTCCTTATAATGAATGCGCCCGCTGCAAGAAGAATACAGGGGAGTTAAGAAAAACACACGCACAGGAAAAAAAAACACACAGACACACAGAAAGAAGACAGAACATTGGGAGGAAGAGCACAAGAGTGACAAGAACACAGTATCTGAAAATACTTTACAACACGTTTACTGTAAATAACTGACTCTGTAGACACTTCTGCACCTGCATGCTCCTACAGTTACCAAACTCTACACACTATCCGTGTTCCACTTTATGCCACCATTTGTTAAATGCGTTTTTTAGCCTCGATGTTTTACAACTGACAAATAACACTCTTAAACTCAAGTCCTAAACATGGCTCTCTTCCATTTTTCCACATGCACATTTTGTACACTAACATGTTTTTGTTGGACATTGCCTTGTTTTTGTACTTTTTCTTCTATCTGGCACTTGTGACTTAACAACAGTTCATCGTGGTTTCTTTCAGCGACTTCATTTGATGCTGGCTGATAGGTTTAAACAAAGTCATCTGAGTATTTAATTGCAGATCGGCTGGCAATGAATAAAGCAAGTTGATTCAGGATATTTAACTTTTTCAATAATATACTTTTCAAATCTTTGGGATTAGGGGAAGTTATGATGAATTACAAGCCAAAAGGCACACGTTGTTGATGTTAAAGAACAGTTTAAGTGTTCTTGGATTTGTCTAAAGACATCACATTTGTAACTCCAGCCTGACGTGAGTCTACATTATATGACTCAAGGTCATTTTTCCATCTTCCTCTGTTTCTCTCTCTCTCTTACTCCTCGTCCTCAGTTCGACAGCCCTTGCTTTAGTCCCTCCAGTCAAACCCCTGTCTAGATGTGTGCACAATGTAATTAAAGATTTGCAAACAGAGTAGAAAAGCATGTCCTTGGTTACCAGCTAAATGCTTAATAGCATGCTTGCGGTGTGTAGATCTCCTCCCTCTTAATATTATGTGTTTAATGTTAAGTATCTTAGTTCCCTGTCTTCTGATTCCTGTGCAGCGTGTCAGATTTAGTACGTTTGGGTTGAAAATAGCATGTTAGTGTCAACGAATAGAACACAAAATGTTATACATTCCTACTAATAATACATCTCTTGTCAGACTTTGTAGAGCTGTCTATGTGCAGGCTACAGGTCGGGGCAACACACAGGCACTGGAATACAGATACCATCAAACGTAGCATGTCTACAGGAGACATTTAGACCACAGAGTTGGACAAGGGGAGCTGTGTGTAAACATTGCCACATTGTTTTTTAAACCGTATGCAGATTCCAGGAGTGGTAAAATATTTGGTACGGGGTGGGAGATATTTCAGGGGAGGAGGAGGAGGTGGAGGAGGAGGAGGGAGGGGTTGTACGGCGTGAGAGAGATAACCAGATGCCTGATGAGGTTATGCTCAGATCCGTTACAGCCCACTTGCATCTCTTTCACTAGAACATTCCTATTAGTTCATACTAGTGGTTTATTCTTTTGTTTGTCTATTCCAGATCATTTCAAACACCTTGTGCTTCAGTCTAACACAATTTAAAAGAAAACACATCTAAACCACTGTTGAAAAGTTACTGATTTATTGTTGGGGCTTGCTCTGTGTTAACGAGTATATTAAAACAAACATGAAGGAATGTCTGGTCATAAGTACTGTGCTGTTTTATGTCGACAACTGTTGCGAGCACAACCAAAAATATGATACGTTTTTTCTTACTTTTTGAATAATGTTAGAATTAAATGAGTGTAATTTCAGTGTCATGGTCTGCCACATTTCTGTTGTGTGTGCATATGTGCACCATGAGTGCATGCACGTTCCCACTCACCAGGCAGCAGGATCATACTCGGCCCATATCCTGACATACTCATCCAGGTGGTGAGGTCCCAGAATGGAGGAATCTCGCGTCAGGTACTCAAAGTTGTCCATGATGACGGCGACAAACAGATTCAGCATCTACACATGAACACACCAGCAGAACGTTCAACATCGCATCTGACGGCTAATAATAATAATGAATGTTTAAAAAGGAAAATATTGTATATGAAAGGCTTAATGTCAACGAATATGGATTAAAGAAGAATATTTCGTTAGATTCAAATGTGATCTGTAAATAATTACATTTATTTTCTTTTAATAAATGTTGTATTTTGGACTCTGGACATTTAAAATGTTTGAATCACACACGTCGGTTACAATCACACAGCCACCGATGAAATTGAATTGTATAAATAGTACAATACTAATAATATAAGTGTAGCCTACGCTTTCTGCTACTGTGCATACATACTGGGTTGTTACTGTGTTTATCTTTATATAAAATCTGATCTATGGGCTTAGAGTCTGTAATTGAGTTGTTTGATGCCTTTAAAATGGTACTACTGGATCATAACACAAGGAACAGATGAGTGTGTTGGATTACGTACAGTAGTATGTACTCACCAAGAATGAACAGAAGAAGATGAAAGAGACAAAGTAGAGGTAAGCAAACTGGCTGCCACACTCTGGCTCTGGATTTCCTGTCAGGGGGTCGCACTCCTTGCTGCCCAGACACGACAGCATGATCTCATGCCACGCCTCCCCCGTCGCACTCCTAAAAGACACAAAAAAAGGTTCTGTGATTTATGCAAAATTACAGTGAAGTAAAAAGTCACCCAGGTTTCAGATATTTTTTACAAAAAACTATTTTATTTCTTTATGAGATACTAAAACTAAACACTGTGTATACGCACAGATTCACAAAGCACACGCACCTGAAGAGCAGCATGAGAGCCATTACGAAGGTCTGGAAGTTGTTGTGCGGGTTGATGGCACTCTCTCCTTCTTCATCAATAGCGATATTCCCAAACAGCTGTTGAACACACTCATACTGTCAACACTGAAAACCAAGACTTCTCATTAGTGACCTCTCTGGCTTTGTTTGCGACTAAAGCAGCTCCTAATACGCCAACACGCTAAAACACCCCGCTTCTATAATCCTGATCCTCATCCTCTCGTTATGCACCGGATCCTTATCATCATTCTCCTTTGGTGCATCCTCCTCCTCTTCATAATCATTATTAAAGGGGACCTATCATGCAAAATGCACTTTTGTACGTCTTTTATACATGAATATGTGTCCCCGGTGTTCCAGGGAACTCACCAAGTGTCAGAAAACACAACCCTCTCTATTTTCCTCCATACCCAAATCTCTAAAAAAGGGGCTGCAACGGATCTGATAAAAACTGATCCAGATTTGAACACTGTCCTGACGTCAGGACAGTGGCACTACGGCTATTGGGCCAACTCCACCAATCAGGAGGAGACAGCCACGGCCATTGCCGTTCGAAAGCGCTGGAGACGCTGTAGTACATATGCCTGGCCAGTAGATGGTGCTGTTCTCACTGAATCTGCCCTTGCAAAAACAGAGCTAAAAAATGTCAAATTGAGCGAAATGAGGCATGGCTAAAATGCATGATCTGTTTGGTGTTTTGAAAAAAAAAAAGTATAAATATGCCTTATATAGGTATGGTCCTACACTATATTATTCAAATATAGCATGATAGGTCGACTTTAACTTTCAAATATATATTGAATGCATCCCCAAAGCAGTACAGACGCTTTTTAGGGTTAGGCTCTCACCCACCTGCATGCCAATGATGGCGTAAATGAAGAACAGCATGGCGATGAGGAGGCAGACATAAGGCAGCGCCTGGGGGGAGACACATTATCTGTTAGGTATATGTTTCAAACATAATAGTGCCGTGTGCAAAATATACACGATTGCACCTAGGCACTGTTCAAGTATATAAACAAAAGGTCGTATAGGTGTATTTCTGTAAAATGCATGTGATGTTTGTTGAGCTGTGTAATTGGGTGTAAACCTTGAAGGACTGAACGAAGGTCCAGAGCAGGATGCGAATGGTTTCTCCCTGCCTCAGCAGCTTGATGAGACGAGCTGCCCTGAACAGCCTCAGGAAACTCAGGTTGATGAAATTATTCTACAGTACAGCCACAACATAAGCCCAGAGAAAGAGAGAAGGAAAGAGAAAGAGGTATAGAGAAAGGGGGTGTAGAAAGAATTAGGATTGAAAGTAAAGAAGAGAAACGTTGAAGGGGAAGGAAGAAGAGAATAGGAAGGATTCGAGGTTGGAATAAAGGGAAAGAGGCGTTAGTTTTGGTGCAAAGTGTGCAAACAATTTTCCTTAAACAACCAAATCATAACAAATGAGAGGAAAAACAGTCAAATCCAAACTGAGGGAGATTCAAACTCAGACAAATAAAGGAATCAGGAGCCAAACAAGTCAAAGCAAACCAAACTCAAATCAGCAAGGCTCCAACAAGCTTTTTCATATCCATTGAGTTAGACAAAACCAAACCAAACAACACAAGGGGAAAGGACATCATCCAAATCTAACTAGTGTCATCCAATTGGGTTACGTAGTAGTAGTTGTGGCAGGAATGGTGAGTAGTTAAAAGTGCAGGGACATCAGGACGTTTCCTTGGAAAGACAACCAAATGCACTAGTTCTCTCAAGGCAAAATATGCAATATTTCTAAAATGAAGCAAGCCCAGAACATGCAGGTGTGCACTAACACAAGGCAAACCGGTAAAGCTAAAAGGCAGCCGAAAAACCATCCAATAGGAATGGCTGCCGAAGTCATGTGACAACCAGTGGTGATGTCACGGACAAATAAGAGCGAGAGGGTGGTTGAAGGACCAAATCAGGTCAATATATATTCAGTCTCACCAGCATGAGTATGTGCCTTACAAATTGTGATTCTATGTGTCAATTCAACTTAATTTAAACAAAAGATATTACCATTAATTGAAATGAAATGTGTAATACAGAGTTCTTCAACCATGTATCAGAGTATAGAACAACAGATGTGCAATAGAGGTGAGTTAAAGTGAGACTTGAAGTGCTAAAAAGGGGCTGGCAGCAGGCACATGCATGTATTATTATATTGCTCAGTGTGTGTGTGTTTCTGTGTGTGTTGTGAAAATAAAAGATTCTTGCCAGAGACATGCGAGGGGCAGCATGCATCACTTGTTCTCTCTGCTCAGGGCAACGCTTCGGATTCACTCTGTCGTTACTGGAAACACTCTCCCAGTCACTGTCATATGTGTGTGTGTGAGTTTGTGTGTGTGTGTCTATGTGTGTGCATACAATAGATAGCTAATCCCGATGCATATATGTAGCAATCTGTTCTATTTTTTTTTTTACAATGCTTTGCAAAATGAACAGTAGATCTAAGCTAGGATTACAATACAAGATATGAATCATACAGCGACTGGTAGAGAGGTTAGAAAACTTGGCAACAAATAAAAACCCTACACATTTTGAGCTCACTCAGAGTTAAAGGATTCTTTGTGGTGGGGTTTCGAGCAAATCATGCACAAAGCTATCACATTGGCTGGGATGCAGTTGTAACAGATGCAGTAAAATAAGATCTCCAAAAAATTACAAACCATCTACATGTAGATGTTGCAGACATATGGTTTATAGCAGCAAATTTTTGGATGTTTGGTTGGTTCGAAGAACAACCAGAGAGATTGACCAAGCCGGTTGTCATGGGTGGACACAGAGGATTCATAGTGCATTTTGATTGGATGGAATCGCAGGAAGTAGTAGGTGTTGGGGGGAGAAGGGGGGCGGGGCGAGGTAGATTACAGTAGATCGTCGTTAAGTTTGCGGACGATATAAAGAAAGCATGTAAAAAGATAAAAACAAGAAAGAAATCGACAGTCATTACAGAGACAAGTTAACACAGAAGCAGGTTTTTCGCTCTGCAGATTTTACACATTCATATTGCAGGGATACCAAGGATCAAGGCAGCAGGGGATTGTTGGACACAGGTACAGATTCTAAAAAGATAAACATGACTGTAAACCAGTATAAAAACCAACCAGTTAGAGCATGTTTACTAGAATCTGGCTGAACTATCAATTTAGGTCTTAAGAGCGCTTGAATCATTGGTATCCCTTGCTTCTTTAGACAGAACTGGTAGGTAACGTTTCCAGATCAAAGAGCTTGTTAATGTCTGTGCAGCTCTTGTAAAATATGTGTGTTCAGACAGAACAAAAAGCAAATGTCTTGTTTGTAATTTCTTATCCTGTACTATTCTTGCTCCAAACAGACAATATACCAATTGTTCAGACATTAGCTATAAGCTAGCAAACATGTCCGTTTCACATTTTTGGACATTTAGGATTTTTTAAAAAGCCCAAGAAGTGTGAATCTTCTTGCTTAGGTCAAAATATGTTTTAACACCCACTTGCTTGAATGGAAGTGAATGGGAAAGGAGCAGTTATTCGTAGGAGGCACTGTGTAGTGGGACTATTTGAACTCACATTGAGTTTGTAAGCAATCAGAATACCTTTATTACACAACATCTAAATACATCACCTCATGTTTTGTCTGAACACACCTTAAGAATATATTTTGAAAAAGGACACTCTTCCTAAAATATGCCCTTTCACATACAGATTAGTACGAGTTGTATGGCCTTGTGCTACCTTGTTTGTGTTTCAATGTGACCTATATATAGCTTTCAGGTGATAAAAGCAAACTCAGGCGGCCAGGCTAAAACCACTGTGATAGTTAATTAAAACTGTTAATACACTAGCACTCATTTTTCAACTGATGATGGGTGTCACTATATAACATAATAATGAAACTTATCACCCAAGATAATATGTAAATATCACAGTCAAATGTAATTTAGTGTGCTGTGTAGCAATAATATAACTCTAACACTAATGTTTTTAATCAGACCAATCCTTTTTTAATTGTTTGTGGACAGTCAAAAGTCCCTTAGACCTTCAACACTTCAGCTGTACTCTATGACTAACATATGGCTGATGCAACTGCATTGTCCAGCTTAAGATGCAATCTGATAATTTGATTGGCTGTTACGGTTGCCTGCAGAATCTGTGCACTGGCTCGCTACAGAGCATCAGCAAGCTTTCCGCCCCGCTGTCAGCTCTGTCTGCAGTCTGGTCTCTCCTCGTCCCACCAACTGGGACATTTATATAAGACTTTCAGGAGTCGTTCATGCACGACTGAGCAACGCAAGGCTCAACAGTGGCCTCTAACTCCTGCTCTCCTTCTCTTGTCTACTGTATGTGTTTTAGATACAGCTGTATAAGCCCCGAGACACACGCTGAAGCTCACCTCACAAACAGTCAAAAGAGATCGACATAGATTGCTAATAGATATCAATTCTGTCTGTTTGCAGTTTTGAATCAGATCGTTCAAACATACACATTTAATCAGAAAACACCCTTCGATCCTGCGACTTACCCCAAGCTCCGTAACCAGGATGTCGGTAACGCTGCCCAGAACTGTGACACAGTCAAAAATATTCCAGGCATCTTTGAAATAATTCTGTGAATAGGAAAAGAGAAAGAGGGATGATGAGGTAGAAATAGGGAGGATGATAAGGCGTCATGAGGGAAATGTAGACATGGATGTGGCAGGGACACAGAGATGTAGCGTAGACAAAATCATATTGAAATTAAAAGGAAAATGACACAATGGGATTGATTTATTACATCATAAAGATACAGAAAGAGCATGAGATGTAAAGAATGAGACATGGAGCGAATACAAGTCAGACAGAAAGAGAAGAAGGAGAAAATAGGGGAAAAAAAGGCATGTTAGTGTCAGACAGGAACAGGAAAGAAATCAGATAAGACAGATGGACCATCAGTGACGGCATGTTGGGCGGATGCCAGCAGACAAGAACAACTTGTACTGCATCAGCCTCATTACACCTACAGGAATATATACAAGTACAACATACAGCAAATACAGTCACATCATTCCCTACAGCTCCTAAAACTCAAAAAAAAAAGGCTCCATTATCTACACAGATATACATCATTTTACATTTTCTTCCTTTTAACGTAGTGCGACTTTAGGTAAAAAGAAGGATAGTGAGGAATAAATGCTGACGAGGGAGACCTGCTTCTTCTTCTCTCTCCTACATAGCACCTGCAGCCTAACTGTACATTAGACAAGTGGAGGGACACAGAGAGAGCAAGGGAGGCGGCTATTAAAATAAACCACCTTGACCAACACACACACACACACAGACAGATGTCTCTAAGGCCCGGTGTTGTGTGTTGGATTGTGCGTGTTGTGTGTGGTTAAGAATTAAATCCAATCCTATTTAATCTCCACCCTCTCCGTGATGTTAGCTTCTCTTTTTAACGCCTTTCTGTCATTCATTCTCGTTTTTCTAATTACTTTATTAACTTTCGCCCTCTGTCCTGAATCTACTCCCAACATTCATCCTTTAACTATCTCTTCTTTCAATTTTTTTACTCATCCACCTCCCTCTCTTTTCTATGCAGCCCACACAAACTGCAAACTCAACTGCTGGTATCTCACAGTCACCATTTATAACATATATGGTAATATAATATTTACCTTAAGTTGCTCATTATTTCCCCACAGTTTCTCCTTAAATAGATAAGAAATAATCCACGACAAGACAACGTGTCCCAACGTTACTAAATAATATACGGGGCTGCCTCCACGACATGAACCAGAGCTCATCTCATGAAGTTACTTTTTTGCACTTAATTCCCTTTTAGCGCATTGTTTGGCTTTTTAGTCATAAGGGCATATTCAATCTCACTGATCTCAACACAACAGATTGCTTGAGTAGCATAAGTATAATATATACTGATATATTTTCAGCACTTGCTAATACATCCTCACCACACACACATACACTCACCAGTACTCCAAAGGCGATAATCTTGAGAACACACTCCATGGAGAAGAGCGAGGTAAACACTATGTTCAGGTTGGCTAACACAGCTTCATATGTATCAGAAGCTCCATCATACTGTAAACAAACACACACACACACACCACCAGGGACAGAAAAAAGAGGATTAAGACACACTTTATGAGTCAGCAGTAATCATTAAAAAAAATGTGTCACAGAAAAAAGTGCACAGAGCAACATGTCTGTTTACTTGAAAAAAAGCATCACAACGGTACAACGAAAGAGAGATGAACCTCAGAAACTAGTACTTATCCTTATTTTGTTAGTGTGTCAATGCTAATGTGTGCGTTGTGAATTTGCAGTTTACCTTCATCATTAGCACGACGGTGTTGAGCGCGATCATTGCCATTATAGTGTATTCAAATGGCGGCGACACCACAAACTCCCACATTCTGTATTGGAAGCTCAGCTTGTTCTTAGGCATGTGGCGTGTCAGAGGTCTGGCGTTGATGGCAAAATCTATACAGGCTCTCTGCAAAAAAAAACACATCAAAAGCGGTTATGTTCTTATCCCGCTCAAACGTTCTCCAGTCTTTCGCGTCACCCTCAAATATTCCTTTCCTCACCTCATTTTTTTCTAAACTATAGTCCTCCATCATCTTATCTCCTTGCTCTTGGAAAGTGATGATGATTAGAGCCACGAATATGTTGACGAAGAAGAAGGGGAAGACCACGAAGTACACCACGTAAAAGATGGACATTTCCATCCGGTACCCCGGGCTCGGGCCCTGGTTCTCATAAGTCGCATCCACTGAATGTTTCAGCACCCTGCGGAGGAAGAGAGGGGAACAGTTTACGGTTACAGGCTGTCGGAAAATATTTGAGCTGCATGTGACTGTCTGTGTTTTAAATTTGACTCACTGCGGCCACCCCTCTCCGGTAGACACGGTGAAGAGGGTGAGTAGGGCCCAAGCCACGTTGTCGTAGTGGAAATCGTACTTCTTCCACTCCCGCTTCTGCGCCTTCACTTCGTTAACGCCTTGATACACCAGATATTCGCCCCTGAGATATGATTTGAAGATGCAGCGTAAGGAGAAGAAACACTTAAGCATGAACCAGAACGTTTTCACCACTCAGGGTACAGTATAGTTGGGTTTTTCCTGACCTGCAATCGCGCTCAAACTCTTTGGATTCGTCAGTGCAGTAAAAGAAGCGTCCCTTGAACAGCTGCACGGCCACCACAGCAAAGATGAACATGAAGAGTAAGTAGACAATCAGGATGTTGAGCACATTCTTCAGAGAGTTCACCACACAGTCAAAGACAGCCTGGGGACAGAGAAAAAAAAAAGAGAACGACAGACGGAGACATGTTGTTTATTGTCTGAAGGTAATGCATTGGATTCATAATATTTCAGTGTTTTGGACTTGTGAATGATGGCATCAGATGGCATTGAAAGGGAGACAAAACCACATGTAAGAAAAGGATCATTAGTAACCCTAACCCTAAAAAATGAAAGAAACATTTAAGAAAACACTTTGACAAAGACTTAACCGGGAACAACACAATGACATAATAGTGACTGTGAAATTTGCAGAGCACAAATGCAAGAAAGAACGCACAAAGAAATCACATTTGCATTGCTTAAACTAAAAAGAAAATGTGTTCAGTCCACTGATAAAGCAGGTAGGTAGTGCTGGCAATAAGGCAACAAAACAAATCTCAACATTTGATTTCAAAGATATTTGATCAAAACTTGAAAACCCACACAAGATTGATGCCAAGCCTTTATTTGAATAAGATGTCCCCCACAATTCCAATCCAGTAAGGGAAACTAAGGTCAATTGTTTTCTACGTAAACATACCTTGAGTTTGGGAAGACGTTTGATGGTCTTCAGAGGTCGTAACACTCTCAGCACCCTCAGAGACTTGATGGTGCTGATGTCTTTTCCCTTACTGCTTCCCCTATATGCGTAAACACATGCACACCAACACCCAAACAGATCCGTACACACACACACACACACACACAGCCACACACACAAATAAAAAGAGTCAGCATGTTCAGGCAGATATGAAAGGCTTTGTTCTCTCGCATCCAAAATGGCAGCGGGCAGCCATTCCTTGATGGTATTTGTGTCCGAGTTAACTCACAATGAGTAACTGCGTCTGGGTTAAATACATAGCAACACATGCAGCATTGCTATCATATTACGTGTATAGTCCTAAATGTGAGGTTAGCATTGTTGCTACATGCTAGAGTTAGGTGGTATTTTACGGCTACAGTACATGCTACAGGAACAACTGGTGTCATTCCTGTCTGAATGCTATCTAATATCTACGCTTGTTGTAATACTTTGCAATGTGTTTCAATGCTTTACAAAGACGGCTAAAGCCTCGCCTTGCACATGCCCAGCTAGAGGTGGAATATATTCATGCTGCATTGAAACCTTGCTTTCCATGATGCAATATTTCTCCTTTTAAACAGCACGTTGAGAATTGGAGAACTATATTCTACACAAGAGACATTTACAGAGAGAGCTTGAGAGCCAGGTTACTAAAGGAAGCCTTTCTGAAGGTGGTAACTCAGAGTAAAATCTTTTCCTTTTAACTTAATGACAGCTGACAAATTATTTCTGTAGTTATATAAGAAAGTTTAAACATAATTTACAATATGGTAGTGTGTATAAAAGGGGTAGTAACGTAAAAATAATGGCCAAACTCTCTCTTTCGATGACTCAACCAGTTTATTTATTTCAACTCGTAAGTACAACTAGGATAAGCAGGTTTCACAGCATTGTTCAAACAGCATGGAATCTTGTCTTGTGGGCCATTTCGGCAAAGACAGAGATATTTTAGCAAGCATTTCTCGATTGAAATGCTGAGCCAAACCTCGTTCATTCAAGCACCTTGTCACTAAAGTTACTTAATGTATGAGGAAACAAGGAAAAACCCTTAGTTTCGGCTGCACGGAACTAAAACCTCAGAAGAATTATAAGTGAGCCTTCTAGTTTAGTTAACTGATGATAAAAAAATGACTACTTTGCAAACAGGAAAGTCTTTTTACTGAAATAAGTGGCTAACTAGCTATGATAACTTAATGATAGTTTGCCTGTTCTGCTTACTTTCTCCTAGAGATCATGGTGATTAAGGTCGAAAGTCAGACATTGTTCCTTAGGCGAGAAAGCAGCTGTTAAACCAGATGGTAGACTGATGGAGGTTGTATGCAAGTAGACTTTCTGTGTGCAAATGAGCACGCATGTATGTGCATGTGCTGTAACTGCTTGTGTATTCATGTGAACCTTCCTTCTGGCACATTTTTTTAAAGAAATCTGAAAAGTTTCCATTTGATTTCATTGTACTAATGATATTTTGCAAATGGTATCTGTGTGATTCGGTTGCGGACTTGATGCAGGTTAACTTGAGGTTTAGTTGTGTTTGAGTCAGAGCTGTTCCATGGTGAACAATGGAAAACAGGGAAGAACAGACAAGTACAGTCAACTGTGATGGAGGAAAAGAGATGTGTGATCAGAAGAACAGGCGCTGACAGTGCAGAAGGAGAAAATGAAGAGGAAAAAGACAGAACTTTACCCGCCGCCACTGCTGCTGGTCCAAACGGAGAGATGAGGGGTGAGAGACAGTGAGTCAAAGAGAAAGACAAAAAAGACAAAGGGTGGGAGAAAGAAACAGAATGGGACACAGAAAGGAGGGAAAAACATCCATATGACAGAAAAAGAGAGACACAAAAAGAGAATACAAGGCCTGCTTTTTATTATATCAACCCTCCCAGCTAAAGACTACTGTGGCTAACAAACACATGCACATTAACACACTGTGACATTTAACGTGTGTATGGACACACAGCACCAAACTATCGCCTTAAATTAATCTAGATGGGTTTACAAGCCAGAGTATTTGTCTTTTGAATAATTATTATATATTTAAAAAAAAAATGTTATTAATATCACTATTGTTATAATTAATATTTGTATTATTATTATTATTATTATTATTATTATTATTATTATTATTATTATTATTATTATTATTATTATTATCATCACTATTGTTATAATTATAATTTGTTGTATTCACTTGTATTCAATTTATTGTCATTAATATCTAACTAGCCCTAACCCCTATTTTAAATACATAGTATTTTAATAGTATTTTATTCTTTCTATTTGGACTATAACACATTTAAAAAAATCTGCACATAAGCACTTCCTTTCAAAAACCATGAGCCGAGTTACACTGCAGCTTTCAGAGCCTTAATTTGCATCAATGATACAATTATCTAGAAAGGCCTACTCGAACAAACATTGCCTGTCGAAAGAAATATCTCAAAATGCCTTGGTAGTGTTATACATAACCAAACTCGGTCAAGTATCAGGCCGGTGTCTCTGCGAGCCTGTTTGGACACAAAGCTCCGTCAGGATGCAGAAATGTGCAGGACAGCAGCAAGCGGTCCAAGACACCAGCAGCCCTCAGACCAGACTAATTGGATTAAAGGAGCGATAAACATCTCCATTGAGACTGCTGAGCCTTTCTGGAGTGCCATTTGATTTCCACCAATTGAATTAGGGCTCTATCTGGATGTACATGAGTCTGTTCTGACTGTTTTCGGATCTGCCCATCAGCCATTTGTGTCGTTAACCCCTATCGTAGTTAAATCAGACTTTATTGGTTCAAACGGCCTAATTGATTGTTTTGTGAGTTTGTATTTATGCTGACAAACAGTACGCAGCAGCCTTGCCTGGATAACAACAGTTTGACATCTCTGCTGCTTATTAATGACTCAGATTTATTACAACATGTGTGTAAAATTGCTTCGGCTGCGATATTTTTTGTAAGCTCTTTGACTATTCCTATTCTTTCTGTTTATTTGAAGCTATTGAGGTTTCACGGCAGACATCTATTTATTAGTCCATCATTAGAAAGTCCCTAGGAAGGAAAGACTTGGTCACAGAGAGAGGAAATACAGACACATATACATATGTAAAAGAAAGAGGTTAGAGAATACAGTTTAGGACAGAAGCACACAAACACACACAGAAACACAGACTGGTTCAAATGCTCACACATATATACATAAGACTTTAGGGGGAAGAGAGTTAGTGAACACACAAAAGTGAGAGAAAGACTGGAGCAGGAGTCAGTCTCATAGATGGCACCACCACTAGAACCCTGGAGCACCGGCCGAGTTCATCATTTCTCTATAGGACAAACACTTTCATCTCCATACTGGCCTTTAAGAAACTCTAAAATACTGGCATTTCCTTTTGTTTGTATCCTCGTTGATATGCTGCAAAACCAAGACAATGTGAGACCATGTTAAAACAGGACTCATAAGAAAGAGGACATTTTTCACTGATTATACAAAATCATCACTGGACCACTCAAAAGGAAGAGATTCTTCTGACATTCTAAAAAACAGTGAATGCATTGATTCACGAAATAATGATACATTATGTGTTTATAGCTACTGCTTGATTTTTTCCCTTTAAGTTAATTGATAAGGCTTGCCACAAAGTACTGTGTTGAAGCACCATTGTGTGTGTCCCATAATACCCAGTGGGCAAATGCAACCGTACATTTATAGAAGCCATAGTAACTCTGTAATGAGCATTGGAAATAATGAGTTTAAAAGATGCATTTCCCCTACTTCATGTGTGTGTGGGATCTTTTCATACTCATATTCCGAGATGACCAGCAAGAAGTCTATTTTGATTTAGGCCAGCAGGATGAGGAGGAAGAAGTAAAAGAGATGCAGGGTGTTACTATGCATGGTGAGAGAGATGAAGAGAAGATCAAAGAGCAAACGACAAAGGGAAGATAATTATAAGCAGAGACGGACATTTTTTCCTCAAGTCTTCTTTGACAATAACCTAAGGCTTAACGGCGATTCAGCTTCCACTTATTTAAAGTGTTTTGAAAGCTGGATGGTCAGGACTAATATAGGAACCAATGCTAGAAGATTACATGCTGGGGAAATGCAAAGTGGAGCAGTTTTCTTTGGTTTCCACTTGGTAAACTTCATTTCAGCTTATGTCTCAAAGACATACAGGGTTAAAGCAGTACCAAGTACAGTTTAAATGCATTATGCAGCATGCATTCAATTATTTATGTCACTTAGCCCATTCCATTTTGATATCAAGGATATGGAGACATTGTGTCTGTATGGATTCAGAACATCCATTTCATCTGAGTCTATGGAAGATTGTACCCGTTTCAAAGTATCAATTCAATTTGATCATTTCAAATGTAAAAAGTGTGTGATTTACGTGGTAATCGTCCATGTTATAACATTTCTGTTAATACCAATTCAGACCCATTATAAAAAAAAGTATACACAGCTTTTGCAGCTGCTCAACCTTTGCAAATAACACTGAAAGAAACCGTGTTTTTCTCAAAGCTCCTGCAAAGAAATAAATGCATCCCAGCCTGCGGTGCTGCAGTGCAATTTGCACATATATTAAAAGTGCAACTATTGGAGCTAAATCTGCCCCTTTCTGTGCAAACTAACTGTATTGCATAAACTGACGAAAATCAGCGCTAAAAGCCACACAAAGACTTTGAGACGAAGCAGATTTAGCACTTGCAAGCGATGCGCAATCCATAGTGCCGTAAGCATCTGCAATCCATTATTTGTGAATTCGCCCCTCAGTGTATTTTGCTGTTGCTGGGAAATGAAATGGAGCCTACCCAACACAAAATAAGGTTTGATGCCATGTGATATGAATGGCAAAGCAGCAAGCACACAGGTATAATGTGGACTTACAGCTAGGCTCATTATCTGAAACCATTAACACATACTGTTTCAGCCCTGCATCACTACTGCATACATTTGAGGGAATCACAAATGGTCACTTACTTGCATGGGTGAATGTGAGGCAGGATCAACGCAACTAGTAAATCCTTTTTCTCCTTATCGGAAAAGGCCAGAGTGTCTTGGTCTCCACGCGAGGATACTTCCTGTGTCTATTACATATACTATGATAACCCCACACCTTTTCCCACACATAAGACCATCAAAATAAACACGTGTGGGGCACTCCGCACAGACATTGTTGTTTCCTGTAAAAGTATATTTCATTTTTAAAGTCATGAAATAAGATCAAGCATATTTTCTGCAGACGACCCGTGAGTATTGGTGTCGAAGGTTACAGCATTACCTTTGTAAACCCATTGGACAGTAAGTCTTCACTATCACATTACACTTAACATTGACTGTAGTTCTGAAGGTCTGCTTGCTTTAAATGCTCCCAAATGATGCAAGGGCATGACAGCAAATCCTCACCAGTCATGCTCTGCACCCAGCAGAGTGCTCATAAACTAAGCCCTAACTGAACCCAGTGTTTGATCCTCACAGTCATGCAGATTAAGAAGGGTTTAAAGTACCTGCTTTGCCGTGGAGAGGGGTGTGGAGATTTTAGAGAGGCAGCTCACCATGACCTGTCCAGGCTTTGCATGGGCCCTTTAACTCTAGAACGCCTTGGGCACTAAAGGGTTACAGGTGCAAAGGGTGGTCCTCACCTCTCACAGGGGGCGCGGATGCGAATAGAAAGGGATGCTGGGGATATCTTTTTTTTTTTTTTTAAATGTTGGGGCGCGGGGAGTTGGTGGAGGGGTTTAGAAATGGCAGGACTGTAGAAGTTGAATAAGAGAGAAAAAGCAGGAGAAATGGCCAACTGTAGAGAAAATGCTGAGAGAGAGAAAGCATGTGATCGGGTATGAAAGAAAGAACAGAGAGAGGAATAGAGGCTGAATTGAGCCATGGGTGACTCAAGCAGAACAAGGGAGGCTGTACTCCAAGGTACCAGTGAGGTGGTAGAGAGGCAGGGGAGATGGAGGAGCGAGGAGGGGAGACAGGGGGAGGCAGGAGGGGGACTTACGTGAAGGCGAAGGCCACCAGAGCACCACTAACCACTATAAAGTCAAGGATGTTCCACAAGTCCCGGAAATAAGAGCCCTGGTGTAAGACCAGGCCCAAATCCACCATCTGGGGGAGAGAAAGGAGAAGCTGGTTATGAGGCGTGTGAACTCCTGGTGTATGGACGTGCTCTGTGGCGTCGGTGTGCTATGAAGAGTGTCCAATCCTCATTTGGGCTGCAGGCTTCTCTTGGTATGTCGTTGATTGTTGATTCTGGACATTGCCTCACCTTAATCAGCATCTCAAATGTGAATACTCCTGTGAAGACGTAGTCAAAATAGCGTAGGACCTGCACGGAAGAGAAAAAGGGAATGATTTGCTGCTGAATTCAACTACTTGTTAAGCGTGACATGGTGGAAACATGGGGATTTTTTTATTCAAGCGACAGCCAATTTCTTTACATTGGGATGTGGTCCATGTTTTTTAAATATCAAATTATACAATATGAATGATTTACAGTAACATTTAAAGCTCCTAATTATCCAGCGCATCACATGTAGAAGGCAGGAGTGACACTACAAAGAAAAAAAGCAACCAGCATATTAAGTAAAAACCAAAAGCATTATGTATTGTAAACATGTATACAAATGATATTTCATACAGCAGAAGCCTTGTCCCTTCCATGTACATGGACTTTCTTACATTGTTGCGGGGGGATTCGGGCCACACGGGGTCTTCAGCAGCCAGCGCGATGCTGCTCATGGCAATGACCAGCAGGATGGTCATCTCAAAATATCGCAGGGTGCAAACGTAGTGACAGGCACGCCGAAACCTAAGAGCACACAAATAGTTTGGATGAATATCTCCAGACTAGATCTATCTATAAAAGTGTTGGATCGGTGACTTGATAGAAGATTCATTGTCCATTCACACAAAGCTAAAGTTGTGTGGATGCCTCAAGAATGCATTCCTGTGTGTCAGATGTTGAATTATACAGTGTAGTTGAGTGTGTGTGTGTGCGTGAGTGCGTGCGTGCGTGTGTGTGTGCGATTGTATCCATGCCACTTACGGGTTGGTGGTGGACAGGATGAACATGGAGCTGAAAGGAGGCATGGGCCTGGGTCCTCCTTCACCTCTCTTCTCATCATCATCATCGTCCTTATCCTCTTTCGCTGGCAGTGGCTCCGTGTTGGCATTCTTATTGACTGAAGGGAGAAATAAACAGGGGTTTAGGATGGGATGTTATTTTAGATACGCGGGTAAAGAGGATACAAGATAGTATAACGTTGGGAAAATACTGAACGTACTCTTCCAATTTCATGAGTAGCACATGATAACAAGGGCCCAACTTTAGCTGTGTACATGACAGGATATATGATTACCTAGAACAGCGTCAGGACACACTGTGAGGCTATAATGTGACAACGATTAGTATGATGATTCAGCCTCTATGGAGATATGACTGTCATGTTTATTGCTTACGTGGGCCTTAGCTAATCTGAACTAAGCATAGAATACTGCTTTGAACCGGTATACATGTATCTTGTGACTGAATAACACCCTCTCTTGTATGTGAAGGACACTGTTTGGGGAACTATTTGTCCCATATGCTCTGTATGTGATGACTACTTTCATTTTTGCTTGGATGATAAATACATGTATCCTGATATTGAAACTCAAGCCGGTGACAAGTGATATTTTCCTAACATATAACAACATTGATTCTGCCCTCACCTTGCAGTATGGCATTGGTGGATGGAAAAATAGGCATGTCTAGAGCTGTGTAGTCAGGGTGAGGCACCCTGAGGACACTGTTGGTACGATGATGGGCGATGCTCCCGTAGCTATCTAATGTCACCAAACTCCCGTGAGTGCTACTGTTTGCAAGATGGAGGGCGGATCCAAAGCCTGGGGCCGCAGGGTGGTGGGCGAGGGGGTTAGGGTGAACATCGCCGGGTGGGGTGGAGCCGGAGACCAGTTTGGTGTTCATGAGATTGTCCATGTCCTCGCTGTACTGGCTGTCCTGCCGGGGGAGGCTCTTCTGAATGGGCCGCGTGGTGGAGAGGTTAGGGACACTGCACTCCCTACAAGTGAGGAGTAAGAAGGAACAATAAGAGACGGAAAAAGAACGTTCTGATGGTATTCAGAGAAAGGTGTGACAGGATCGCAGAAAATGTTGAGTACATTGAAGATGGAAGAAACCATGGGTCTAAAATGTCAACAACTTTTCTAAGACTACATTTCTTCTCTAAACCAACTTTTACTAAGATTCTGACATCTACAAGTTTTCTTGCAGAGAAGCAAAATGTGTGTGTTGTAATGTTATTGCCTTTTCTTTAATACTACAGTTGTATAATATAGGATGTAAAATACAATATTATTTTATAATTCATGATTTTTCTAATAAGATCACAAAGTATTATGGGCTTAACTAAACATCCATCTAAGAAATATTTAAATGAATGTTTCCTTCGTAGGGTCATACTTCACTAGATTCTCTTGAACATGGTCACTCATTGAAATTGATTACCTGCTATTTAGGGAGAATCTGCACTTCTTTCACTTTACAAGGACGATGGGATTCATCAATATAAGAACACAGGTGTAAACAATTCTTCGGTTTAAGAACACATCATGACTCTAACTTTTCTTAGGACTTTTCTCAACCAAAAGCAATCTTAGGAGGATATTGGTAAATGAGGCCCAATGAGGATAAACAGAAAACTTTGTTTCATGGACATACTTCCTTCTGTGCTGGCACATCCTCTTCCCCTCGCCGTCCGTCTGGTTTCCATGGCGATTTCTTCTTGGCCTCCTCTCACTGCCTTCCCCAGCTCCTTCCTGCTCTCCTCCTTCTCCACCTCCCTCCACCCCTCTGCTCTTATGTCTCCCTGTTTTCCCCGCTCCTCCGCCACCCTCCTCGCCCTCCTCTGCATTTTTCCGATGTGACCTGGGCTTCCTGTGTTCCGACTGTCCCGCGCCTCGACTGCCGCTCCGGGTGTGGTGATGGCGCCGGGCAGGCCTGTCCTCCGAGCCGGGCCCGGGAATCACCGTGGCATCCAGTCGGACATGAGAGGAGTGGTGGTGATGCTCGCTTTTACGACTGCGCCTGCTCTCCGAGGACTCGCCGCGCTCCAGGGGAGGCCTCGCCGTCCCAGAGCCCCCTCCTCCGACTCCTCCCACCTGGCCAACGTGTTCGTGGAGGCGTGTCTGTCTGTGGAGCTCGTCGGCAGGATGGTGCTGGCTGAAGCAGAGGTCTGAATTGTTTGCTGTGGTCTTGTTAGTGTTGTTGTTGCGGTTCTCATGGGGGTCGACAACCAGCGGACGATCCAGGTGGGTCTTCATGTCTGGGCGGGAGTTACGTGCGAAGTTCACCTGCAAGGGGAGGATGGAAAGGCAACATAGAGGAAGATAGAGAAGGGAAAAGAAGAGGGAATTAAGTTGGAATTCATAATGGCCTTCACATATATAAACACCAGGTAAGCAACATGAGTCATCATCATTGCCGTCACTTGTGTACACTGATAGCACAAGCCTAAGGGGCTTGGTTGGCCTTGTCCTTTACATTGTTTTGCTCCTCCCTCCCTCCGCTTGCCTTCCAGCGCTCCTCAGTGTCCAGCTCGTTGTAGAGAGCCTCGCGGCTGGTCACCAGCGTCTGCCTCCTCAGCTCCTTGGTGCGTTGTTCCCACACCGACTTGTTGATTCCCCCCTTGTTGTTCTTCTGCTGCTCCTTACTGTAAAATAAAGACAGAATTAAAGACACGTTTAGACACAAGACACTTGCTGCTGTGAGAATATACACACAAAGACGTGAGGATGATGTGAAAACCAGCAGAAAGTATAAGTAGGTAAAGCCAGGATGTAGAAACACACTGGGGGCCACAGACTCTTAGAGGGTCATTTGGTTGGAACAACGTAGCTCAATAAAACAAAGTTCTGGGTGTCGACACAGCTCGTCAAAACACCCAACAGCCTACTTTGGGAAACCATGTGGAGACACAATGGAGGATAACACTGTGGCAAGGTCAGAATTATTTATAATAATGTATAATTTACCGGAAGTATACACAGTTTATGAAACAGATCCCAAGCTGAATTAACTAGAAAGCACAGTCATTTCAAAATCTGTTATTGGTTACAGTAGCAGTGTTTCCATACAAATACATTTGACAATTCTGAATAAATAAGCTGTGTGGAAATGGGAACATTTTCTCCAAATCTTGCAATAAAATTGGTGTATTGATCACTTGAGATTTTCCCTTTGTTAAAAAAATATTGAATGTGTTAAATGGGATATGGAAAGGCCTTTGCAGATAAGTCAAACCTATTTCCTCTTTATATTTTAAGAGCTTTCATAGAATTCGACTGCCAATTGAATGTAACAACTGTAGTGAGCTGTGTTTACCTGATAGAGAAACACCCAAATGATCAGTATCAATCTTTTCCAACCTCCAAAACTTCTACACTTTATCCGCTTACCCCCCCCTACCCCCTTTTTTCACACAGGGCCCAATAATAAACCACAGGAAAGCAACAGCCAAAATATAAGCCAAAACCAATCACAGCTAAATAAAAGCCAGGTATGTAATTCATAAAAAGGATAACACAAAAAGGGAAGGAAAGGAAGGTTTTCTAAAAACGCAAAATAAAGCAGGGAATGGTTGTAGAGTCAATAAACAGAAAAGATTCAGAAATGAATAAACAAATAAATAAATACCAGTCCAGAAAGGGGTCGGTAGCGTTGTGACACTCACTGTGTACTTTGTTGCTGAGGAGGGAAACAGCTGGTGAGTGAGATGGCACGAAAGAACAGAGGCAGGATTTCATTCCAAAATGGGCTATCCATTCGCCATTTAAGCCAGCCTAGCCCGACAAATGGTCACAATCGTAATCAAAGGTGCTGTAAAAACAGACTTTCTACTAAAAATAAGTTAAATATATTACTGAAATGCAAAAATAAATGAAGAATTAAGGGAAAAATATAAGAAATCTTAAGAAATGCTACATTTTTTGCCAAAAAGATTGAGCATTTTGGAATGCAACCCTTCACACACACACACACACACACACACACACACACACACACACACACACACACACACACACACACACACACACACACACACACACACACACACACACACACACACACACACACACACACACACACACACACACACACACACACACACACACACACACACACACACACTATCTATACTTTTTAAAATGTCGCTGTCCTCCTTTACGTTATCTCCCAACTTGCATCTGTATTGCATCACTCCCTGATCCTGCTGTCCTGTCCTCATCACTGTTTGCATCTGTTACCATATATTCCTCAACTCTCTGCATTACCTCTGATCTTCCTTTGTGTCACAGTGCACAGTGCGTCATTAAAGAGCCTGCTAAATAAAGAACAGTTCCAAATGAAAAATGTATACTTTCAAGACTGCTACCATCAACTGTGGTGCATAAACTACTAACAACACAGTTCAACTCCTTCCCTATCTGATAAACTCACCACAGTGAAGTGATTTCAATTGGATTTGTTCCTGCAATCTGTGTAGATTGTAAAGCTGTGTTTGTATACTTATAATTTAGAGCGTACCAGTAAGTATTATGTAGCCTAACAGGTGTTTTCATGTAGCCTTCATGGTAGCCTCCTCCCTGAATCTACCATAGAATCTCTTCTTAAGAGATTCGTCATGCTCCACTGATGTCCTCGAGTTTAAAATCCTTGCTTGGAAAAATAAGGACTTTCTCTTTTGGAATTTCAATGTTTTTCCTTTTTTCATACTAAAAAAACAAGGGATTCACACCGATACAGTGAATGAAATACACACTGCAGAGCTGCGTTGCCCCTACAGCAATGCACAGGATATTTCAAGATAACAGTTAACAGTTGCCAACATGTAATCTAAAACTCCAGTTCTGACTCAACTCGCTTAGGTTATAAAGTAGAAACATATTAAGCTACATTTAGAGACACCTGTCAAACAAGTGTAGCTTTAATAATAATCACACACACACATACACACGCAGATACATGTGCATCGTATTGACAGATACATGTTTAACCTCAAAAGGACTCCCAGGTAAAGTGTACTGGTACGAAGACACAAATGCTCACAGCACAGTGAAGAACAGTGCACACAGTAACAGGAAACAATGTGATTCACAACACGATGAACACGTTATTATGAGCATGTGTGTTTCAATCCTGTTTGTGCGTGTGTGTGTGTGTGTGTGTGTGTGTGTGTGTGTGTGTGTGTGTGTGTGTGTGTGAACTTTAGAAGGAGTGAAAGGGAAGACCCCTGTGTAGACAGAGAACAGAGATCAAAGACTCTGACTCTCCTGACCAGAGGAGGGCTGGCCCAGATCAATCCAACACCGGCGTGCGTGTGTGTGTGTGTGTGTGTGTGTGTGTGTGTGTGTGTGTGTGTGTGTGTGTGTGTGTGTGTGTGTGTGTGTGTGTGTGTGTGTGTGTGTGTGTGTGTGTGTGTGTGTGTGAAAAAGAGAGGGAGAAGCTGATCGGAAGGGAGAAGAAAGCGTGCATGCATGTTTAGACGTATCACTAAATGTGCTGTATGCTATAAAACAGCATTAACATTCATTCATGTCAACCTACAGTATGAATGTAAACAAAATGAAAGTATCTTTATTCCAAGGAAGGCAATATTTTTAAGATATGTTGTAATTGTCTTTATGAATATTGTGCTATTAAAAAAAAGAAATCTGAAAAAGTAAAACTCTTTGGATGATGGCAAATTAGTGAACAATCTGCAACCATGACAGTGAGATTCTGCATTACACTGAAAAGACATCATAGGTAATTAGGCGTCTTTTACAAATGTGGTTCAAATGTTATGAGAATGGCTGTCCATAAACTGCCATGTATAATGCAACATGATGTAACAAATGTATTTATAAAATATATTCCAAATGCATTCACACATTGTACTGCTATTACTTCAAGCAGCTGAATCTTTCATTAGTGCTTACATCGTGGTGGATGAATGAGTTTCTGTTTTTTGAAGATATGTGCACATGTTCCACCCTCATACTACTGCCTGGTGTGAAACAGTTAGTACAAAAACTCAAATTCAACCTTAATAAGAAACAACAACTCACGCTGCGATGGAGAGGTTGGCGGCAGACATTGGGCTGACTTCAGCCACCTCCTTGGCTTTCTGCAGGGCCAGCTTCTTAGTGTTAGCCGCCTCTTCGTCCTGTTCGTCCTGCGGAGAGAGACATTAGGAAGGAAATCAAAATCAGAAATGATTTGCTGAGTAGAGGACCATAACTCTCTGAGAAATGGGACTGTAGGACTGTGTACCTTGGTCAGTTCCTGTGCGTTGGCTAAATTGTCCACAGCGATGGCCAAGAACACATTCAGCAGAGTGTCTGAACATGGAGTTAGAGGAAATCCAGCATGTCGGAGTTTGTTTGTACTGTACGGGTAAATACAGCATTAACATAAACGAGCAGCTGGATCTCAACAGGAACCATTGTCAAATCCTTCATTTCAAAATACAAAAAAACACCGTCTGTTTGGCTTAGTGGGATAAATGACAAGAAATAGGTGGATTACAAAGTTAACACTAAGAAATACAATCTGTGTATGAAAAGTTGGGCTGCACAAAACAAAAAATATTTAATTGTTATTGAAAACGCAATATTGACATGTGTAAAATCCAAATTGCAATAATCACAATATTTAGTGAGGGCAAAATATTATAGTTATTTTTTTCAAAGAGTGCAATCATATGCATCTGAATCTGGATGGTGTACTCTGTAAGTCAGTTACTAAACCAACATATAAAGCATAACGGAAAGTGCCTTTATTTACAGTGTGAGTGTGTTGTGTGCTTATTTGCAGTTTTATTATGTAAAAAGGATACAGTTGCCGAAAAGTGTGAGCACGATGAAGAAGATGGAGAAGCCCATGCCCTTGTTGACTCCGCCCTGAGACTCGATGCCATCGTACATCACCATGTTCCAGTCCTCACCGGTCAGGATCTCACACACACACACACACACACACACACACACACACACACACACACACACACACACACACACACACACACACACACACACACACACACACACACACACACACACACACACACACACACACACACACACACACACACACACACACACACACACACACACACACACACACACACACACACACACACACACACACACACAGTTGAGCACAATTAAACCTTTCACTGAAGACATTTGTCAATTCAAAAGTAGCATTTTACATTTTTCCTTGTGTGAATATCCTCTTTAGTTCTTAAACCATTTTGTCCTAAACCAACCCTCCCCTCCACCAGCCTCTCCCTCCCTTCCACCCTTTCACACCACCCCCTCTGCTTACCTGGAACACCGTCATTATTGCTGCGGGGAAGGTGTCAAAGTTGGTCGGAGGAGTGCCAGTGTCAAAATTAAACCTAGTGGAGAAAAAACATGAAATGGAAGAGAAATGGAAAACAGAAGCGTGAGGCAAAAACACAGAAGTATCTTATAGGTAGAACACATATCGTCAATTATTTCATTTTCTTAACCAAACTGGCAATAATCAAACAATGTCTTTGGGATATAAGAGAAGATAGACAGAGATGCAGAGGTTAAGGGAAGCAGCACTGACTGTCCTCCGAAGAGCTGCATGCCCAGCAGGGCGAAGACAACTATGAAGAGGAAGAGCAGGAAGAGCAAGCTGATGATGGACTTCATAGAGTTGAGCAGTGAGACGACAAGATTGCGCAAAGATTTCCAGTACCTGGCAAGAAGAAGACAGCACGAGTGTGTTTAACTGAGCGCAATGTTATGTCCAATGCATGAATATGAGGAATAGAACTAGAAAGTACTCACTTGGTGACTTTGAAAATCCTCAATAACCTGAGAGCTCGAAGCACGCTGATGCCAAACGACGTGCCCGGCTGGATGATGGACCACAGCACTTCAAATATACTACCACATATCACCTAAAGCAAACACAAGCATATGTGGCACGCATGCCATTCATCATGATGAGCCAACACATCATCCCTGTATTTGTGTTTGTGTGTGAGGTCTAATTGTCTGTGTGCTTATGTTATTAAATGTGTGCATACTGGTGTGAAATGAGTGTTTGCACCTGCTTGAGGATTTGTGTTGTGTGTGTGTGTGTGTGTGTGTGTGTGTGTGTGTGTGTGTGTGTGTGTGTGTGTGTGTGTGTTGGGACTCACAATGCAGTCGAAGCAATTGAAGGAGGAGTTGAGGTAGGCCTGTTTGCCAAGGCCGTACATCTTTATAAACATCTCTGTCAAGAATATCGCCAGGAAGATTAATTCAGCAAAATCTGCAGGGAAGGAAGATGATAAGAAGGGAGGAGGAAGAGGAAGAAGAAGAGGAGAAAAGAGGTCAGATTTATGTGAAATATATTTAAGAATGCATTTTAAGTACAAACATTTTTTTTTTTAAATTTGTGTTTGTATCAAAATCCGTATTGTGTATCAAAATATTCTAAAAGTATTTTTTAATACTCTCAATTAGCGTAAACAAATCCTCCAATTTCTCACTATTATGTTGTTTTTTTATATTTTTTATTTATCACAATTTCCATATTTTTATAGCTGTATAATTTGTGTTTAGATTTTCGGTACAATTCATGTCATCCCATTTGTTCAATAGTATATGCAAAAGGGAGAAATTGTGTGTTTGGGTTAGTCAGCTTTTTCATGCTTTTTCATGCTCACCCACTCCTTTCTAGTAATAGTGCATATAGGTGGAGATAATCTGTCGATGCTTACACAGAGTTAGCATGTATCCCCCTCCCTCATACTCACATAAAAAATCTGACAGAGGCTCCGGCTGGTCGTAGTGCACTACAGCCACACACATAGTGTTGAGCCCGACCAAGCACAGCACGGTCCAGTAGAAGGCCTGCGACTTGACGGCGTGTCGGATGAGGAAGCGTAGCCGTCGCTCTCGCCGCTTGAAATCTGATCCTTCCAGCTTGGAGCTCTTCAAGCTGGCCCGGGCAAACGGTGACCCTGAAAGGATAAGCGAGGGGAAATGGTTTGGCGTTAGCCTGATAATGAAGTATAGAGTGATTTATTGGCAGAACTGTGTGCACTTAGCATCTTGGATAAGCAAAAGTGTACACAGTGTAAAATGTCCTCTGCTTTCTGATTCATACACAGCAGGAGGTACAATAAGTTACACGATACAACACAAAAAAGCCTCTCCTGGCACACATACAGTGATGATGACACACAGCAGAAGATTTAGTGTCCCGATGAACGAATAGTGAAGAGGTTTAACAGCTTTAAATTGGTTTCACATGTTATCTTTAATCATATCATCACGTCCACCACACTCAAAAGTGTAGATCCTCTCCCTAAATGATAGCTTTTTGCTTTTCTGAATACCCCCCTTTCTTTGTCTGTAGATATTATTGGTTAATTCATTTTCATAAGCATTTTATTTATTTATTGATTTCAGCAAAGTATTCTTTCCTCTACACATACTACACATCTCGCAGGAGAAAAGGCAGACTTGCGTAAGAAAGCTGAAGGAATGAGGAAGGAAGGAAAGAAGGAAAGAAGGAAAGAAGGAAAATAAAAGTGTTAAATGGGGGGGGGGGGGGTTGAGGAAAGGGGAAAAAGGTAACAAGAGGAGAGAAGTGCCAAGTAGCAGAATAGAGGAGAGGGAAGGAGAGAGAGAAGGAGAGAGAGAAGGAGAGAGAGAAGGAGAGGAGAGTCAGGTAATGCTGATATGCAAGATAAGATAGCATCTGTATGTACCTGTGGTTTGCCTTTGCTCGCGTGTGTGTGTGTGTGTGTGTGTGTGTGTGTGTGTGTGTGTGTGTGTGTGTGTGAGAGAGAGAGAGAGTTTGTATCTTACCCACTGCCAGGTCTCCCTCCCCTTCCTCTGGGTTCAGCAGCTCAGCTTTGCTCTTATGGTTCTTTGTGGCTCTTCTACGAGAACCTGCAATAGAAACATTATGTGTTTATTTTGACAGTACTGACATGTTACATTTCTTTGTATCATTTTGTTTTAAAATCACAGCCATACAACACAGTTAATACGCAAATTCTTACCATCATAAGCCGTGACATTGTCATCATCCGCCAAGATGACCTCCTCTGCGAAACACATATTAAACACAAATATGTTAATATGCGACATTGAATTTGTTTGATGACTTCCACAGTGTCTGTCAATCTTTTGTTATCATCGTCATTTCTTATTTGAATTCAAACCGGAAACAAAGTGTCTGTCCTGCACCTGTGCCTGCTTCTCATCCCTCCCTCCTTTGTATTCTAGCTTCCTTGTTTTTATGGAGATTGTCTTTTCAAGAAGATCAAAGGTCTGCCCTTTTCTCCCTGCCGCTGCATCCACTCCTTCCAACATCCAACCCTCCGTTCCTCTTATCTGCTCCACATCTTCCCTGCCCTCAGCAGTGAGGAGACAAAGGAGATGAAGAGAACTACGGACAGGCAGTCTTCTCCATCGCAGCTTCAAACAAGGGGCTTTAATCCTTGCTAAATGAGTGTAAATCAAAGCTGTTCACTTATATTTAGTGCACTGGCTGTAATTCAAGTTGTGTTTGCATTTGAAGGAGAGTTATGACTACAATACACTGCCCAGAAACGTGCCTAATAATCTAACCTTTACGATTGAATTGTTTTAATGTAAATCATGATTTGAGTTGAGGTGTCAGTGTGCTTCAAACTATCGAAACTTTACAATAAAAGCTTTTTTGATTAAAGAAAATACAGTTAAAATGAATAATTATTATCTCAGTTGCAGCTGCTTCACAATCAAATCCATCAGATTATTTTTAGTCATAGGCTATTACTGTAAAGCACCAAACAGATGCTTTAATATTGTACTAAAATCACAATCCTGACTATATTTAAAGGGGACCTATCATGCAAAATGCACTTTTGTATGTCTTTTATACATGAATATGTGTCCCCGGTGTTCCAGGGAACTCACCAAGTGTCAGAAAACACAACCCTCTCTATTTTCCTCCATATCCAAATCTCTAAAAAAGGGGCTGCAACGGATCTGATAAAAACTGATCCAGATTTGAACACTGTCCTGACGTCAGGACAGTGGCGCTACGGCTATTGGGCCAACTCCACCAATCAGGAGGAGACAGCCACGGCCATTGCCGTTCGAAAGCGCTGGAGACGCTGTAGTACATATGCCAGGCCTGTAGATGGTGCTGTTCTCACAGAATCTGCCCTTGCACAAACAGAGCTAGAAATGGTCAAATTGAGCAAAATGAGGCATGGCTAAAATGCATGATCTGTTTGGTATTTAGAAAAAAAAAAAAGTATAAATATGCCTTATATAGGTATGGTCCTACACTATATTATTCAAATATAGCATGATAGGTCCACTTTAAGTTGTTGGCAAAGGATCATTATTATGTTTTCTTGCGATATGTTTATACATTACATTACGTGTCATTTGTTAGACGCTTTTATCCAAAGCGACTAACATACGTGGACAATCCCCACAGGAGCAATTTGGGGTGAAGTGTCTTGCCCAGGGACACAACGACATGCTGACTGCAGTGGGACTCGAACTTGCTACCCCCTGATTCGAAGTCCAGCACACTATCCACTGAGCCACAGCCGCCTCCACATGTCTACATGTCTCTGTGCGTGATGAATGAACACATACCAGCTTTGCAGATCCACTCCAGATATCCGTTGAGTTCCCTTTCTATCTGCTGCTGTCTTCTGAGCTTCAGGAACTCACTCCTGTTCTCCACACGCTCTCTCTCTTTGGCAAACTCCCTGCACACACACACACACACACACACACACACACACACACACACACACACACACACACACACACACACACACACACACACACACACACACACACACACACACACACACACACACACACACACACACACACACACACACACACACACACACACACACACACACACACACACACACACACACACACACACACACACACGTTAGACACACTTTTAATGATACCCTGCATGTTTCACTGTGGCATAAAAACACGTTTTTTTTAACCGCCAATGAATATGGGAAGTGCAATTATGTATCAACAACATTTACAATATAATTGTCACAAACACACACTTACCCTGACAACACACCCAGCACCAGGTTGAGCATGAAGAAGGAGCCGATGATGATGAGGGGGATGAAGTACATCCAGTTCCATGCACTCCCTGAGGCATCGTTGCTCTGTGATCACACACGGACATAAGAAAGTAATCAATTAGCAATTTGCGACATCAGAACATGTGGCACTCATGCGAGACCCAGGTTACAACAGGTATGAATTTGCATGAGTTAACTGCACTGGCATATGATTGGATCTGTCCTTACTGAATGTAAGGCTTTTTTTTCAAGACAAACTCGATATCCAAGCATTTAATAAAATACCAGTTCCATTTATTAGCCTGCTTATCAAGTTAAGGTGCATTTTTTAGCATCCAGGTAGTTGCACACATGGCATAAGGATAGGAAATATATCGATAGAAGATCACTACCCTGATATGAGGCTAGAAATCGTGCTAGATTTTGGATATCATAATGTCGTTATATGGCAAAAGTATTCTCTTTTTGTGGTATTAAACGCTGCATTACAGAACATTTTCTTAACTCAGGCAGTTTTTTTTATTTGCCCTTTAACCACTTAGTGATTTAATCAACATAACTGATGATTGTTAATCGAAAATCTAATTGAGTAAATATTTTGTGAAAGCAATACTCAACCCTATAATATCGTCCAGCCCTGTTACATCTGGAGTAAGCATGCAAGAAAATGTCACATAAAGTAGACATTAAACAATGTGGCATTAAAAAAAAAATGGAGGTCAATTCACTTCAAAGTGCTGTCCACAGCTGTGGGAAACATAAACAACAGCAAGGCGGACATGATTTAGCTTTAAGTCATCTCAATAAGTAAATGCATATCTGCCACTCTATTTAGCTGCTCAGTGCAGAGTAAATAATGTATAACAAATGCTTTGGTCTCTCCCCCTCTCTATCTGCACCATCCTGCTGTCCAGACTCTCCTTACATGTTCTGTATTCTCTCCTTATGGTTTCCTCCTTTTGCATCACACTTCGTTTCTTCTGCTTCCCCTTTTTATTTTATTCGTTTTAATTGTTGTTTGTCCTATAATTTCCTACTCTCTTGCTTAGATATTTTTTTTCTGATCAGCCTCTAAACTGATTCTTCATATCACCCCTTCCCACCCCTAGACCCCCTCTTCTCTTTCCTGTTTTGCGCCCTCTTTCTCAGAGGCTTGCAGTCTAGCGTCCCCCTGTCTCCTCCGTCCTCCATCTTTCCTTCTTCCTGTATGTAAGCAGGCATTGCTGCTGTGAACCCAATGTACCGCAGACCCTTTTTTCTACCATTAAACTTTTATCGCTCCCCTCCCCAGCAGCTGCAAGAATAACTTGGGCTGAACAGGCCCTTTTAAATATAGAGCAGCACCGGGAAGGAGGGACACGGGGAGAGAGACACAGAGTGCGAGGGGAAAAGAGGAAGGAAGGAAATGAGGGGAGGAGAGGGAGAAAGAGAAGGAGCAGCGGGAAGACTGAGAGGGAGACGAG